AGCTGCAAATTAATAAATTGCACATGCTAAATTGTTAGGAACTTAGGATTACAAAAGTGAAGCTACAATATATAAAGGGTTAGCGTGAAATCGAACCCCATGGATTTGAATAAGCGCACGCCGTTGGTGGAAGATGAAGCTTCTGGAGTTCTTGGAGCAGAAGGAGCTCCTGCCTTAGTCGAAGCAGAAGGTGCTCCTGCAAGATGGCTTTTTGCCTAGTGGTGGTCCTTTTTATAGGTGGTTGCGGCGGCCGACTGCAGGCCTTTGCACCGGAGTTGGAGGAACCAGATCTGCCCACATGAACAATGGCAGATCCAGCAACAGGCACAACGGCAGGTGTGGCTGCAGCTGCAGCGCTTATAGCATGCGATGGCTGGTCCAACTCCGCATTGGCGTCCCTTATTGTGGATCGCCGAACGTGAGTTAGTGACTCAACGAGACAACGATGTAGCCATGGAAGAGGAATTTAGTGGAGGGGGAGGGGGATATGGTACTGTAGTTAGGCGTCTAGGGAGGGGTACTGAGTTGGGAGTAGGACAGCTAGATGTGCTCACCTTGCATCGTCGTCGGAGCTTAGCAGTGGTGAAGGCGAAGCCATGGTGGACTCGAGCGGCTGGTCGTCGTGTGGACTCGTCGTTTTCCCCTTTCTTGCCACCGAAGCCTTCACCTACATCCACCATCAGCAAAACAAATAAGCCTACATGACGGATCAGATATTGACAGAGGGTGGAGGAGGAGGCCGACGTCCGGTGGCCGGTGCCGAGTCCACGGCGTCCTCGGACCTGGGAGGCTGCGAGTGAAGGGAACGGGACGGCGCGGCGTGGCGCTGGGACCTGGCCACGGGGCTCGGGAGCTGGGAGCTGGGCCACCTGGGACCGGGCGGCTCGGCGCTGGTGCGGTCACCGACACGGCGGGCGCGGCGGCCCGGCGCTGGCGCGGTCGCCGGCACGGCGGGCGCGGCGGCCCTGCGCGTGCGGGTGCGAGATCGGGAGTCGGCGCCGCTTAGCCGCTGTGGCCGACGGACGGTGGCGTGGCGCGTGGCGGCGTGGGGATTGGGACGAGCGGGGCGGACGGTGGCGTGTGGACTGGGGAATGGGGACGAAGGGGATAAGGATTGGAATGGTTAGGGTTACACAACTGCTTTATATACTCTATGCTTTGGGCCTGGTTTTTATGGGCCATATGGGCCAAATGCACAGGATATTACTACACACATACTTTTATATCGGGCCTCCACGGAGGGCGGGGACGGGGGACGGTGAACTAAACCCGCCCCCGCCAGACCCGACGGAGACTACTTTCTCTCCATTTGATTCCCCATGGAGACACAATTGATACCATCACCATCACATAATGGGAGAATTCTCCACGGGGGACCGGGGACCGGGTACCCATTGCCATCTCTAGTCGGGTCCTTCGCTTCTTCCCGTGGACGCCAATCGTCAACCCGGTAAGTTGGTACTACCTTCCCTTCTTCTTCTTTGCTAGTGTTGCTGTTGTCTTGTTTATGACAGCGCGGCGCGGCGTGCTTTGTATGGTATCGTGAAGGGGATGTTTGTTTAATGCATAACATTGCTATAATTTAGATTAGTTGTGGCGTGGTGACGCAAGTAGCTTAAAGATAGTGCCACAAATAATAAAAAAAATACTATGATATCACTTCAGATGAAAATAAACTTTATAGAAGAGTTATTGATATCATTGAGATCTACAACTTTGTAGTGTATTACCTTTTCATTTCAAATCATTTGGAGTATCAAATAAGCATTAGTATTTCTTAAATAAAACAATTAAAACCAGTGAAAAGAATTTGGATACAAATAAAATAAATTACATTTAGATCTCTCTGGAAGGGCTTTTTTTTTAAAGGACGTGAGACCTCTAAATTTGTAAATTTTCAAAACAAAAATTTATTTTTTAAATATTTCAACAAAATCTCTATCTCTATCTCTACTACTTAAAAAATAAGATGTGCTTCCATCGTCCGTAAAAAAAAACCAGACGAAAAAATCCATCCGATCCAAAACAAAACGGGCTAAAAAAACCGGACAAAAAACGGGCAAAAAAGAAAAGAAAAACCAAATCTGTCCCATCAAAAAAGGGCAAAAAAAAGAAAGGAAAAACGAATCCGATTCCGTGGTAAAAAAAAGGGAGAAAAGAAATAAAAAAGGAATCTGTCCGATTCCTTAAAAAAGGGGCGCAAAAAAAACCAGGTGAAAAAAAGACCGGCCAAAAAAAACGAATCCGCGTGGATGCGGTAAAAAAAAGAGAAAAAAAAAACAAATCTAAAAAAAAAGAATTATATGTGGTGCAGTAAAAAAATCGAATCCTATTATATTTGACATGGTACTATATCTCTATTTTCTCTATCTCTACTACTTAAAAAAATTAAAAACGTTTCCGTTGTCCGTAATAACGAAAGAAGGGCGAAAAAAACATTAAAACAGAAAAAAGAAAGTTCGATTCAATTTACTTCCATTGTCCGTAAAAATCTTATCTTATCTTAATCTCAATCTTTCCAAGGGGACGAGCAGCACCCTCCATCCCCGCCCGCGCGATGAAACACCAGCCAAAGAAAAAAAACAAAATTAAGCAGAGGGATAAACTAGATTGAAGTTCCCAAAATTAAAAGAGGATAAACGATATTGAAACTCCCCTAACTCGAAAAGAGGGAATAAAATATATTGAAATTTCCCGACAAAATTCTCTAAATTCGAAGAACCCTAATTTCGGGTAAGAACCATAAGAGTCAAATCCAAATCAATTAAGCCAAGGGTCCGGGTTACTTACCGGACTTGAAGCCCCTGAGCTCATTGGAGCTTTCCGGGAAGTGGCACTGCCGCACCTTCACCTCCTCGCAGTCGTGTCGGGTTCCCTGCATGCGCGCTGTCCTGGAGCACCCCTCCACCGTCCTTTGCCGAAGACGGGAAGCGTCGGCTTGGCGTCGCCCCTACCGCCGATGAGGTCAGGCCGCTCGGCGCTTGTCGCCGTTTGCACGCCCACCTTGCCGGACCGCTGACGTCATGGCATGGCTTTGCGCGCCCTCGTGTGCGCCCCCCAGCCGGCGAAGCAGGAGCCACTCAGCGGTCATCGCTGCACGCGCGCACCAGCTTGCCGGACCACTGTCGTTCCGCTCTCTCGTCGCCGGAGAGAAATGGGATCAGGAGAGAGGGATTTGGGAGCTAGGGTTTTGCCCCTCTCCTCGGTCGGCGCTTCATCCGGCGCGGGGACGATTGGAGCCGTCCATCAGATCAGACGGCTCAGATTCGCCCAGTGTCGGGCCGTCGTCGCCGTTGATTACGCTGCGCCTAATGGGCCACGGAAGTGCATCGGACCGTCCCCGCATATGTGGGCCGCGCTCAGCTGCTCAGCTTGCGGGCCATCGAATGGACTCAACTCGCCGAAGATGGGCCAGCCCAAGTTTGGGCTGGCTTGGGAAGACCTGGGCCGAAAGCAAATTTGATCAAACAATGTGGCTCACATTTTTCAAATTAAAGTCCGTCGGATAAACTCTTAAGTAGGCTTGAAAAATAAATCTAAAACTAAATCCTAAATCCTATGCTAATTGATCAAATTAGACTCGGTTCTACCTATTTGTTAATATATCAAATTATACTTGATTTTTACAAATTTGAGGTTTTTAGGGTGACACTATCAAACGGCGTTTTTCCCGTTGCAACGCACGGGCACTATTGCTAGTAATATAAAAATAAAAAAATCGAGCGAAACCGGTCCATAATAGGGACAACAGATTTTGTGCCCATGGCCCATGGGGTGAATGGTAGAGGGCTTCGTTGCTTTACCAACCCTAGGGCCGAGCTTTTTTCTTTTCTTTTTTTTTTGACTAAACATCTGAATTGTCATTGCATAAAAGGGAGAAAAATAGTTTTGTTACAATGGATTTAGAGTTTGTAGACAGGAAGAGAAAATGTGTTTCCAATCATCTATTACGGATCTATTCTGCACCGCTAGTGTTTGTCCCCAAAAACCTGCCTCGCTTATCCCTCGTTGAAGGCATGCAGCTACAGAAGGTTGTTGCCCCCTGAAAACCACATCATGCCTATGATTCCATAGCACCCAAAAGCAGAGGAGGTAGAAGACATGGCAGTGCTTTGCCGGCAGAAGCTGCGTGTGACTTAGCCGGTAGAAGAACTGAAGGTCTTGGATTGAGGGTTGCACTCCAATATTTGTCCAGAAACTGACCACAAAAGGGCAAGTGAAGCACAAATGGTTTGCCGTCTCGTCGCCACTGTTGCAGATCACGCAAGACGCTGACTGAACAATCTTCTTCTTCAAGAGATTTTTCATTGTGGACAGTCTATTTCGAACCAGCAGCCAAGCAAACAGTTTTACCTTCAACAGTGCTCTGCTGCTCCAGGTGAACTTCCAATTTGGCGAGGTAATACCTGCAGGAAATTTTGCCTCATAAATTTGTTTAGATGTGAGTGTGCCAGAACGATCGTCTTGCTCTCTCCGGTCGCCGACGGCCGCTACTCGCCGCCGCTAGTCCGCCACCTTCCCTCCTTCCCTCTCTAAGCTAAATCGGGGCCTTTGTACCTGGTCGCCGACCACCTCTCCAAGCTAAATCAGGCCATCTGTCCCTCTACCTCTGCTAGTACCGAGTAACAGTCTCCAACCCAAATTTCGACATTATCGATTTGATTCAGTTGAATCGAGGCAAGGTAGAATCGTTTAAGATCAATCCAACGTATCCGGCGCCTGTTTTTTTAATTTTCACTCTCTCTTCTACCTAATTGCTGCCTCTCGTCGGCGGTAAGTATCTCTCTGTTTTTTTTTCTGTATGCTGAATTGCTGATTGAGGTCTCCTGAGCGATCTATTTGGAATCACATACCTCCGGTTTTCCCACCTAAATTGACAAAGTATAGTATTTACTTAATTTCGTTTTGAATACGGAAAGACACAATCCAATTTCAATCAATGAAACGTGTCGTTTTTCAGGTCCGGTGACCTGTTTTATTCGGTTTATCATCAATCTGCAATGGCTAACAAGGGAGGGTATCTAAGCGTGTTAGCGCCCATTGAAACTACACCAACCATCAAGCAAGACCACATTACTTCCGTAAGCGTTTTATTTTGTAAATCTACGTCATTCTTCCCCCTCCCCCGTCCATGAATCCTCCAACTTTTCCTTCGAATTTTTCTGCGGTCATATAGTTCCCTTCTTTGACTGTGGTCGGTATTTCAGATTTCATCTTTAAGTTTGCTTAATGTTTTCGCACCAAATGCAGAATGCTGACCTACAAGACAGGATTAGCCAGTTGCCAGATGATATTTTGCTAGCCATCCTTGATGGACTCAATGTCCGAGATGCTGCAAGAACAAGCCTCCTCTCAAAGCGTTGGAGGCCACTCCCCACTATGATATCACATCTTACAATAGATGTTTCTGACTTTGATCCCAAGAGCATGTCCAGCTTCTCTGATGATGAACTGGGTCGGATCAATGCAACAGTGGTTAAGGCAACGAAGAGCATATTGGCATGCAGGAAGTCAAATGAGCACACTATCAGCCTCCTATCCATGAGATTCTACTTGAGAGACGATGACTGCATATCCTTTGGACACACTGTTGGCCACGTTATGGCAACCCAAAAAGTTGAGATGATTGAATTTACAATTTTGACAGAGAAAGATGACAATCAGTGCATTGACGATGATTTCATCGTCTATGGGAGACGTTTTGCGTTGTTCTTCAGTTATTGTCCAAATACATTCGGAGGTCTCACAGGACTCCAACTTGAGAATTTGAGATTTGGTGAACCAGAAATCATTGATGTCCTCAACACTTGCAAGCGATTAAACTATTTGCGTTTGTATAACTGCAGCTCAGGAATTTCCACTTTTTTGGAAGTTGAACACTTGCAACTCAGTGAACTTAGTATTATTAATTGCCGTTTTGGAATAATCAAACTTAGTTCACTCCCAAAACTCACACGGATGATCTTTGGTGGTTGGATAGCTTTCCAAGATCCACTTTCTTTTGGACATGTTCCATTACTGGAGTCTGTAACCCTCACCAATGTTGGTCTTAGTTGGCACAATGCGGTGAAGTTGAGCGAATTTCTGAGCAATATCTCTATAAGAGATCTGACTTTAGATTTTAATAGTGAAAAGGTATATCAATGTTATTCTTATAGTTCCATCTAAAAAGGATTATTCTTCTGCTCTGATGGCTTTACTTGTATGTTTGTACCATGTCATGTACTCATGTGTTCTTTTCCTTGTTGCATATTTGGGTTCAACCAGAAGGCCCAAAAGCACTTGCATCTGCATTCCACAAACTAAGGGTTGTGAATTTAGTTGATCTTCCTGAAGGGTATGATCCCTCGTGGACAATGTTCTTTCTTGAGGCTGCACCCTCCTTGAGGGAGCTATACGTGGCGGTAAGCACCTGCAACTGATGCTTGATTATCTGCTAAGCCTTTTACATCAGGGGCGTAGCCAGCTAGGTGGCACCGTGGTTCACGGACCATCTAAAAATTTGAAATTATAGTATATGTGCTGGTTAATATAGTAAAAATTGTATAGTGGACCACCCTTTTAATTGACATATTACATATAGATGGACTACTTTTAATTTAAATTTTAACTACGCCACTGTTTTACATTTTGCATTGACTGCAATTTCTGAGATATGTTTTGCGGCCTGCAGGTATGGGATCATCTCTGCGAAATAGAGACGGATGATGAGAGGAGGAAAGCCTACTCATACAGCGAGAATAAGAACGCGGATTGGAATGCGTCTGCGTCAGATTTCAAGAACCACAGCCTGTCAACGTTAGTCATGTTTGGCTTTCAGTCGAACGACGAAAACTTGATTAGGTATATCAGACTTGTCATGGATGCAGCGGTGAACCTTGAGGATATATTCCTGTATAAGAGGATGGCGTGTGAAAAGTGCAAGGGCAAGAATCCAAGGCCCTTGAGGTACCCGTCGACCAAGAAACAGAGACAGGCACTGAGGAACAGAATTGCTCTGGGGACACATTCGCTTGCTACGATCCATTTCCCAACTGTATTAAGGGCTAATCACTATGCAAAACTGTTGTATTAAGGGCTCAAAGCCGCGTACTAAGTTATCAATTTTTTTTTTCATACTTCCTTTTTAAGCTCTAATAAATGTCATCGGCGAGCGTCTAAAAAATACCATACCATTGTACTCCCTCTGTCCCCTAATATAAGGTATTTTAACATCTTGCTTGTATTATTTGATCATTCGTCTTATTCAAAAAAAATTAAAATTATTATTTATTTTATTTGTGACTTACTTTATTATCCTTTATTATCCAAAGTATTTTAAATATAACTTTTTATTTTATATTTGTATAATTTTTTTAATAAAACGTGTGGTTAAATGTTAAAAGAAAAAGTGAATATCTCTTCTATTAGGGTATGGAGGTATCCATCTTTCCTAAAGAAATGTCATCGCCGTCGGTTTTCCATTAATAGCCAATCGTGTTTACTGTCGGTCAACACGGTCAAAATCCGCCGTAACAAAGGGGAGCTAGATGCATCTGAAGAATGCCGTAAACGCTGAGATCGACTGCATCCTCTCCATGTCTGGCCGAACGCGAGTTTGCCGATTGCTTTGCAGCTGGTGATCTAGCGGCCGATTCCTCGCACGTTGCATCGACATGGAGGAGCCCCATTGCCGGCAACGAGAGGAGGGTGGGAGGAGAAAGGGAAGGAGAGATTTGTACACAGCTGCAGCCAGGTGAGACCCACCATGGTACGTTGCGCCGCGCCGGCTTCCGCGCGGCGGCAACATGCCGTGGCGGTGGCCGCAGATGCCTCGACTGCAAAGCATGTCGGCGCGGGGTGCAGCGGCCAGCTGCAGCCGTGGTCGTCTTACCGCGCGCGGTCCGCGGTGCTTGCCGTGCCAAGACGTGGAGCTATGCCAGTATGCCTCTCGTGCGTGCTATGTTATGAGCAAACACCACGTAGCATCAATATAATCCCTCCATTTTATATTATAAAACTTTCTAGTATTATCCATATTTATATAAATATTTATAAATCTAGACATACATATATATATATACATATATACATATACATATATATATACATATATATATATATACATATACATATACATATATATTCATTAACATCTATATGAATGTGGGCAATGTTAAAAAGTCTTATAATATGAAAAAGGGGAAGTATGTCGCAAACACCACATAGCATCAATATATGTCGCAGAGTTAACGTTGCAGGTGCGGTACGCCTCACCAAAACACGTAAAGAATAAGTACGTGGCTTTAACCTAGTAGTAACAGATAAAGTTCTCGTTGTCACTGCTGAGACTTCACATAGCCCGGCAATAACCTAGAGGCCGCGATATGATATGGGCTGGGCGCCCTGCCTGCGAGCCCCTGTAACATAGGCTGGCTGGGCAAGTAGGTGTACACCGCTACATACATGTCTCTGTATTCTCTCAGGGTTAGCAACCTGCTAGTGAACTTCTAATTACTCCTCTTTCCAGGAAAACAATAGTGATATCCACCATATCAGTAGCATTGATCGGAATGGTCTTCAGAATACACAATTCCTTGCTAGTTTGGTACTAAAAACGCCAAATGTCACAATAACTCAATCATAAGCAAATGCAGAAAATGCGGATACCCGCAAGCAATACGTCGTCTTCAGCGTAAATACAGATAAATCTCCAGCACATCAAATAATACGACGCTAATAAGGGGCAGGAAAATCCGGTAGAAGCATTCAGAAGTCAGAACAGCCCATGGCATAAACGTTCAGAGTGTAGCTTTCAGCAGCGACAACGTTGGACTTCTTGAAACGCTGGTGGTCGCTTCCTCCTGAGATAGTCAATCGGCCTTGCCCTCCTGTGCACCGACCTCCTGCAGATAGTGCTCCGCGTCCAAAGCAGCCATGCACCCTGGATACAATGATGAGTTAGAAGTCTGCCACAAAAATTTTATGCTCAGCAGTAGCCATCAATGATGAGTTAGAATTGATCTTGTCGACAGAGTCATGCATATAGACAATTTCTCTCTTTTTTTGAAGTGCATGTCTATTGGATCAAACTCCTGAAACAAGCTAGCACAAAATAATAGTAATAATAATAAGGCTTCATCATGTACTAACCATACTGACCATGTATCAACCAACATGAAAATCACAAAGGAAAAACTCTGTATGCTGCTTCTGAGATGAAAATCTTATCATCAGGCTTTTTCCTTTCACACGACAGGTAACAAGGTAGTTCTTTCTGAAGTATATAGAAATGGCATACTGCTTTCATTCTACATCAGCAGTACTGGCCTTATTCCCTGATTCCAATTTTTGCTAAACAACCAGACATCAGGATTAAAATCAGTCTCCTATGACTGTGTCCATCAAAAATGCCAATTTGGATTGTTTCTGACCAAGACCATACTTGGTAACATTATTACTCCCTCCTTCCCTAAATGTTTGACGCCGTTAACTTTTTACAACATGTTTGACCGTTCATCTTATTCAAAAACTTTTGTTAAATATGTAAAACTATATGTATATATAAAAGTATATTTAACAATGAATCAAATGATAGGAAAAGAATTAATAATTACTTAAATTTTTTGAATAAGACGAACGGTCAAACATGTTTAAAAAAGTCAACGGCGTCAAACATTTAGGGATCGAGGGAGTACTTTGTTTATGACCATCCGGAACTCAAGTTTACAGAGCATGCATGGAAAGTGAACCCAGTCTCTGCTTATTCCTCCACTATGTTGTCCATCAAAAAGGTCAATTTATTTCAGCAAGTCCATACTTGGTAACATATTAGTTTACTTTGTTTATGCCCATCCGGAACACATGTTCACAGCACGCAGGGAAAGTGAACCCAGTCTCTGTTTATTCCAATTCATTCTTTTATGCAATAATAAGTTCAAACTCCATCTCTGACAGGATCAAGAAGGGAGAATGGCGAAACATGACCAATTATTGAAGTTTGAGCATGGAGAATTTTGCATGTGCCCTCTAACCACATGAAAATGTAACTTGCACTCTAGTAAAAATACTTGCTGCAACATCAGTTAGCATGTAAACGCTTAACAAAGTTAACTCACATCACAGGAGTGACAGAGTGATGTACTGACCATACTTCTGTTTTTGATTTTTTTGCAAAAATACAGTCCGTACTTTGTAGTGTAGAAATTGAAATGCACTCTTCTATACTAAATGGGAAGTAGCACTTTTTTTTATTCCTAACAATATTTGGAATGCCTTAACTATGAAAATCCCAGAATAGCTTGAAAGTCACTTATCCCAGTTCAACAAATTCCATGATTAACTACCAGCTACTTATTAGTCAAACATATGAACCTACATGGTACTTTGGAAGCATTAACCGGCCTCAAATACACCTAACTTTTTTTAGGACTAATACACCCAATCCTAGCTTGGAAACAGAGCACGCATTCAACATGCCCAAAAGGTAGTTAGTATATCTAATCAACTATGCTAGATACATAATGAAAGCACTTATTTCAGAAACTCAAACACGTTAACTCTATGATAGCTTAAAAAGGTTCTAATTTTGACCATCATCATTCGCTCACTACATACTCAAGCCCTGAACAATTTCTATTGCAATTCGCACTAGCAAATAGCAACCCATGAAGCGACTGATCTCTAAGAAAGTGCAGAAAAAAATTAATCACAGGTAACCTGAAAAATCATCAATTCACAAACCTGATCCAGCGGCAGTAATAGCCTGGCGATACTTCTTGTCCTGCACATCCCCAGCAGCAAAGACCCCCTTCACACTGGTGTGCGTGGAGCCTGGCTTGGTGGCCACATACCCATCAGCATCGAGCTCAAGCTGCCCGCCGAGAAACTTCGTCGCCGGTTCATGTCCGATGGCGAAGAAGAGACCGGACACCTGAAGGTCGGAGATCTTCCCAGTAACCAAGTTCTTCACCTTGACACCAGCCAATGGACCTCCACCCTCGCCGCCGTAGGCCTCGACGACCTCAGAGTCCCAGAAAACCTGGATCTTGGGGTTTGACAACGCCCTGGCCTGCATGATCTTGGAGGCGCGGAAGGTGTTGCGGCGGTGGATGATGTACACATGGGAGCCGTACTTGGTGAGGAAGTTGGACTCCTCCATGGCGGAGTCGCCGCCGCCGATGACGGCGATGGGTTTGTTCCTGAAGATTGGGGCGGCCCCGTCGCAGACGGCGCAGGCGGAGATGCCGCGGTTCCAGTAGGCGTCGGAGCCGGCGAAGTGGAGTCGCCGGGCGACGGCGCCGGTGGCGACGACGACGGCGTCGGCGAGCACGGTGGTGGAGTCGGAGGCGACGCGGAAGGGGCGGGCGGAGAAGTCGACCGCGGTGACGGTCTCGGAGATGATGCTGGTGCCGAACCGGAGGGACTGGGCGCGGCACCGATCCATGAGCTCGCCGCCGAGGATCCCCTCGGGGAACCCCGGGAAGTTCTCGACGTCGGTGGTGGTGGTGAGCTGGCCCCCCGCCGCGATGTCGTTGGCGAGCCAGCCCTCGAAGAGCACGGGCTTGAGCTCCGCGCGGGCGGCGTAGATCGCCGCCGTGTGCGCCGACGGCCCGCTCCCGATGATGCACACGCGCGTGCGGAGCGGCGCCCCGGCGGATCCCTCCATGGCTTGGCTGCGGCGGCGGCGGCGCGGGTCGGAGTCTCTCCTCAAAATTACGCTTCCTACCCGGCACTGGTCAGACCGTCAGACCGAGAAGGGAGGAGGCGACGAGCCAATCAACGGCCACCGCGCTCGGTCGGTCATACCCCCAGATGGATGTTGAGTTGTTGACCGAAACTATTTTCTTTTTCTTTGGACAACAAGTTGCAGAAAATCCACAATAATTGACAAATGGCAATTTTTTTTTAAAGAAACACACAAACACTCACAACACGATGCATACCACACTTTTAAACGCGCCGTACTCCTATAAACACCTCCAAAAAAACTGAACTGATATATCTCCATATGAACACACATTTTATCTCTATTAGCACATTTAGAAATCTGGATTAACATATCTTGAGTTTCATGAAGTTGTTGCGAGTGCATTACTATCAACGGCTATATTGTCTACTGTTGAAAGAATAATTAACCGTAAAAGCGAGCATATGTGTCAACTTTATAACTTCGATCTGAGTTGGATTTGAGCTACGCTCACTTGACGGCAAACTTTTCAACTGCACAGTATGCACGCACTAGATTCACAGATCGCAAGCGAGAGCGATCAAGTGATGTTAACAAACTAAGCTCAAAAATAGAGTTTGTGGTGTGACGACACAAGCAAAATCATGTCGGAGTATTAGGATTCGTGGTGCGATTTGCACATACGTGGATCTGCAAATCTTGCTCCTTCCGACCAGCTTCATTCAGATGAGGCCCGCCAAAAAAAGAAGGGCTTCATTCAGATGATGGCGAGAAATAGTGGCTTCCATCTTTTATCTTTCGGATGGAAACCCAAACAGATCGATCGAAACTTCCGCTGCGTGACACAGCCAAAGTGAATCACTCTCTTCCCATCACTACTTCCACTCTCCGTGCAGTTTCGTTAAGATAATGGCCAGTACGTGCGCCATGTTTATTTGGATTTGGTCGTTCTAATGATGATGAATTGATGATGATGTCCTCCTCCATTGCTGCATTACCTGTCGAGCTTTTCAGGATTCAGGCAGGAGAGACACGAGCACAGGAACATGCTGCCGACTGCCCACTGCTTTAATCCTTTTTGTTCATGCAGCCGATCAAATCTCGCTTTCGATCCCTTTGCTGTAAACAAAAAATTCAGAGGCAGCGTTTCGTTCAAACGGACCAGAATAAACAACACTAGCCGCTGGCCCATGAGCAGATTTTTCTCTCGACCAAATCCACGATACTAATTGTAGCAACGGGCTTTTCTACTACTACCCGTGGGCTTTTGGCTAATGACCCAGCCTTGTCTCAGCTTCAGCATTTTTACCATTTATTCACGCTACATCATTGAAAATTTTAAATGCAGTTCTTTCAGGATGATGCAATGGCACTTTCAGACAAAGAAAAACCTGATCGATAGCAGTGTCGGTGTCCGGCTGTCCGCTGCTCCCGTGCTTTCACTAACTAGTTGACAAAGATAAACCAGCATTGTCCACAGAACAGCTAGTGACAAACAAATTAAGCCGATAAGAAAAATCAGTAACAGGTGAGACGCAAAGATTTGTTTGGCCAGACTAGCTATGTGTTTCTGACTTTCTGTAATTGGTGAGAAATTAACCCCATCCATTTGGGCATGCATTAATTTTTTTGCCAAAAAAAAAGACAGATATCGTCAAACTGACTCTCCATCGACACTTACTTTCAGCAGAAGAAAATGGAGTACACTCACACGGCAGAACAAAGAAATTGGCATGCACCATTAAAAAAAGAGAGAGCATGCACGCTGCATGGAAAGTTTTTTTTTTTTGAAGGAAATCGCTGCATGGAAAGTATATCTGTAACAGTCTGAAACGTTAACACGTATTTGAATATTCAGTTGTATTATTCTTGCCCCGTCCTTTTCTATCGAATAAAATCCCATGGACCTGGACGGCTAGACGGCCGTTCGTGGAAGAAAAATTTTGTCACACAAAATTAAGGTCTACTCTAATACAGATGGCAGTTGGAAAACAAGTGTTAATATCTATCTTGAACCAATGAGCATGGCAAAAAAATTCAGATTATGCGGCTCACATTTCACGCCCTGTTAATTACATCCTCATGTGTATTAAGACATGAGTGTCGTCAATCCAAAAACTAGTTTCACATCTTAATTTAGACTTCATTCGAAGCACACATTTACAACCTTTTAACTAATCTGTATCTTTGTTCCAAAAAAAATTGCAGCCATTCCAGACTTTGATCAGATTGTTGTCAGGTCTACCGATGATCTCCTGCCGCTGGAGCTGGCGTAGTCCTCGACCGGGACTGAGTTCCGCTTGATGAACTCGAGGCAGTCGGCGATCGCCTGCGCGTAGAACGAGTTGGACCGCATGAACGACGGCGGCACTGTCCGCCGCCCGCCGTCGACGTGATGCTTCCCGCCGCCGACGAGGAACCTCGTGCTGCTGCTCCGTGAGCAGCCGCCTCCAGCCGACGACGAAGACGACGACGACGACCGCGGCCGCCTCACCGCCAGCAGCTGGCGCACGTACCGGCCGACGAGGCCGAGGAACGTGAGCAGCTTGGCCCGCAGCCGCCGCACCGAGAACCGGTTCCTCGGGCACAGCCGGAACCCCCTCGCCGGCGGCCGCCGCCTCCGCCACCTCCTCCCTATCCTCACGTAGCTCTCCGGCGAAGACGCACAACCCTCCATCTCTCTTCGAATCTTCGATCTCCTTTACGTGCGTGTGTGAATTGCGATCGATTCTGTACGGCCTCCTGGATCGCGAGCTATACTCTGCTTGATGCTGCCGCTGCCGGCTGCCGCTGCTGCTGCTGGTCAAGTGGCAGCAAGCGAAGCAAACTGGGGTATATATAGCTCTCGCGCGCGGGTGTCGGGGGAGAGGAACGAGGCAGGAAGGTAGGTTTGAATCGAGCCTTTTCGCGAGAGCGACATGCGCGGGGAGTAGCTTAATTAAGCTGCTACTCCACTAATTAACACGCGATGTGAAGCCGGTACGGACAAGCAAACAGCCAGTGAAGCCAGGGGGGGCAGTGTGACGTGTCCGTGTAAAATGTGAAACGGGTGGCCAGCCTGCACGCCAAATTTCGCCGCGTGATTGGTTGGGTCATCGACCAAGCAGATCAAACAGCAGCTGCTGACAGTGTTACTACTAGTAGACATGAGTGAATTAATTAGTGGGCATGCGTCCGTGCGTGCGCCCTGCTCAGTTCTACGTAACTGCGTAGAGATTACGTATAGAATAGTGATGTTTCGTCCAGCAGAGTGAGTGGACTTGTAGGGGTTAAGCGCAGCAGTTAACCATAAACATGCGAGTTGGCAGGAGTTTGGCAGGGCTAGTTAAAAACTCAAAAGAGCCATTAACAAATGTACTGGCATGACGGATCTGTCAGGAGATCTCTCGGCACACGGTATATGGGGAGGTGGATGGAGTTTGTTCGTACCGGCATGAGGCCAGTTGCTGCAGACAGTTTGATTCTTGTGACCCCATGAACTTGAATAATAAACTGTGTGCGTATCAGCGAAGAGCTAGTATATCTATTGAAATACTATGAAATGATGTGCGTGGATACTCTGATATCCAGCTGGTGTGTACGTCTTTGTCCCGACCAACAACCCAAATATTTTCGTGTTGCTGTCCTCTCGATTCAGTTTTCATGCATACATATATTCAGCTCAACGAACGTTAACACGTAACACCACAGCAAGAACACACGTCAGATCATATCCTTGACAATCTCCCTCTTGACGTACAATGCATGCATTCCAGAACTTTTTTCAAGCAGATCGATGGAAAAATCCGTCCGTACATAAATTAGAGTCTTGGATCGATTAGTCAAACCGTTGAGCTTGAGGTCACAGGAGAGCCACACGTACCGCATGCCACGCACCTGCCGATCGATCGAGCCGCACGCAACGCAGGCACGGGGGCTCGCGCGATCCGCAAAGTCGCGATCGATCGATGGTGGCCGCGCGCGCGCGGTTAGGTACGCCGTGAGCCGGCGAAACGGCCGGAGCCGAACACATGGCGCGCGCGCGTGCGCGATGCGAGATTGCGAGGAAATAATCGTATTCTCATGCCGAGGCTACCACGGGAGACGGAGTTGGTCGTACGTGCGCCGGTGCGCCCTGCGGAATCTCGCGGCTCGGCACGAGGGCGGACGGGGCGTGGCATGCGCGGCCGCTCACCTACGACCGCGACCGTGCGTGCGTGTGTGTGTGTGTGAAGGAGACACGGCTTCGCATGGAGGGGAAAGGGGGCGTGAGTGAAGGGGACACGTGTGGTGGACTGGGGGCTGGGACTGACGGCCGTGTGGGTGAGTGGCGTGGCGCCATGTCGTTTTTGCCTTTTTGTGTCCGTGTTGGGCCGATGAGTGAAAAGCAGGAGTAGCACGTTTTGTTTGGAGCACGAGCCACAAGGTGTGCGTATAATTAAAGAAAAGGGGATGGTTTACTTTTGGACTTTTTGAGTCTAATGGCATTTGAGTACATGCAGCACTGAGTAGGAGTACGTTTTAAGCTGCTGATTAGTAGTATATACTTTGCTCTTAGAGCAGGTACAATAGCAGGATATAAGCCAGCTGCAAAGATATTTTAAAGAGATAAATAAGGAGAGAGAAGAGCAGCGGGCTACAAATTTGTAGCCAGTTATAGCACGGACTCCAAAACGCAGTGTGTTTATGATAGGTGGGACTAGATATTAATAGTGTAGTATGTAAATATTGTATGAATAAACTACTAGATTGGCTATAGATGAATTAGAGATAGTATTTGGCTACACTATTAAACTTGCTCTTACACGGTTACACCTATTGTGTTCTTCCGGAAACACGGAAGTGTGTTGACGACCTAGAGCCGATGTTCTCCCTGAAGACTGAAGACCGAAAAGAGTACAGCTAAGGTAAGCTACTGATTATAGTTGGCCATAAGGCCCGAGGCCCGAAGGCCCGGCCCACGGCACGCCTTTTTGGCCCGGCCCAAGCACGGCACGGCCCGACTTGGGTCGGGCCCGTGCCGGCCCGGCCCGACTGTCGGGTCGTGCCTGGGCCTCCCCACCAGCACGCTGGGCTGGCCCGGCACGGTCGGGCCGACCCGGCACGATGGGCTGGCAGGCCAGGCCCGGTACACAAAGTATAGGGACTAAAAATAGACATATAAATGTCAATGTCTAAAGAATAGGGACCTTAAATAGACTTATTTTAGCTATTTATATACCACAGCACAAAGAAGAGGGAGGTAAAATAGACTTTTTTTAGCTATACAATGTCACAGCCCAATAGGAGGGAGAAAATTTAGACTTATTCTGAGGAAAAGCACGATGGCCCATCGTGCCTTCGGGCCGGCCCGGCACGGCCCGAGGCGTGTTGGGCCGTGCCTGGGCTGTGAGTGCGGCACGTGGGCTGGCACGGCACGGCCCGGTGCGTCGGTCGGGCCGTGCCGGCCCGACAAGCCTCGGCCCAGGCACGGCCGGGCCTGGGCCGTGCCGTGCCGGGCGGCCCACATGGCCATCTATACTACTGATGGAGCTGTTGTGCCGATTCGTCAAAAAAAACTAATGGAGCTGTTGTGCAGCACATGGCAACCGACAGGGCCGAATCTGACGTCAAATGCCAATAGGCCAGATGGAGGCCCAAAAGTGATTACGGCCCATTATAAACTGGAGCCCACCAAAACGTTCAGCTTGGCCTGCAACGCTACGAGAGGGCCCACAACTCGCGAAAAAAGTACACCCAAGGTCCCTCAACTTGTCATCGAGATACAAAATCATCCCCAACCGCAAAACCAAATATATGACATCCTTCAACTTACAAAACCATTCACTTTAGATCCTTCGGTAGTTTTGACCCCGGTTTTGTCTAACGTGGCAGCTGAGTCAGTATGGGTCCCCATATGGGCCCCACATGTCAGTGTCCACGTCAGCACCTTCTCTCTTTTTTTCCATCTTCTCTCTCTTCCTCCTCTCTCACATTCTTCTTGTTCTCATTGCCATCGCGGTGCTGCATTTGGATGCAGAGGATCTCGCCCTGTGCGACGGCGAGCTGCATCTGTAGCTGTGACACCTGGTTCTGCATGAAGGAGATGGCCCCGACGCAGCCGTAGACTGGGTCCCGCATCCGGTCGTTCGCCTCATACACCAGGCTGCTCACCGCGTCGCCTTGCTGCCGCGCCAGCAGCTCCTGCATTGGAAACACGCATCAGACGCAAGCATGCATGCACGGTGGCGTGGGCGCCGCCATTGATGACGACCTTATACGTGTTCGTGCATAGGCCATGCAATGCCAATGGACATATACACATATATGTATGTTGGGTAAGAAGAAGTTTGATTTAATATACCTGGAGGCTGGAGCATCTTGCTAACATTGCTGTGTTAGACTTCAGGAGTCTTTTATTGCTTGGCTTCACTATTCTATTTGGGATTTGGGCCTGATGGCCTTGTAAGGTGGCTGGTGCGTGAGTGAAGGCCCAGCTGTGAGCTGTGTACTAGCTGGAACCTTTATATACTTTGCCGAAGCGCTGGTCGTAGGCAACGAATAAGAAAATACAATATCACCAACCTCCTCTCCAAGTCAATTCCCCACTCTGTTCTTGCTCAGTTCCTCTTTTCTTCCTCCCGAGTTGCTCGATCCGTGCCTAGTTTGGCGTTTCGCCAAGGGAGATCTCACTGATTCGTGACAAATCTGGTATCAGAGCAGTGGATTTTAGGGCAGCTTGGCAAGGAAGAAGGCGAATCCAACCTTGACGGAGCGCATGGCGGCGGTGGAAGGAGAGGTTGAATCGCTGACGACGAGGGTGGCGGAGCTCACCACAAGCCTCAACTCCATCCTGGGATCCCTACAAGGTATGGAGAAGTGGATTCCGGCGGTGGATGAAGGCATCAAGGACCTGCGTCAAGCTGTAGAACAAGTTGCCTCGCGGGTGACCACGCTGGAGGCAAAGGCGCCGGCGACAACTATGCCGGTGACTATTCCGCCCGTTGGGCACGGCGCAGCTTTGAACCACCAGGGAGCTGCAACTGGTACCCCAGTGGACCAGGGGCGCGCCCTGGTCAAGGGTAAGCTGCAATTTCACAACTCGCCAGTTCATTTTGATTTGGGGGATTGCTCTGAAAAAGGGATGGGAGGATTGCAGAGTCCTGGAAGGTCTAGTGGATCTAGGTTACCCAAAACTGATTTCCCAAAATTTGATGGAGACAACCCAAAGCTATGGAAAACTAATAGTGAGAAGTATTTCAGTATGTACCAGGTTCCTTATGAAACTTGGTCATCCTTTGCCACACTCCACTTTGTAGGGAATGCAGCGTTATGGTTACAAACCTATGAGGAGTTGCACTGTGTAGAGAGCTGGCCAGAATTGTGTGTAGTAGTGCATGGGAAGTTTGGTAAGGACAAGTACCAACAACATTTAGAGGAGTTAGAAGGGTTGAGTCAAGTTGGGGGAGTTGATGAGTATTATACTAAATTTGAGGAGTTGATGCATAGGGTCTTAGTTTACAACAAGAGATATGATGAGACATTTTTTGTTACTAGATTCATGGGGGGTTTAAAAACTGAGATCAAAACAACTATAAAGTTACACAAACCAAGAACGGTTGATCTGACATTATCTTTGGCAAAAACGCAGGAGGAATTATTGCTGGAGAGTAGCAGGAAGAACTACTCCAAAGAAGGATACAAGGATGCTTACAAGCCGGTGATTAAACCTGTTTATCAAGGCAAAGGGATTCTGGGAGCATCACCAGAGGAGGCTAAGAAGCCTGAGGAGAAACCCAAGTGGGAGGAAAGATTTGACACACTGAAGGCAGCAAGGAGAGCTAGGGGAGAGTGCTTCAAGTGTGGAGAAAAGTATGGCCTAGGGCACAAGTGTCCTAAGTCTGTACAATTACATGTTTTGGAAGAATTGCTTGAAGTGCTCCAATTGCAGGAGGATGGTTCCCAAGGTGATGATGAAGAAGAACATAAAAGTGATGAAGAGCTAGTTTTGTCTGAGTTTGCTGTGGCTGGAACCATGGGAAGGAAGACGATTCGATTTCATGGGATGATACAGAAACAACAACTGCTGATACTGCTAGATTCAGGTAGTTCCAGCAACTTTTTAGCAGAGAATGTGGTGAACAAGTTGGGACTTCAGTGTGAAACTGTGCCAGCAACTCAGGTGACCATTGCTGATGGTGGGAAAATGCAGTGCAATCAGCTTGTATCTGGTGTGGAATGGTGGTGTCAGGGGCATACTTTCACCATTGATTTTAAGGTACTGAATTTGGGGGGATATGACATGATTCTGGGTATGGAATGGTTAGAATCATTCAGTCCCATGTGGATAGATTGGAGAAGGAAGAGGATCAGATTCACATATATGGGAGATAGGGTGTCACTAAATGGAGTTAAACCAAACCTCTCCCAGACCACAATGCTATCTGTTAAGCAGTTGAAGGGCTTGCATAAAGATGGGGCAATATCACAGATGGTGCAACTTTGTGCAATAGAGGAAGTTCCTGATATTAAGCAAGAGTTACCAGCAGCAGTTGAGCTTGTAGTGAAGGAGTTTCAAGATAGGTTCAAGAAACCAACTGAGCTGCCTCCACACCGCCAGTTTCACCATCACATACCACTGCTTCCAACAGCTAAATCGGTTACTAAGAAACCTTATAGGTATGCCCCTCAGCAGAAGGATGAGATAGAACAACAAGTTGTACAGATGCTACAGCAGGGAATTATTCAGGCCAGTTCTAGTCCTTTTGCTTCCCAATGTTGCTGGTAAAGAAGAAGAATGGCTCTTGGAGGTTTTGTGTGGATTATAGGGGGCTCAATGACATAACAGTAAAGAATAAATATCCAATGCCAGTGGTTGATGAGTTGCTAGATGAACTAGCAGGGGCTAAATGGTTCACTAAACTGGATCTAAGGTCAGGATACCATCAGATAAGGTTGGCTGAACAAGATGAACATAAGACTGCCTTCAGGACTCATCAAGGTCTATATGAGTTCAGGGTGATGCCATTTGGGCTTACAAATGCACCAGCAACCTTTCAGGGGTTAATGAACACCATATTCACTGCTGCCATCAGAAAGTTTGTGCTAGTATTTGTGGATGACATTCTAATCTATAGCAGGACTCTCTCTGAACATGTGGAGCATTTGAGATGGGTGTTCACTCTGCTAAGACAGCATCAACTCTTTATGAAGGCAAGTAAATGCTCTTTTGCACAACAGGAATTGGAGTATCTGGGCCACATAATTGGGGTCAGAGGTGTGGCTACTGATCCTTAGAAACTGAAGGCTGTACAAATGTGGCAAGTTCCTAAGAATTTGAAACAACTCAGGGGATTCCTTGGTCTGGCAGGGTATTATAGAAAGTTCATTCAAGGTTATGGCCTGATGACAAAACCTCTTACAAATCTGCTTAAAAAAGAAGTCAAGTTTGTTTGGGAGGAAACCCATCAGCAAGCATTTGAGTCTGTCAAGAAGGCTTTAACCACAGCTCCAGTTCTAGCACTTCCAGATTTCTCTCAGGAATTTGTGGTGGAAATTGATGCTAGTGACAAGGGGATAGGGGCAGTGCTTATGCAGCAAGGTCATCCATTGGCTTTCATTAGTAAAGCATTGGGGGTCAAAGCGCAAGCCATGTCAACTTATGAAAAGGAATGTTTGGCAATATTGTTGGCAGTCAATAAATGGAGACCATATTTACTGCACTCTGCATTTGTGATTCAAACTGATCACAAAAGCCTAACACATCTGGGAGAGCAGCAGTTGAACACATCAATGCAGCATAAAGCTTTTGTCAAATTAATGGGCTTGCAGTACAAGATTCGATACAAAAAAGGGGTAGATAATCAGGTGGCAGATGCTCTTTCCAGGAAAGTTGAGGATGAAGAGGTGCTGGTCATGTCTATTAGTTCACCAAAATGGATGGAGATTGTAACTGAAGGTTATGAGTGTCGGTGACATGGGATCAGGAGTATCATGACTAGAGGTTTGAGGCAGACACAATCGCCCACGTGGCCTGGCACCCTCGGGGGACGTCGGGCCCGAGGGTAATGTGTTCGCCCTCCTCTTAGTCCCCCCGAGGGGGTCGGACCGCACCCGCCTCAGCCCCGAGGGCCGAGGCGCCCTGACCCCTCGTGGATTTTTTGCTCTGTGTGTATGGGTTAGGTGAGCACAGCGGGGCTCACCTAACCACATTTATTGCGGTTTGGCTGAGCGTGTCACGCTGCATGTAACGCAGTGCAGTGCACTCATTTATCCGGTCTGTGACCAGTCACAGACCGGTCAGATCGCGGGTTAGGTGGCGACAGGCGATCTGACGCACGCCTCGCCCCATCCCGTCAGGACGAGGGCTTCTAGGCGCTTGTCCCCAGCTGGAGCTAGCGTGTTACCTCCCAGAGATGGCACGTTAGCCCTGGTCAGATATATGCCAGGCTTCATCCTAACCATTACAGGCAAGATGTTGTGTGAAGAAGGACGAACATATAGATTGCTAAGCTGACACGTGGTGGACAAGAATGACCGACGTGACTGGTCTGACACCGGTCATGTCGTCAGTAGACAGCCACGATTCCACGTCGCATCTGCTCCCGGCGAAAGTGGAGGTAGTTGTGGACCGTCCCATCAGAAGGTGACTCGGATGGCAACTATACAAATCTCCGTCCATTTATGAAAAGGGTGCATGTGGTATCCCCTTAAGATAAAAAAGGAGGACCTTGCCCACTTAGAGGGAGGAGGAGACTTTTCCAGATTGGGAACCTAGAACGAGGGAGAGGCTGGCTCATACTTTGTAGTTCCTTCATACACAAATCCACCAAAACACAGGAGTAGGGTATTACGCTTCTGAGCGGCCCGAACCTGTATACATCGCCGGCGTCTTGTGTGCTTCCTGTCTCGCGAACCTTCCACAGATTGGGAGCTTAGAGTCTCACCCAGAGTCCCCGGCCGAACCGGCAAAGGGGGGCCAGCGCGGTCTCCCGGTGAGGAGCCCCACGCTCCGTCATCTGGCGCGCCAGGTAGGGGGTAAGGATCCTTAGGACATGCCTTGTTAAGGTCGGTGTAGTCGATGCACATCCGAAGCTTGCCGTTCGCCTTGGGAACGACCACCGGGTTCGCCAGCCACTCCGGATGGATGACCTCGCGGATGAATCCGGCCTCCAGAAGTCGCGCCACCTCCTCGCGGATGAAGGCTTGACGTTCCGGGGCCTGGCGCCGCACTTTCTGCCGGACCGGCCTCGCGCCCGGCCGTACAGCAAGACGGTGCTCAATCACCTCCCTGGGGACCCCGGGCATATCCGCCGGTCTCCATGCGAAGACGTCAGCGTTTGCCCGTAGGAAAGAGACGAGCGCGTCTTCCTATTTGCCGTCCAGAAGACCACCGATCCGTGTGGTCTTTGACGGGCCGTCGCCCAGGGCAACCTCCTTGACCGGGACCTCATTGCACGTGACTATCCGCTGCCTCGGGGCGGCGGGGGTGGATGTGCCAAGCCTCTCGCCGCCACCCTCGGGCTTGGACACGACGGCGAGGCGGTCCGCGCGCTGCTCCATACAAGCGAGCGCGACTTTGAGGTCGCCATGGACAGAGATGGGGCCACCGGGGCCCGGCATCTTCATCTGTAGGTAGGCGTAGTGGACCGCCGCCATGAACTTCACCAACGCGGGCCTCCTCAGGACCGCGTTGTAGGGCAGACTGAGGTCTGCCACATCGAAGTTCACCCGCTCCGTGCGGAAGTTGGCGGGTCCACCGAAGGTGACCGGGAGATCGATGTGACCTAACGGCCACGTGTGCCCTGGCGTCACACCGATAATCGGCTGGGATGGCCGGAGCATCATCCCCGGGGCCTTGATAGCGTCAAAGGCTGCGGGGGAAAGGATGTTGAGGGCCGCTCCTCCATCAATGAGGACACGCCCCAGCTTCACGTTGCAAACAGTGGGGGAAACCACCATTGCGATCTGTCCTCCCCGGGCAACGCATGGTGGGTGGTCGGTCTGGTCGAAGGTGAGGGCAACCTCCGACCATCGCGCCCGGCGCGTCGCCTCATGAGTAGGGGCCGCGGCCAGAAGCTCTCGCTTCATGGCCTTGAGGCTCCGGCGAGAAACGTGAGCACACGCTCCCCCATCGACAGTGGCAATGGTGGCCCCAGGCTCTTGGAAACCTAGGCCATCATCGCCGTCATCGATGTCCTCGGCGGGGGCCTTCTGCTTGGCCTCACTTCGCCGATTGCCGGAAGGAACCGCCGGGGACTTGCCCTCTCGGCGCTCCTGCCTCCTCTCCTCCTCCCACTTCCTCGTTCGCTCAGCCAAACTTTTGACCGCACGGCAGTCCACGAGGTCGTGGAGGGAGGTGTTGTGGACGGTGCACCACTTGCCGGCTGGGCGCTCCCTGCTGGGAGCGCCGGCCTTTTTCTTTTTGTCGCTCGCAGGCCTCCCCTTTTGGGTGGCCCGCGAAGCGCCCTCGACGGCGAGGACATGACCCTCGTCATCGGAATGGACTGACCTCTTCTTCCTCCTCCTGTCACGCCGCCCTGTCTGAGCGGCGGATCCAGGGGCGGCCGAAGCTGCCACACCGGAACCGGAGGGGTTCCAAGTCCAGGCCTCCTCCTTGCGAGCCACTCGGTCCGCGAGCTGAAAAAGCTCCGCGGTAGTCTGGGGCTCCTTGGAGGCGATCTTTTCGAGCATGCGGTTGTGCCGCATGCCCCCCCTGAACGCGTAGATTACCGCGTGTGCAGGGATGCATGGTATGGTGTTGCGGACTTGACAGAACCGCTGAATGTATTAGCGAAGTGACTCATCATCCCTTCGCTGTACTGCGTGTAAGTCCGCTTCTTCACCTGGGCGCGGATATGTGCCCTGAAAGTTCATGGTGAACTGTTGGCACAAATCCTCCCAGGAGTGGACTGACGTGGGTGGCAAGTTCATTAGCCAACCCCGCGCCTGCCCCTTTAGGGCCATGGGAAAGAAATTCGCCATGACCCTGTCGTCACCCCCGGCGGCCTCAATCCCGGTCGTGTAGACCTGGAGAAACTCGGCGGGGTTGACGCTGCCATCATATTTTTCGGCGATGGTGGGCCGGAACCTTGGGGGCCAACGGACATTCCGAAGACTCGCCACAAAGGCTCTACAGCCGACACCACCAACCGGGGGCACGGAGGGCTGATTCCCGCGTCCGTGTTGAGGTGACACTCTGGACGAGGAAGCGCCCTCCGTTGCGTGGGTAGCACGTCGATCATTACGCCGCCGCTCGATGCTGGTGCGGGCGTCCGGCCCCCCACGCAGATCTTCCCGGGTTGAAGGAGTCGACGAAGGAGTGGTGGCCGAATGGCGAACGGCAGCTGCCGCTCGCCGCGCCCTTCGTCTTGACGACGCGGAGCCGGTGGTAGCAGCACCAGAGGCCTTGGTGGCGGAGGACCGCCCACCAGCATCTAGACGCTGCCTTGCAGTCATGACCAATTTGGCCACATCGTCCAGCCAACGTTGGGCTGGAGACTCCGGGTCATGGGCGACGGGCGGGTGACGTAGGAGCGCGCCCGCAGCTTGGAGCGCGCCCTGGGGCGTGCTGCCGTCACCGTAGACGAGGAGGCGACGCTCCCCATCTCGCCGTTTTTCTCCATCGCCCGCAATCGGTGAAGTCGCGGATCTTTCGACCCTCTCGAGTGCCTCCCCCCGCTTAGGACTTTGGCGTGGAGGGGGCGGTGGAGTACGAGCTCGACGGCGTGGGTTCGGCTCCCCGTCGTCACCACTCGGCAGGGCGGCTGTTCCCCGGGCCCCTGTCGCGGGACCCAGAAGCACGACCCCCTCCCGGGGTAGATTGTTCCCCCTGCGGCTCCCGCCTGCGCCGTCGTGGCCCTTTGGAGCTCGCTCCTCTGAGGCCCCGACCGCCATCATAATGGTCAGGATGGAGACGCGGTCTGGATCGCTGCAGAGGGGGAGGATTCCTTGGGGAATGAGGGACGCCTCCACGGAGTTGAGATTCAGCACCCGTTGGACCAATATCTTGAAGTCCTCAGGAGCCCAGTCCCATCTCACTCCCTGGTGGGTCCTCATGAAGTCTTCGGACCCGGTGTACTCCCAGGCGCCCCGAGCGCGCCGCTGGAGCGGCGCAATCCGACGACGGAGGTAGTCGCCGTACACCATGGCCCCTGTGAGCCCCTGGGATCGCAGGCCCGCCAGGCGGTCGAGGACGGCGTCATAGCCATCCCCCAGATCTACCGGCGCCCGCCAGCTGGAGGCCTGCGCCGGGGGCTGGCTCGGAAGTCGGAGGCGCGCTTCGTCGGCAAGGGGGGTGTAGAACCAGTCGCTCTTCCAGTCGTCCCACTTCTTGCGGAGGGCGCAGGGGATGTAGCGATTCAGCACCGGCTCCCGTGGCTGGAAGTAGCAGCCACCAACTACCGATGGCGGCGACACCGACTGTACGGTGAAGAACCACCGGAACAGCCGAAGAGATGGGCGCACCCCAATGAACATCTCGCACAGATGCGCGAAGATGGCCAAAGTCATCACCGCATTGGGGGTGAGGTGCGCCATCTGGAGATCGTAGAACTCCAGAACATCCATGAAGAAAGAAGAAAATGGCGGAACCAGCCCTGCCATTGCAAAGGGGAGAAAGAAGACGGACCGCCCCGGGTAGTCTGGCGCCGGGCGTCCCTCGCCCAGCGTGACTATCTCCCGGCCGGTGGCAGATCCCGGCATGAAACGGCGCGCCAGCCCAGCCTGCCTCTCGCTCACAATGCGGGAAGGCGGCAGCACGCTACCATCGAGCAGAGCGGAGCCCCGTGCCATGGCGCCGGAGGAAGAGAAGATTAAGAGCGAGCGCGTGTGGCGAAGGTAGGGCACAGGAAAGAAGGAGTTAGGGCGCAAGCGGCGAAGACAAGGGGAATAATGGCGAAAGGAAGGAAACAGATCCCTTCCTCAGTGCCTTTATACTCTTGCCAGCGCTGTGCCCGGCTCCTCGCTTCTCGCGCCCACTATTTCGCCCCCTCGTTTCTCGCGCCCACGCTTCCACTAATCCCATTCGCCCGCTTGCGGCGCATGAGGTGGATATGCGGTTGTGGCAGTCGAGATAGATCATATCATGCGTGCGTTAATTACGCTCGCCGACCGAAGCGACGTTACCATATCTCCAGACGAAATGAATCGCCATGTCCAGATTCGTGTGCTACTCGAGTAATGTGGCAGTCTCGAAGAGACCGCTCATTATTGACAGCCGAGTTACCACTGCCGATGTGCGTGATTTGTGACCGTTGGGTTTCTGCCCAATTGAGGAGACCGGTCCCGCCTGTCACCGGGCCTTAGGAGTGGCGTCACGCCCAACCGCTTCCCTTAAAGAGGGCGATCGCCCTGGCATAACGCCGGGGGCTACTGTCGGTGACATGGGATCAGGAGTATCATGACTAGAGGTTTGAGGCAGACACAATCGCCCACGTGGCCTGGCACCCTCGGGGGACGTCGGGCCCGAGGGTAATGTGTTCGCCCTCCTCTTAGTCCCCCCGAGGGGGTCGGACCGCACCCGCCTCAGCCCCGAGGGTCGAGGCGCCCTGACCCCTCGTGGATTTTTTGCTCTGTGTGTATGGGTTAGGTGAGCACAGCGGGGCTCACCTAACCACATTTATTGCGGTTTGGCTGAGCGTGTCACGCTGCATGTAACGCAGTGCAGTGCACTCATTTATCCGGTCTGTGACCAGTCACAGACCGGTCAGATCGCGGGTTAGGTGGCGACAGGCGATCTGACGCACACCTCGCCCCATCCCGTCAGGACGAGGGCTTCTAGGCGCTTGTCCCCAGCTGGAGCTAGCGTGTTACCTCCCAGAGATGGCACGTTAGCCCTGGTCAAATATATGCCAGGCTTCATCCTAACCATTACAGGCAAGATGTTGTGTGAAGAAGGACGAACATATAGATTGCTAAGCTGACACGTGGTGGACAAGAATGACCGACATGACTGGTCTGACACCGGTCATGTCGTCAGCAGACAGCCACGATTCCACGTCGCATCTGCTCCCGGCGAAAGTGGAGGTAGTTGTGGACCGTCCCATCAGAAGGTGACTCGGACGGCAACTATACAAATCTCCGTCCATTTATGAAAAGGGTGCATGTGGTATCCCCTTAAGATAAAAAAGGAGGATCTTCCCCACTTAGAGGGAGGAGGAGACTTTTCCAGATTGGGAACCTAGAACGAGGGAGAGGCTGGCTCATACTTTGTAGTTCCTTCATACACAAATCCACCAAAACACAGGAGTAGGGTATTACGCTTCTGAGCGGCCCGAACCTGTATACATCGCCGGCGTCTTGTGTGCTTCCTGTCTCGCGAACCTTCCACAGATTGGGAGCTTAGAGTCTCACCCAGAGTCCCCGGCCGAACCGGCAAAGGGGGGCCAGCGCGGTCTCCCGGTGAGGAGCCCCACGCTCCGTCAATGAGCATGATCCAAAAACTAAACAGCTCTTGGAAATTCTGCCCCTTCAGCCTAAAGGATGTGACCACTTCCAGTTGGTTAATGGGGTAATTCGATACAAAGGAAGAATATGGCTTGGGCATCATAAGGAAGCACAACAGGCAGTTTTGCTTGCATTACACAACAGTGGGGTTGGTGGGCATTCTGGTGTTACAGCTACCTATCAGAGAATCAAAAATCTGTTTGCATGGACAGGGTTGCAAAAGGATGTGCAGCAATATGTTGCTCAGTGTACTACTTGTCAGCAGGCCAAAGTTGAACACTGCAAGTCTCCAGGTCTGTTGCAACCATTGCCAGTCCCTATGCAAGCTTGGATGACTGTCAGTATGGACTTCATAGAGGGACTGCCTAAGTCAGGCAAATATGACACAATCATGGTAGTCGTGGACAAATTTTCCAAGTTTGCTAAATTTATCCCTCTTGCACACCCTTTTACTGCTTATACAGTTGCTTAGGCATTTATCCAGCAGGTGTATGATGTCTTTGGGATGCCTCAGGTTATCATTTCTGTCAGAGACAGGATTTTTACTAGTGCTTTCTAGCAGGAGCTGTTCAAACTAGCGGATGTCAAACTTAACATGAGCTCTTCTTACCATCCACAAACCGATGGACAAACTGAGCGCTTAACCAGTGTTTGGAAGGTTTCCTCAGATGCACAGTTCACTTTGCTCCATCTAAATGGTCCAGTTGGCTGTCCCAGGCTCAACACTGGTATAACACCTCCTACCACAATGTGCTGAATAAATCTCCATATGAGGTCTTGTTTGCCAGAAAGCCTACACATTTTGGCCTTGTGGATGTGGGTGCAAGTACAGTGCCGGATGTGCAGCTTTGGCTCCAAGAGAGAGCTCATATGAATGAACTTTTACATCAACAATTACTAAGGGCTCAACAGAGGATGAAAAGTCAGGCTGATAAGAAGCGTTCTGAGAGGCAATTTGCTGTTGGAGATCGAGTTTATCTGAAATTGCAACCATTTGTACAGATGTCTGTTGCCCGAAGATCTTGTCAGAAACTGAGCTTTCGGTATTTTGGACCGTATACAGTGTTGGAAAGGGTTGGCGCTGTTGCTTACCGCTTGGATTTACCTGCTACTAGTCAGATACATCCGGTGGTGCATGTTTCCTTACTCAAGGCGGCAATCAAACCAGGCACCCAGGTCAGTTCTGATCTCCCTCTCAACTATTCTGACGAACAATCTACCATTCAGCCTGAAGCGGTTCTTCGTCGAAGTCTGATTAAACGTGGCAAGAGTGTTGTTCCCTGTGGGCTGATCAAGTGGATTGGCATGCCTGAGGAGCTGGCTACTTGGGAGAACCTGCGCCAACTCCGGACACGTTTTCCTGATGCTACTGCTTGGGGTCAAGCAGGTTCTTAAGGGGAAGGGAATTGTTAGACTCCAGGAGTCTTTTATTGCTTGGCTTCACTATTCTATTTGGGATTTGGGCCTGATGGCCTTGTAAGGTGGCTGGTGCGTGAGTGAAGGCCTAGTTGTGAGCTGTGTACTAGCTGGAACCTTTATATACTTTGCCGAAGCGCTGGTCGTAGGCAACGAATAAGAAAATACAATATCACCAACCTCCTCTCCAAGTCAATTCTCCACTCTGTTCTTACTCAGTTCCTCTTTTCTTCCTCCCGAATTGCTCGATCCGTGCCCAGTTTGGCGTTTCGCCAAGGGAGATCTCACTGATTCGTGACATGCTGGCGCCGAAGACCTTGTGGACTATGGTGAACTTGTGGGGTTCGTCGGCCGGGAAGAAGGGCGCAAAGATGCAATCCTTGGTGCACCGCCGCCGCAGCAGCTTGCACGACGCGCACGGCGACCCACTGCACATCGTCCCAATCCTCTCTATCTAATGTTCACACACGTATAAAACGCTTATACGAATGACAGTGGCGGTCAGTGACGGGCCACGTGGCGGCGGCGGCGGCAACGACAACGTGGGAGAAGGAGACGCGCCTCTGCTGTGGGGATCGGCTCCGACGGCGGATTGCTACCTCTCCGCCCGCTGCCGCGCTGCTCCGCCCCTTTGGCTTCGAGCGCCGTCGCTCCACCCGCCGCCACCCAATCCGCCCCTTTGGCTTCGCGCGTCGTTGCTCCGCCCTGCTGGCTTTCGCCAGCCTGCGCCGTCGCCCCGCCGGCTTTGGGCGCATCGCCATTCCGCCCGCCGTCGCCCCACTTCGCCTTCCTACGCCATCACCCCACTCCACCCGCCGCCACCCTGCCACCCCCGCTTGCTTCGCGTGCGTCGCCGCTCCGCCCGCCGTCGCCCCGCTTCGCCTGCCTGCGCGCCATCAGCCCGCTCCGTCGTTGCTCGCCTGCTCCGCCGTTCCCCTCATCGCCCAACGCTGCGGGGCCGCTTCGCCGCCGGTGGTGACACAACACCATTCGTGACCGGCCGCCGCCCTCGCCTTCTCTCGCGTCGCAGCCGCCGCCTCCTCCTTTCTCGCCTCGCCCCGGCGGCCTCCTCCCCAGCAGCGCCGCTGGCTTGCCAGAGAAGAGAAGAGAAGAGTGAGAGAGAGAGGAGGAGGAAGGGAGAGGAGAATGAAGAGGGAGGGTGCTGATGTGGCATCTTGACAATGTGGGGCTGTTAACAACCAAATTTGGTAACATCTATGTCAGGAAAGAAGATTGGATCAAAGCAAAGTTGGAGGCGGAGATCGAGTTCGGAAACAGAGCAGGAATCGGCTGAAGTCCAAATCGGCTACGATTAGGATCAGCTGGGTCTGAGTCGGGTTGAGTAAGCCGATACAGCCGATTCCGACAATACGAATCGTACGCGACATCGGGTTCAAGTTAATGTATTTCAAGATGATTGCCACGCACGAATAGAGTCCTGGGAAGGCAATTGTATCTATTAATTAGAATATTTTATGTAAATTCCTTATAGATAAATGTCGGTGACATGGGGCCGGGGGTATCGTGACTAGAGGCTTGGGTAGCCGCGGTCACCCACATGGCCTGACCCCCTCGGGGGGGGGGGGTCGGGCCCGAGGGTGACGTGGCCACCCCTCCCTCTGTCTCCCCGAGGGGTCGGGCCGCTCCCGTTTCGGCCCCGAGGGCTAGGGCGCCCCCGTTTCGGCCCCGAGGGCTGGGGCGCCCCGACCCCCTGTGGTTTTGGCGCCACGTGTGTGGGTTAGGTGAGCACAGCGGGGCTCACCTAACCGCATTTATAGCGGGTTGGACGAGCGCGCCACGCCGCATTTAATGCGGCGCAGCGCACGCTTATCCGGTCCGTGACCGGTCGCGGTGTGTGACCGGTCACAGACCGGTCAGATCGCGGGTTAGGTGGCAACAGGCGGCCTGTCACACGCCTCGCCCCGTCCCGTCGAAATGATGAGAGCTTCCTGGCTCTCGTCCCTAGCCGGAGCCGGCGTGCTAACTCTTGGAGTTGGTATGTCAGTCCCGGTCAGATCCATTCCAGGCTTCAGCGCAAGCATGGCAAGGAAGTCGCTGGCCATTGAATGAAGGTTGAAATGGGCGTCCACCGGGAAAGCTGGCGAGCGGGGCAGGAGGCGTGTGCTCTGCTTGTCAGAGGTCACTTCCGGCTGTAGACTAGCCCTCATTGTAAAAAGCATGTTTCCTTTCTTAGGCAGCTGGAGGCCCATGTGGTGACCCCTGACCAGATAAAAAGGAGGCCCAGGCCTAGGAGAGGGAGAGGAGGGAGAAAAAAACAGGAGAAAAAGAGGAAGAGGGGTTGGGACTCTGGCGAATGGGGGCTAGAGCCTGAACTCTCTCTCGCTCTCCGGCTCTCTGTATTCCTTCACGCACAGATCCACCAGAACACAGGAGTAGGGTGTTACGCTTCTCAGCGGCCCAAACCTGTCTACGTCGCCCGTGTCTTGTGCACTTCCTCTCTCGCTGACGTTCCTCAGATCGAGGGCGAAGAACCTCACTTAGCGCCCCCGGCCGAACCGGCAAAGGGGGGCCTGCGCGGTCTCCCGGTGAGGAGCCCCACGCTCCGTCAATAAATATAGGCAAAAGTCTGCCGCAAAGACTTGTGGTATCTTAGAGTTTGATAGAGATAATAGTCGTGTCCGGTATGGGCATATCTTGTAATTCTCAGGTATAAATAGACCCCGAGCCTTATGTAATTAACAACACACGTTCAATACAATCTTGGCGCATCGCCACCCTTTTGCTTTAGTTTTGTTTCGACGAGTTCTTGCTTTCGGGTTGAGCTGCATTGGTTTCGATCTTCAACAAGAGGTAAAACTCGTTATGACGGATTATGTTTTTACGATTAGTGCTTCCATCTTTATGATACTCTAATCTTATTTATATAATTCGTCGAGTTATCATATATCTTATATAATCTCTAGCAATATCGCCACCTAATCTACTATCGGCTAACATCTGTACGCAGAGGGCAGCTGATTGGGTTAGATCTTGATGTTGATCTAGATTATAAGAGATATCTACCATTCTATGAAACTTCTAGCGGCTTGATTGTCTAGATATCGTTATTCTTTTCATACTTAATGTTGTATCAGTTGAGTTTGACCTATTGAGTCGTGCTTAGAATACCGATCTATAGCCTGCCTTCTAGTTGCCGATTAGAATAGCGTCAGAGTTTCAGCCGATCTTATCTGATTTACTTATATTTGTTCTATATGCTTCATTGACATGTTAAATCTGCCCTCTATATCAAGATATTGTTGTGTCTAAGTATATTAGGCTCTTGTTCAGTATATTATTCTTACTTTAATATCCTGATATAGAGTAGTATCGGAGTATTAGCCGATACATGCTAGATCTATCTGATCGGCTATGCTATAAACATATATAGTCCTGTTATTGATATATATTTCGATCTAAGTGATTTATACTGTCTCGGCATGATGACCGATCTATCCCAATCACTTGATTTAAGTATACATCGATATAAGGAGTATATATCGTGAATATCTACAGCCGATCGAGTAGATTTAGTTCTTCTTTACTTATTCATGACTGTCGATCGATGCACAGATGACATCGGCTTAAAGATAAATGATATGTCATCGGCATCTAGCCGATCGGCTATCATTTATAGATTTAACCACGGTTCCTTTGCTTATATTTCTTGTTGATTACAGGATCAAATCAACTGGCACGCTAACACATCTGAAGGCGAGCTTTGGATCTGCACTGGAGTTAAGCAGATCTCCTAGGCCACGTGTTTTCTGTCAACAGAGGCCCACGTGGGTCTCACGTTGACTCAGCCGCCACGTGGGACAAAACCGGGGTCAAAACCACTGAAGGACCCAAAGTGAATGGTTTTTATAAAGGGGGCTACTATATAACGGAATCCCGTTTTCGAACGGGATGATCCCGAGTAGGTATCAGGTGTAATACCTATCAGGTATCAGACGATTCTACACATGTTTCAGGTGATACTTGCAAAGTATCATGTGATACTTATCAAGTATCATACGATTTCTACCATGTATCGCGTGATACTCGCAAGGTATCATGTGATACCTATCAGGTATCAGACGATTTCTACCACGTATTGTGTAATACTCGCGAGGTATCATGTGATACCTGTAAGATATCAGACGATTTCTACCACGTATCGCGTGATACTCACGAGGTATCATGTCAGATATCGATGATTTCTACTATGTATCACGCGATACTTACTAGGTATCGGATGATACCTACCAGGTATTAGGTGATTCCTACTAGATATAACTGGACATCTCGTTGGGGAGAGGAGCATCTCGACGCGCGGCCGGCCACCTGCAGTCGTCCCTTGTAGACGGCGACGACGGCGGCGGCAGCGATGGACGGGCGCAGCGGCGACGGCGGCAGCGGGCGCGGCGGCGACGACGGCGGCGGTGAGGGACGGGCGCGGCGGCGGCGGCGGCGAGGGACGGCGACGGCAGCGGTGGGGGCGGGCGCGGCGGCGATGGCGGCGGCGATGGGGGACGTGGACGGCGGCGGCGGGGGACGGGCGCGCGTTGATGCCTTCAGCCGCGTCGCATGGATGAGAATCGCATCTGTGGAGGAGGAGTATCCTGCTAGGGGACGGGATAACCCTAGCATTCCCGTTTATAAATTGAGGGATGCCATATATCTGGTTTTGTGGTTGGGGAACGTTTTGTAACTCGATGACAGGTTGAGGGACCTTCGGTGTACTTTTTCCACAACTCGCAGGGCGACAGGGTCTAGCAGATCAAGCGAGGCCGAGGCCCAATCGAGTTTGACGAGCCGGGGACGCAGAATCCAACTCCTCCCGGTGGAAGTCAGGTTGGGCTAGGCTGGCTAGCCAAGAGGGCTTTTATAGGCTCCTGGGACGCATCGCCCTGCTTCGGCAGTACGGCGTCAACTTCTCCGCGGATTTGTTCGTCTCTCATCTCTTCCGCACGCCGCTGCTCCTCTGCCTGTTCGTCCATCTCCGAATTCTCTTCTCCTTTCGACTCTCTTTGATTCTCTCTCTGATAAAAAGGTCGTTTTTTCTCGGTTTGTTTTCTCATCTACGTGGATGTTGCCGATCACAATCGCTCGCGGAACACCGCTGTGTCTAGCTTCATGCCCCTGCGGTGTTCGTCGAATTGCCCGGCTGGGCATCGATGTGTGACCAGCGGTTCAAATGATCAAATTCCAGTGTCGTTTTCAGGTATTGCGCTTTCACTCTAGAATCACGCGTTTATCTCAGCAATTTCTTCCGTTGGACTGCATAAAATCTGGATGTGATGCTCGGCAGTATCGCGCTGTTCAGGTTGGTGGCATGTCGCGACATTGACTTGTGCCTCGCGGCGGGTTGATTTCCTCTGCTGCTTGGACGCATTTAACTACAAATTGACATGAATAGTACTAAATTAGCATGGCCTTTTTAATGGTTGCTGGACTCAACTGCTCATTAGCTACGTCCGTTATGAAACTTTGAGTTTGGTATAATCGAACGTGGCTATTTGCTGTTTCAATGGTAGTTGATGATAAGATCCTCTTTTTTTTTTCTAATATACGAGACATTAGGTAATGCACAGGACAAAAGCTAATTGGCCATATAAGATTGATTTGACTACTTGCTTATTCGTGATACAATTGTGACACAAGCTGCATACGCTTGCAGCTCTTATGTCTGAGCAGTGTTATAATAATTAGGTGACTAGGATGACAAAGTAGCCAAGCTTATCCTTGTTTTTTTTGTATGATTCAACCCTTCAACGATGTTAATCTTGTTGAAGCAGTAAATCGGCAGCTCTTAAGAAGTGAGTGCACTGGGCTCTAAAACACTTTTCAACTGAAAGACTGAAATGCAGAACTTTTTACCATATTTCCTCCTGATACCACTGTGGCAACCAACTACCATAGACTACTGTTTTTTTTAATAAAAAAAATGACACCAGTCACATGCTTTTTCTTGATGCCAAGCCATCAAGATACCGAAATCAAAAGAAGCAGGTGATCTAGTCATTTTTGATCGATGTGCATCTTCATTTCATTGGTTTGTTGACCTTTCTTGATAAATTATTTTCAGAAGAGACCTTTTGCAAAAAAAACAAGTGTTTGTCATGTATGCTGTGATTTTGCTTGAACTGAGCGGGATTAATTGGATGGAATCACTGAAAGTATGTTATTTTTTAAGTTTTATGGTTAGATGACAAAAATACTATATCACTGAAACACTTGCTCAGAGAGAAATCTAATTAATTACGCGTGTGGGTACCTCATTATTGAAGAAATCAGTTGATTAAATATGCCATGCTGACTTTATTCTCCTGTTCATATGAAATAGTACAGATTTGGTTGCATCATTTATGGTGACTTCCTAAAGGTATGACTCCACAGGCTTAGTTAAACTGAGACAATTCAGTTGTGTTCACAAGGGAAATTGTTGCCTCTTATTATTATATAAATCAACCAGTTGCACATTACTAGTTGGTTCTTTGCTCAGTTTAAATGGACTCTGAATAAATAAGTACAACTGATTCATGTTCTGTGAGGATTACTGATCAGTCTTCCTGATATTTCAGTAAAATGTACTGAAAGTGTACAAGCAGGACTATACCAGGTATTCGGTAGAACTAATTTTAACTCGGTGGAGTGTACATCTCCACCAGACCACCACCTTGGTTCGAGTTGTTTAATACTTTGATCCAATTTGTGTGCTTTTTATCTGTTTTGTTAATAAGAAATGTAGTTTTCCTACATGTTTTAATTTTCATCTTTGTTCCAATTATTTACTTAAAAAATCAATAATTCAAATTATTGCTGATGTTGCTTACCAATCTCCCCAGTATTAATTAAAAGGTGTGTCATGTAATCACAAAATGAAAGGGGGCTTGTCTATTTGTATTCAGAGGTAAAGATAAACGACACAGGTACACAAATTTAAACCACAGCTGATGCCATTATGAGCTGTCGTTGAATTGTTATTGCATGGTTGACAGGTTTTTAAGTTGCTCTCTTGATGTCCAGCAGGTGAAGCAAGGTAATTTCTCAAGTGATGCCTTGGACATAAACATGTCAAGCTGTCAACTCTTCTTAGTTGAGAGGCAGTACCTGACATTTAACTCAAGAAGAAGAGAAGCAATTTGTATTAGAGAACTACAAAACCTGCTGAATTTCTGGGCTATGGTACATTCATGTTCTCGTACCAAGGTTTGCAGTCACTTTACTTAGAACTTACCTCTACTAAAATCTGCTTCACTTACTAGAAGAAGTCGTTTCGCTGACTGGCCGAACCGTGCTTGTCGGGGTTTGAGTGGCACTATTTTCTTAGAGATAGTAACAGCTATGCATGAACTCATACAATTGACGCCCCCATGTGCCGTAGTGTATTGATGCCTGTGCAGTTGGCCTTCCCGTATGTGTGTACTCGAACTGTTAAGTGGATAGTAAAATGCACAGCTTCAGGGTAAATAGGTGTAAAAAATAGTGTGTGACAGACTTGACAATGCTAGTGCTATTGTGGTTACCCAGCATACTTGCTAGAAAAGGGTGTGTTTAGTTCACGCCAAAATTAGAAGTTTGGTTGAAATTAAAACGATGTGATGGAAACGTTGAAAGTTTATGTGTGTAGGAAAGTTTTGATGTGATGGAAAAGTTGGAAGTTTGAAGAAAAAATTTGTAACTAAACAAGGCCTTAGGAAAATGGATAATCATTCGTCATGATCATATACGTCAGATTTGCAATTTTTATTGTAGCTTGCTGACGCAGGATTTGCCGGCCAGAGCAGTGAAAGGCACCTCCAGGTCCGGACTCCAGATGAGAGCTACCTCGAAAGATAATGCCTATCCAGCAGGCTTCGCAGAAGGGTCCATGCGAAGGAATTTCCCTAATCCAGACACTTTAGGTAACCGGTCACATCAAACTCAAAAACTACATTTGGGCTGAGTTTAGATCCAAACTTTTTCTTCAAACGTCCAACTTATCCATCACATCAAAACTTTCCTACACGTACAAACTTCCAACTTTTCCGTCACATCATTCCAATTTCAACCAAACTTTCAATTTTGATATGAACTAAACACACCCTTGGTCTAGTCATATGATGTTGTATATCTATGTACTAATACATGACAGTGATTGAACTAGTATAAGAAGTCTACAAGGCACGTATGTTCTCTGTACTTGAGCATGTAGATGCGCATACATCTGAAAGAAAACACATAATAAGGGAGATTGAGGGAGGGGCTTCTAAATTCTCGAAGGAACATTCCGTCGTTATTTATATATCATTCAAATGGTTGAAAAAAAATAAAAAAAATTCAACCAAATAGATTAATATGAGATAGATCACTCCACAAATATGCAAGTTAAAATTCAACTTCTACATGTTGAAAAAAAAATAGAAAACACTATGGCTAGTTAACGTGTTTTCACAGTCAAATTTGTTTTTTTCGTTACAACTTGTGAAAGTTAAATTTGACCCTACATATTTGTGGAGTGATTTATCACATATTAATCTATCTTATTAATTTTTTTTTAATTTTTTTATAATCATTTAGATGACATGTAAATAATAAGGGATATCGCCTTGAGAATTTATAATAGTTTCCCGGGAGATTGATCAGGGTGTACATTGCTTGCTCATTGGGCAAAACCCTGTTTGAAATTTGAGAAAGAGATAGAGAGATGATCACAAGGGTTTGACTTTGACCAGGGATAGAGGAAGGCGCAACGCTGGGAGCAAATGAAAATTGACCATTGACCGGCCGATCGGTATGACGAGAGATTAGCCCGTTCCTTCTGCACAGAGACAAAAACATCACTGGAGCCACACCAGCACATGTTCTAACCTTCAGGATTCCAATTTTTTAATGTGGAGGTAATAGCCATTCGCCTGCAGGTAATCACTTTTTTTTTTCTGTGCAAGCTTCTGTTATATGAGTATGTTTTCGCCGGGTGTTTTATGAGTATGTTTGCTTTTTTTTTCTTTTTTCTCTCTCATTGTTTTTTTAGAACCAACAGTACCAGTGTTGAAATTGATCTTGTTTATTTCGTTTGGGAGAAACCTGTTAGCTGTGTTTGAGACATCTGAATTTTGTGTACTCTGAAATTGATATATGCCTTGACATTTACTATTTTATTTCCCATTGACAGATTATACAGTGACATGCCGAGCAACAAACCGGCCTACTATTTTTCTTCTTTCCGGATGGAGTCACGATCGCTGTTGCACGGACATTTTGTCTATGACGCGGTAAGAGGGAGGGAAAAAAAACAGTACATATTATGGACGTTTGCGTTGCAGCCTTGCAGTTGCGGGTTAGCCCGTTCCTTCTGCACAGAGACAAAAACATCACTGGAGCCACACCAGCACATGTTCTAACCTTCAGGATTCCAATTTTTTAATGTGGAGGTAATAGCCATTCGCCTGCAGGTAATCACTTTTTTTTTTCTGTGCAAGCTTCTGTTATATGAGTATGTTTTCGCCGGGTGTTTTATGAGTATGTTTGCTTTTTTTTTCTTTTTTCTCTCTCATTGTTTTTTTAGAACCAACAGTACCAGTGTTGAAATTGATCTTGTTTATTTCGTTTGGGAGAAACCTGTTAGCTGTGTTTGAGACATCTGAATTTTGTGTACTCTGAAATTGATATATGCCTTGACATTTACTATTTTATTTCCCATTGACAGATTATACAGTGACATGCCGAGCAACAAACCGGCCTACTATTTTTCTTCTTTCCGGATGGAGTCACGATCGCTGTTGCACGGACATTTTGTCTATGACGCGGTAAGAGGGAGGGAAAAAAAACAGTACATATTATGGACGTTTGCGTTGCAGCCTTGCAGTTGCGGGTTAGTTGGATCAGTAGGAAGGTCAGAGAGTTTCTGCAAGCAGAGAATCAGATCTGGGGAATGGAATGGCGCGAGCAAGGAAGCAACCAACCGTCCACTTCCATTTATAAGTCGCGGCTCGCGAGCTAGCAAACCCCCCTTGCTACATCACCAACCCCCACCCTTTTCTCCATTTCGTGGCCAACTCCTCCGCAGACCTGCCCTTCCGTATGGGCCTTCCCGGCCGTCGCCACCGCGGCGCCATGGCCGGCCGCGCCCTCGTCGTGCTGCTGTGGTGCGTGTCCGCCTCCGTGTTCCTCCCCTCCGCCCGCGCGCAGACCACCACCTTCACCAGCGCCATCGACGGCAAGAAGGCGACCACCTTCTCCTTCCCCACGTTCGACAAGTCCCTGATGCAGCTCGGCGCCAACCTGACCTTCTCCAGCAACGCCACCGTCAGCCAGAGCGCGCTGCAAGTCACCCCGGACAGCAGCAACAATCCTCTGGACTACCTCGTCAACCAGGCCGGCCGCGTCTTCTTCCCCACCCCGTTCGTCCTGTGGTCCTCCAACTCGTCCAACTCCACCGCCGATGGCAAGTACGTCGCCTCCTTCTCCACGGTGTTCAGGGCCAACCTCTACCGATCAAACACGACCATGAAAGGAGAGGGGCTGGCGTTTGTCATCGCGTCCACCAACGCCATCAACCCGCCGCCGGGCAGCTACGGCGAGTATCTTGGTCTCACCAACGCCTCCACCGACGGCAACGCCACCAACGGGTTCGCGGCCGTGGAGCTGGACAGCGTGAAGCAGCCCTACGACATCGACGACAACCACGTCGGCCTCGACATCAACGGCGTCCGCTCCAACGCCTCCGCCTCCCTCACCCCCTTCGGCATCCAGCTCGCGCCCAGCAACACCACCACTGACGACGGCAACTACTTCGTCTGGGTCGACTACAATGGCACGTCGCGGCACGTGTGGGTGTACATGGCCAAGAACGACACCAGAAAGCCCTCGACCCCGGTGCTCGACGCGCCGCTGGACCTCTCCACCGTCCTCCGCGGCAACAAGGGCTACTTCGGCTTCTCGGCGTCCACCGGCGAGACGTACGAGCTCAACTGCGTGCTCATGTGGAACATGACCGTCGAGATGCTCCCCGACGAGGGCGCCACCAAGAAGAAGGCGGCCCTGCCCGGATGGAAGCTCGGGGTGGTCGTCGGCGTGTCATCCTGCGCCGTCGCCGTGGTGCTCGGGCTGTTCGCCGCGCTGTACATCCGGAAGAGGAGGAAGAGGATCGGGGACGACCCGAGCTCCGTGTTCAACACCACCATTGATTTCAGGAGCATCCCGGGTGTGCCAAGGGAGTTCGATTACAGGGAGCTAAGGAGAGGGACCAACAACTTCGACGAGAAGATGAAGCTCGGGCAGGGCGGCTACGGCGTGGTCTACCGCGCCACCGTCGTTGGGGAGAACGGCCAGAACATGGAGGTCGCCGTGAAGCAGTTCTCCGGTGCCAACACCAAGGGGCAGGAGGATTTCCTCGCCGAGCTCAGCATCATCAACCGCCTCCGGCACCGTAATCTCGTCAAGCTCGTCGGTAAGCTCTACTACTTTTCTGAACATTCAAATCTTAGCTCGATATTGTTTATGTTTTTGTTCGATGCATGATAGTATCTTTTTGTGATTTAGTGATTAAGAATAGCTGAGTAGGACATTGATGCCGCCCTGATGAACTGCTAATTTCGTGATGAAATATTTCCTCAAGAACATCACCTTAATAAATGCCAACCCAAATCGCCAGATTATCTTTTGATTTGATTTGATTTGAAATATTTTCGCTTTTATTGAAATGGATGCTCCGATAAGTTTAGACTTTGTACTTTGTACTTGTTATTAGACCGCGTAGATGTTGTCTACTCGTGCCAATTTTTAACTGTTACATTCTCAGCAACAATTTCCTTCGTACGGTTGCGTGAAAATGAAAGCTTCCGAGTTCCGAGCCGTCGGAAATTTCAGTAGCCGTCTGAGAATAGACAAAAGTAAGCAATTTTTCATACCCACAATCACATGAAAACGATACACCACGACAACGATTACTGCCTTTATCTCAAGAAAAGTAGCAGATAAAATTCTAAGATAATTACACACAACAGATGTACTAGTAGATATTTTTAGCAGCTCAGCACGCCACATGGCAACTTGGCACCTAAGTTCAAAATTAAACACTGACCAGTTCCCACCGATTACCGAGCGGATTGGATCATGGCCAATACAGGTTGGATCAAGGCAAAGGTTTGACATCGTTTTGTCGCTTGCATTGTTGTTCGGAGAAAAATATTTGGTACGGAGTAGTTGTAGAACGGTCTGTATACCTTGCAACACTAATTAAGCCTTTTTTTTAAGGAAATCCTATTAATTTTTTTAATCTTGAGAATAACCACTTGTCTCTGACTTGAATAATTGGGTCATTGACAAAACCAACATGATTCATTCTACGTTTTTCACGTTTCAAAAATAATACACAATTCTATCTCTTGGGATAAGCATTCAATATTGATAATAAGCTAGTGGTGTACCAAAATACACAATCCTAAAATATTTTGGACGACCTGTCTGCAGGTTGGTGCCACCAAAATGGCGTCTTGTTGCTGGTGTACGACTACATGCCGAACGGTAGCCTGGACACGCACCTCTTCGGCGGGCCGGAGTCGGAGGTGCTGAACTGGCAGCAGCGCTACAACGTCGTCACCGGCGTCGCGTCGGCGCTGAACTACCTCCACCACGAGTACGACCAGATGGTGATCCACCGCGACATCAAGCCGTCCAACGTCATGCTCGACTCCGCCTTCAACGCGCGGCTCGGCGACTTCGGCCTCGCCCGCGCGCTCGAGTCCGACAAGACGTCGTACACCGACATCATCGGCGTCCCGGGGACGCTGGGGTACATCGCGCCGGAGTGCTTCCACACCGGCCGCGCGACGCGGGAGTCGGACGTGTTCGGCTTCGGCGCCGTCATCCTGGAGATCGTCTGCGGCCGCCGCATCTCCTGCAGCAACCCCGCCGGGTGCAGCCAGCTGCTGGAGGCCGTGTGGAAGCTCCACGGCGCGGCGGGCGGCGGCGGCGGCGGCGGCCGCATCCTCGAGGCCGTCGACCAGAGGCTCGCCGGCGAGTTCGACGAGGCCGAGGCCGAGCGGCTCCTGCTGCTGGGCCTCGCGTGCAGCCACCCGAACCCCGGGGAGCGGCCGAGGACGCAGACCATCCTGCAGATCCTGACGGGCGCCGCCCCGCCGCCGCACGTTCCGCCGTCGAAGCCGGCGTTCATGTGGCCCGCGATGCCCGTCGCGCTCGATGGCGACGACGACGACGAGACGTCGCGCAGCAGCACGGTGATGAACTCGTCGTCGTCGTACTACGTGTCCTCGTCGGGTTGGACCCAGAACTACCAGGTCAGCAAGGAGCACGAGGTGGCGGACAGGGACGTGGCGACGGTGTGACCGTAGACGAGTCCACGGCCCACACGTGCGGCCGGGACCCGACCCATCGCATCGGATTTGGCACGTTACCGTGGAGTTGGTGACAACGTTGAGAACAAAGATGGGACGGATGAAAGGTGTAAATAATGTCCATGAATATGCTATCGAGCTTTCCATTTGTTTTTTTTGCTCTGGGAGCTTCTTTAGTACAGTGGAGTACAAGACTACTGGTGTTTAGATTTGTTTCATTTTCTTCATACTTTGATGTCAAGCTGTAATGTTCTCAATTGGTGTAACAATGGTGGCTTGATCACTTCCAAATAGCGGAATGTGTAAGCATTAGTCATGATAGGCGATTGCTCCTTATACTCGCGTGCAACATGTTCCTCTTTGCGTTCGATCCTTCAAGTTAGAGGTTAGTTTTTACGGCACGTAAAATAACACGAGTCATTAACACATGAATAACTAACTATTAATTATTATAAATTTAGGAAATGGAATTATTTGATTTTTGTGAAAAAAAGCACAAAATATATCGTTTACAGTTTGAAGATGAGAAAGCTACACGTTCAAGTTTCTGAAAAGAACGGTGTCTTAGTGCTGGTCGACACTGGACCTTAAACTTCACATTACACTGTCACACTGCCTTTTCTGTGGCTTGCAACGTGAGAGCAAACTTTAGCAATACATGGATCAAACCTGTGGGAGCAAATCTGACATCTGTGGCTTGCAACGTGAGAGCTTCCATGCTTATATATTACTTACCCCAGCAATACATGGATCAAACCTGACCATTGTAGACCATGCAAATGTTAATGGAGCCAATTGGTTCTCTGTATTTTGTTAGGCAAATCTGCAATCGGAGAAGTCATGAACTTCCAAAGGATGCTAATGTGCTTTCCGAAGAAGGGCATGAACCTTCGGCATAACCCAATCGGAAGTTGCTGGTCCCAGTCTGTCTTGGTCTCTTTGTTCAGTCATGGTCTCTCTTGGACTCTTGGAGAAGAAGAGTTATGTACAATGTATGTGGCAGGTGGCACGATTGGCAAGTCCGCAAGTGGGAGAAGTCGACAACCACTGGACCAATTCCTTCCCGCGAATACCCCCTTGACTGTACATCAGTACATCACCAACTCCATCTCCCTTTACTTATGCATCGCCAACTCCACTGCTCCATGTTGCTTCTGCGCCGTCTCCGCCGTGCCGCCATGGCCGTGCTCATGCTAGTGTGGTGCGTGTCCGTTTTCTTGCTCCTCCCATCTGCCACCGCGCAGGCCACCACCTTCACCAGCAACGTCGACGGCAAGGAGTTCACCACATTCTCCTTCCCCAAGTTCGACAAGCCCCTGTTGCAGCTCCCCGACAACCTGACCTTCTCAGGCAACGCCACCATCGCCCAGGACGGGTTGCAGCTCACCCCGGACAGCGGCAACAGGCCCGAGATATTCCTCGTCAACCAGGCCGGCCACGCCTTCTTCACCGCCCCGTTCGTCGTCTGGGAATCCAAGTCGTCGTCGTCGTCGTCCAACTCCGCCGCCGCTGCCGCCGATGGAAAGTACGTCGCCTCGTTCTCCACCGTGTTCAAGGTTAACCTGTTCCGCTCGAACCTGAACAAGACGGTCAAGGGCGAGGGGCTCGCGTTCGTCGTCGCGTCGAGCAACGCCCGCGGGCCGCCGGTCGGTAGCCACGGCGGGTTCCTCGGCCTCACCAACGCCTCCACCGACGGCAACGCCACCAACGGGTTCGTGGCCGTGGAGCTGGACACAGTGAAGCAGCGCTACGACATCGACGACAACCACGTCGGCCTCGACGTCAACGGCGTCCGATCCACCGCCGCGGCGCCACTCGCCCCACTGGGTATCCAGCTCGCGCCCAGGAACACCACCGTCGACGACGGCATCTGCTTTGTCTGGGTCGACTACAATGGCACGTCGCGGCGGATGTCGGTGTACATCGCCAAGAACGAGAGCAAGCCCTCCGCCGCCGTGCTCAACGCGTCGCTGGACCTCTCCACCATCCTCCTCGGCAAGACGGCGTACTTCGGCTTCTCGGCGTCCACCGGCGCCGCGACGTACCAGCTCAACTGCGTGCGCATGTGGAACATGACCGTCGAGAGGCTCCACGACGGCACCACCACCACCGCCACGAAGCTAGCCGGCACGTCCGGCTGGAAGTTGGCCGTCGGCGTGTTGTGCGGCGTCGCCGTGGTGCTCGGGGTGGTCGCCGCGCTGTACATCCGGAAGAGGAGGAGACGGAGCGGCGGCGACCCGAGCTCGGCGTTCAACGCCGCCATTGATTTCAGGAAGATCCCAGGTTTGCCCAAGGAGTTCGACTACATGGAGCTGAGGAGAGGGACGAACAACTTCGACGAGAAGATGAAGCTGGGGCAGGGCGGGTACGGCGTGGTGTACCGCGCCACCGTGGTCGGGGAAGATGGCCGGAGCACGGACGTCGCCGTGAAGCAGTTCTCCGGTGCAAACACCAAGGGGAAGGAGGATTTCCTCGCCGAGCTCAGAATTATCAACTGCCTCCGTCATCGCAATCTCGTCAAGATCGTCGGTAAGCGATCATTTCTCGTTCTGGTTAACCGAAAAGGATACTTAGTTTAGATTGAAGTTGTGATTAGAGTATTAGATTGGGTACGGTTTGTCTAATAATTTGGAGTAGGAAATAATATTCTGAGATGGCACACAAGTTGGCACGGCAAATAGATGTTTTAAGAAGCTCACCACGCTATGTGGCAACTTGGGCCACTTGGCAGCTAAATTTAAAATTGAATCATCAGTCCATGACGTCTTTGCAAGCAGATTGAATCATAAGATAGATATTGGAGTGCTCTGGTTGACAATATGATAATGCAAGATTTGATCTTTTGCTTGCATTGTGTTAGAAGAAATATAGCGTTCGTTAGTTGGAACTTGGAACAGCCATGCAAATGCACATCTCTCTCTATATATATATATAGTTTAATTAGCTGCCAATTCACCATAAGAGGAGACATTCATATCCCAAAACAAACACCGTACGTTCAGTCTTCATTTTTCAAATTTCAAAATGATACGAAATTCTGTAAGCAAGTTCTAAACACATTTTGGACGACATGCACGTCTGCAGGTTGGTGCCGCCAAAATGGCAGGCTGTTGCTAGTGTACGACTACATGCCGAACGGCAGCCTGGACAGGCACATCTTCGGCGAGCCGGGCGCGGCGGCGCTGGACTGGAAGCAGCGCTACAACGTCGTCGCCGGCGTCGCGTCGGCGCTGAACTACCTCCACCACGAGTACGACCAGATGGTGATCCACCGCGACATCAAGCCGTCCAACATCATGCTCGACTCCGCCTTCAACGCGCGGCTCGGCGACTTCGGCCTCGCCCGCGCGCTCGAGTCCGACAAGACGTCGTACACCGACATGGCCGGCGTCACGGGGACGCTGGGGTACATCGCGCCGGAGTGCTTCCACACCGGCCGCGCGACGCGGGAGTCGGACGTGTTCGGCTTCGGCGCCGTCGTCCTGGAGATCGTCTGCGGCCGCCGCGTCTCCTGCAGCGACCTCCCCGGCTGGCTCAGCCTGCTGGAGTGGGTCTGGAAGCTCCACGGCGCGGCTGGCGGCGGCGGCATCCTCGAGGCCGTCGACCAGAGGCTCGCCGGCGAGTTCGACGAGGTCGAGGCCGAGCGGCTCCTGCTGCTGGGCCTCGCGTGCAGCCACCCGAACCCCGGGGAGCGGCCGAGGACGCAGGCCATCCTGCAGATCCTGACGGGCGCCGCCCCGCCGCCGCACGTGCCGCCGTCGAAGCCGGCGTTCATGTGGCCCGCGATGCCCGTCGCGCTCGATGGCGACGACGACGACAGCGAGACGCCGACGTCGCGCAGCAGCATGCTGCTGACCTCGTCGTCGACGGGGTGGACCAAAATCTTCCAGGTGAGCAAAGAGCATGACGTGGCGGAGAAGGACGTGGCCGCAGAGTGAACAGCCGGGAAGAGTCAGCGGCTCGCGTGCGGGCGAGGCCTGGTCAATCGAGACCGTCGAGCTGGTGGAACACTGGACGACGTGCAGGAGTATGACCAAACAAAACGGAGTAAAAAAATGTGCGTTGCCATGGAATGGCGGAGGTTGTTTTTGCTCTAACATTTTTCAACTTGCTGCGTTAAATACAATCTAGTGGTGTACGGCGGTGAGTGTAGTTTATGCGAGTAGTAGCTGTATTTGTCACGTCAGAATTTTTTTTTCCCATGGTGCGCAAGAGGGAGGGGAAAACACTTGCTTATTGTTCCAAGCTTTGCAGCCACCTTAGTACTACCATACTGGAGTATTGCGAGAAAGGAAGGTCTTGGAGCACGTTTTCAAAGATGCTTTCTTATTTTAATGGTTCAAACATTTCGGTTGGGGTTATCGACTTGGATTATATCAACAATACTAGTGTACTGGAAACGTGGTTGTGAATTTATGGTGCTCTTATCATCCAAACTAGCTGGGTGGTCCGCTCAATTGCGCGGCTAGCACCTAAACAAAATCATATACTTTTTAGTATGATTTAACTTAAAATTTATTAAATAGCTATCTCATTGTCTTAAGACTTTGAAAGACCAAACCTTATCATCATCGTGTTTCTAATTATATAGTTTTTAAAAGTCACACCAGTTGCTACCCCTTATGTCATCTCATTATTTATTTGCTTGCTCGATCTACCACTATTTCTATTCATTCTTCTTGGAACCTTTAAAAATTGGATTTTATAGTTTTTAGAGTTTATTGTCACGTTGGGTTTCATTTTTATAATTTCTAGATATCCCGTCAAACGTTGCTATTATACTCCTTTACGGCCCGTCCACTGTCTCTTCTCTTTATTGTTATTGAGATTTTAAAAATAAAAAATAATTATTGTTTGGGTTTATTTTTACTTTCTAGAAGTCCTGCCAAACCGTTAGCGGCTTTGCCATTATACTCATCTATGGCTCGCTCGCTGCCTTCCTTCTTTATTGTCATTGAGATTTTAAAATCGAACATGATTATCATTGGGTTTTTTTTTACTTTTTAGAAGTTCCGAACCTTTAAAAATTTTGTAGTTTTATTTTTTTTATAATTTTTAGAAGTCCCATCATACGATGCCACTATGCCCCTCTACAGCCCGTCCACCGCCTACTCTTTATTGTCATTGTGATTCTAAAAATCGAACATAACTATCGTTGGAATTCATTTTTTATTTTCTAGAAGTCCCATCGGCGACGGCTCTGCAACTATACTCTTATACACCCTGTCCACTGCTTCTCCTTTTTATTATCATTGAGATTTTAAAAATCGAATATGATTATCAATGGGGCCTGGTTTTTTTTTACTTTCTAGAAGTCTCGGCAACCGCCTTATTCGTTTGCTTCACGGCATGCATGACGTCCCTCCTTTTAATCGTCATTAAGATTCTATTTGATGTTTTATTAATAATTTTTATATGTCGTATCAACCGCCACCACTCTACTCCTTTATAGGCATGTTACTTAATTTATCTTGTCATGTGTTTTAGATGGTATTTTCTTTCAATAATCTTTATTTTTATAATAAATTTTAGTTATTTATAAATTGTATTCCTAATTGAAATCTTTTTTTTCTAATTTTAGATTTCTTTTGCTAATTTTTGATTTATTTATTTTGATTCTGAATTTTAATTAATCTCGTATTGGGTTTTATACGGACTCTTCTTTTAATATTCCTTATTTTTAAATCCGAAATTCAGTTATTTTTAAATTGTATTCCCACTTAGACTCTCATTTTCTTTTCTAATTTTGGATTTTATTTTATTTTTATTTCTAATTTTGATTAATCTCGTATTGGGTTCTTATATGGAAACTTCTTTCAATATTGCTTATTTGTAATTCCGAATTTCAGCTATTTTTAAATTGTATTTCTACTTGGACTCTCCTTTCCTTTTCTAATTTTGGATTTTATTTTACTTTTATTTTGAATTTTGATTAATCTCGTATTGGGTTCTTATATGGAAATTTCTTTCAATATTGCTTATTTTTAATTCTGAATTTTAACTATTTTTAAATTGTATTTCTACTTGGACTCTCCTTTCCTTTTCTAATTTTGGATTTATTGGGTTCCTATATGGACACTTCTTTCCATATTGTTTTTGGACTCTCCTTTCCTTTTCTAATTTTGGATTTTATTTTATTTTTATTTCGAATTTTGATTAATGCCGTATTGGCTTCTTATATGGACTCCTCTTTCCATATTGCTTATTTCTAATTTCGAATTTAAGTTATTTTTAGATTGTACTTCTATTTGGACTCTCCTTTTCTTTTTTTTATTTCTCTCCGATTAATGTGGGAATTTCTAGCTGGGTGGCCCGCGCAACTGCGCGGCTAGCTTCCATTCAAAATTATTTTTTTACACACATTTTTCTTTAAAATTTACTAAATAGTCATCTCGTTATCTTACATATTTTGAAAATGAACCTTATCATCATCATTTTATAGTAGTAATTCTTAAAAGTAACACTAATCGGCACCCCACACTCCTTAGCCTCCCCTTTATTTTCTTATCATGTTTATCACGACTTCTATTCATCACCCTTTGGAACCTTTAAAAACATGTCTCGTCAGGCTTTCTTTTTCATAGTTTTTAGAAGTCCTATCAAACTTAACCACTATACTCCTTTACGGCATACCCATTGTACTCCTCTTAATTATCATTGGGATTATAAAAATTAAACTTGATTATCATTAGTTTCTTTTTTTTACTTTTTAGAAGTCTTATCAACCATCGCGACAATACTCCTTCACAGCCACCCTGTCGCCCCTCCTCTTAATCGTCATTAGGATTCTAAAAATTGAATCTAATCATCATTTAGGTGTTGTTTCATAGTATTAGATGTCCCATCAATTGTTATCATCCTACCCCTTTACGGCTTGCTTGATATCCCGTTCCGTATAGTCATTTTCCATAATGTCCCATTCTTTATCGTCATTTGCCACCCTTTATCATAGATAGACTTTTTTTAATATTCTTTATTTTCTATTTTGTATATGTGCTATTTATAAATTATATTATTACTCTTATTTTCTTTTTTCTTATTCCTATTTTTATTTTTATTTTTTATTCCAAATTTTAATTAATTTTGTGCTCCTATTTTCTACATGGACTTTTTAAATTATTTTTTATTCCAAATTTTAATTGTCTCCCTAGTTGAACTAATATTTTTATTTTTATAATTACTGAATTTATTTATTTTTATATTGAATTATACTTAATCTCGTGTTTATGTTCGAGATGGTCTTTTATTTTAATATTATTTATTATTTATTCTGAAATTTAGTTTTTTTATAGATTTTATTTCTACTTGAACTCTTATTTCTCCTTTTCCATTTTCGAATTGATTGTATTCTTTTTCCTAATTTTAATTAATCTTGTATTGTATTATACATGGACTATCTTTAATTTTAAACTCTTATATTTTCTCTGATCAATGTCAAAATTTCTAGCTTCCACATACGAAGGGCCTCATCTTTTCGTTTATCCTTATACTTATCTGCCAAAATTTAAATTTTCAACCTTTATATATATATATATATATAAGTTTTATTCACAAATTACTTTTCGTTTGCAAATATGCCGCGAAACGATGGCTCTGGAAATTTCTGAATTGTAATAGCTAGGTGGTCCTCACATTATGCTGCTAGAAGCCATATAAAATTATCTAACTTTTTTACGCATGATTTTCTTTAAGTTTTGTTAATCGTTGTCTTAGGATTTGAAAAAATCGATTATGTTTTCCAGCCGTGTATGTTGAGCATCGAACAGACTCCGTGCGTGTGCTCACCACAACTAACGGTTGATACATATATACATGCATGTGGTTTCTAGTTGCCAACTTGAGATTTAAGCTGATCGTCTGATTTTGATAAATGCAAACCAAGTTGGTTTTGCTTTTCCCGTTCCAGAATTAATGCCGATTGGTTTTTTTACCATAAATGGTTACTTTATCGTGACTATCGCCGAAGGCAACGATATGATGCTAGTTAGGGTTAACAACCTGACACCTATAATGCCTCGAGTTATAGGTGACGATTGTTAGCTTCAATGCCTCGCGAGCACGACCTCGAGTAGGAAATTCGCTATAGACTGGGTAATGCGAGATGGAAATCTAAACCTGCTATGTCTTAATGATGTAAATATTTTAGTGTTTCAATAATATTTTGAGTCAACGATTTATTTAGGGATACAAAGGGAGTAAATGTTTGTAGTTGTATATATACATGCAAGGCTATAATTTACATGCAATGAGCAATCCAGATGATACTGAATCCAATATAAATGGTACCCAGGCTACATAAACATGTATGGGTCAACAGCTTGCTAGTTTGCTCCATCGCTTGTTTCATTTGTAGGTCCACTGGTATGTTATGACATGCATGAGAATGCTTATGTGGACAGCACATGTACGGCAGCATGTTAATCCGGCTGCAAACATATATGCAATCCAACTCTGCTTCGGCTTGTTTTATCCGATTCATTCTACAGCAAAAGTGTGGGGATATTTGCTGTGTATGATTATTTCTCTAACTCTTTATCCGTTTGTAGAAAGACAGTAATATTTCTATATATTCATAGCTCAACCTGAACCATTATAATCTAGACCCACTACGATCTAACGGTGTAGATATTTCTTTTTTTCTTCGATTAATGTGGGAATTTCTAGCCTCCACGATGAACGTGATGTCTTCTTTTCGAGCTGTCTTAATAATATAATATATAGATCCGTGAAGGTTGTCGCAGTCCCGTTGGCTACTGCCAGAAAAGAATTCTCCTGTAAAGCTGCATTTGCATGTTACTTGTCATAGAATTTCTTTTTTTTCCATTTTTTTTAAGAATAGGCTGGAGATTTACCTAAGAATATATTAAGGCCATCTGGATCCCCTGGCTTCAAGAAGCTTGGGCAAGTTGCTATGTGCCGCTGTGTAAGACTGTAAGGTTATTCTCCCTGCAGAACAATCTGAAAAAAAGACTTGTTCAGAATTCTTTGGGTGCTCAAGTGCAAAGTTAGGGCCTGTTCACTTTGATGCCAAAAAAAAAACCTTACCAAATTTTGGCATTACCAAAATTTTGACAGGATTTCTTATATAGTTACCAAAATTTGGCAGCAAACTAAATGTAGCCACTTTTTTGGCAACTTTACTAAAATTTGATAAGGTTAAAAATGACATCAAAGTGAACAGGCCCTTATTTTTCGGAGCCTTATAAGGGCCCAATTCACCATGATGGCCCAATAAAACTATCGGTGCTGTGCACCCCAGGCCCGCCATCTCTCTGGGCTCCTTTCTTGTCGCGAAATTTGTATTGGGCCCAAATCACCATTATGGCTCAAATCACCATTACGGCCCAATTCATCTTCTCTTCGCCTGCTGCCCAAAACTGTATGTAGGCCACCCAGTCGACAGCCATCTGGGCTTCTTTACAGGCTAATAATTACAGCCCAACGCCCTCGCCGTCGTCAGAGGCCGAAAGGCCATCCCGATGTTCGCCGTCGAGTAGATCACGGCTTCCCTATGTACTTCTATAGTCTCTATTCATCCTCAACACAACTACACAAGCGACGGCGGCGCGGTGTAGTCGTGAGTTGTGACGCAGCCGGTGCGCCATGCGACTTTGGTTGGCATCGTCGAAGCATTTTGGTTGGCATCGCGTCCTCAGGTGCGAGTGTGTGACAGTTGTTCCGCAGCGCGCTCATGCCCACTACTGTGAAACGTGAATGCCCTGCGCCCCTGCCTGCTGATCACCTGCCGCACAGTGCCCGCACTCCGGTATTTCGCGATCGCGGTGGTAGCCTGTGCAAAGGCAGCGAGCAGCAGTACTACTACTCACTTTGCTATAGCAAATATAGCGCCCAGTCGTAATAACACTACACTGTAAAAAGTCTTCCTGGCTAAAGAAAACAGTAAAAAAATTACTCCCTCCGTTCCATAATATAAGGGATTTTAAGTTTTTACTTACAACGTTTAACCACTCGTCTTATTCAATTTTTTTTTTTGCAAATATAAAAAGCGAAAAGTTGTGCTTAAAGTGCTGTAGATAATAAAGTAAGTCACAAATAAAATAAATAATAATTTCAAAAAATATTGAATAAGACGAGTGGTCAAACGTTGCAAGCAAAAACTTAAAATCTCTTGTATTATAGAACGGAGGGAGTATGTACTAGTAGGCCGTGTTTAGTTCCCCAAATTCCTAACTTTTCATCACATTACATCACATCAAAAACTTTACTACACATATAAACTACCAATTTTTTCTCCAAACTAACAACTTTCTTCCAGCCTCTCAACTTTTTCAGCTCTAAACATAGCCGTAGTATCGATGATTTGTTCCCTTTCCTCGATCCTGGGCTGGCTGGACCCGACCGCTGATACCGTAAATCGGGACGAAACACGAGGCGAGCTGACCAACGAGTATGGCCATGCTTTCGCTTTGCAGCACGCAGAGCCAAGAGAAAGGCGACCCACCAACGGGAGGACTGGCCCGCGCCGCACACGCACACCCAAACCCCACATCGTGTCGCGGAGCTCGCCGTCACGGTCACGTGTCGCGAGACGCCAACCGCTGCCAGTTACCGTTGGTTCAGCTGGCCCCGCCGCCCCGTCGCGCCCCGCGCGGCCGGCGATGTCTCACTACGCGCGCCAGCAACGTTACCACCTCCCTTCATGTGCGCCTGCATGTACAGTAGAGATTGCGTGGCTCAAATTATACAGATGGGCCGAGGCGTCTCCCGGTCGTGTCGCGATCCGCCGCGCGGCGCGCGCGCGCGTCGGGCTGGTTCCACGTACTACTACTGTACTCCCTCTATACTCGTAAAGAAAGTTATTTTGGACAGCGACACAGTCTTCAAAGCATAAATTTAACTTCTTATTTATATAAAAATATTTATTGAAAAGTGGTATATGTATATTTTTATAAAAATATTTTTCAAGACAAATTTTTACATTTTCAAACTCAACAACTTGAGTTATTCATGATTTATATTCCTAAAGTTTAATTTAAACATTGTTCTAAACGATTTTCTTACTTAGTATTAGGGAGTACTCCGGTGTTTATCATCGGCACGCTTGCGTCGCTGCCTGGTACAGTCGGCGTTTGTCGTGACAGCTAACGCCTCGCGGGTTCGCGTGGCGCTCTTCCCAGCTTGAAGACAAAGGTTTGGCTCTCTTCGCTTTCTTCTTCTGTCTTTCGTGGGGTATCGACGCGCAAAGCCGCAAACGGCGCAAATGGTGTGGTTGGTGGTACGTACATTCGCTTCTTGCCCCAGCAGATTACTCCACCAGGTGCGACTATACTACTACTGCTGCTACCTCGTGATATTACTTTTCTATGCCAAATATGCGTTACCTGTCTTATTCCATTGTTGGTTTTGATTTGAATGACTGTGCCGCAGATTGCGTAATCTGATGGGCCTGAACCCTTATGTTACTCGTGTTACATGATAGCTCTTTCACCAAAGAATCCAGCCAATTCATGCTAAAAGGTTTGAGTATGGAGGAGTCGGTGTTGCTGGTGGGTTACGGATTATCAAAGGAACCAACTTGGAACCTTGGACTGAAAAACGGGGTTATGCTTGTTCACGTGTGTGAGTTGATGATCGCTGCGACATTTTATATAGATAAGCTTTGTGATTCAGGGTGCTGTCTGAAAGCAAAATATTCCCGAATCAGCAAGGTAATTAAGGGATTGTTCTGAATCTGTCACGGGCAAACATTGGCCCTCCCTTTCCGGCACATTGACCTTCCATCAACGGACTGTGACATTCTAGTTGCGAAATTAGATTTGGAATGTGTTTGCTTTCATTGGATGATACGTCTTCGTCGACATGGACGCATAACCCACCGTATTTCTCAGACCCGAGTTACGTTCAAGTTTCCCTGTGAGGCTGTTGTCAGTTGCTGAAACAACCGTTCTTCTGTGAAGCGACGATGGAAAAACATGTTATCGTGCCGATTTAATCCAGTAGTGAGATTAAAAACCTTTTTCGATACTTGCATCGATCTGACTTCGAAGATGGGTGGTGTTGTATGGAGACATTCAAGAACGCGAAGCGATCTCGTTGCCATCATCAACCGGGGCAAATTCGATTCGGTTACGGCAAGCAGACGATACAGCCTGCCCGCGCGAAAGCAGATGTTAGATCGAAATACTGACAGTTCAGATACAAATCGCCAAGGACGCACGTCGCCAGAAATTACCTCCCCCGAGCTCGAACTGCCATCTCGGGCTCTCAGCATCCAACAGAGAGAAAAGAAAAGGCAAAAAAAAATAAAGAAAACTGCCGCCTCGTAATCATAGAGTAGTGTTCCTACCTGGAAGTTTAATCACCGTTAGTGCTGATGCGGTTGGGCACAACCACACGGAAAGCAAGCATCTATAATAGACTTGTAGAGTTCTATAGTGCAGAATTAAGAATATACATTGGATTAGCATATGCATCGTTAGAAATGTGGGGTACTAATACTTCCGAAAATCATAAAGGAGAAAGTCGAAAGTATTGAGGGGCCCTCTGTTGGAAAGGTGTGACCTTGATGGGGACGATGAACTGTTGGCGTGCACGATACAGGTGTAAGGCTGCAAGCAGAGGGGAGCGCGGCCGGAGAGCCAGCGAGGAAGGCCGGGAAAATTAGACCGACGAGATGACGATCTTCTTCAGACGGATAGAGAGAAAGAGAAAGGAATACGAGAACCGCAATTTCGCTGACACGTCGAATTCTAGAACTGCTCGGCCGCTTTGTTGGAGCACGCCGTATTATTTATCCTGGATCAGAACAGAACAAAAGTGCAGTGCTGTGACGATCAACGAGCTGCTGGTGAAGCTCTGCGCTGACACGTTGATGCAGCGGAGCACGGCCTTTGGAGCTGCATGGCATGCAGTGCATGCATTGCCCAGTGGTGTCTCGGATGCGTCACCGATGCACTGCCCCCATACCATCATATCTATCCTAAACAACACAACAAATCTTGGGCAACTTTGCAACACGGCCTCTGCCTACGAGATCGGCGACGACGCGATCACCGGCCGCCGGTACGACGGGCTGAACGAACCTGGCTGGCATCCTAATCTTTTCGCGTTCCCATTCCCCGGCCGTTTTCTTGGTGTTTGCATTGCACCGCCAGGCGGGCGGGGGGCCGCACTACGGTTGGTGGGGACGCGCATTGCGGGTACGTGATGCAGTAAACGCGGCAGGAGCGACCACCACGGCTACCGGTGGCCATAACTCACACCAGGAAAGGAGAAGGCAACCTGCCTTGACTGTTGCTCCGCTGCCTCGCCGCGCGGCTCGGCCCGGCCCCCATATCCCGTTTCTGCCATTTCCCATCACAATTCACACCCCCACGGCGAGGAGTCCAGAAGCGTCCCTTCTCCTCTCCTCTCCACGCCGTCTAGTCTCGTCTCGTCTCGCCGACCGACCCATCCATCCATCGATCGATCGATCGCTGGATTGAGGGTTCAGTTCACGCGCGACACCAGCAGCCTGCCTCATCACCTTCCGCTCCCGTCCCCTTCCGCCTCTCGCATCATCGCCTTCTACATTCTCCGCGCCCCTCTTGAGGCGTGATACCTTGGCCTTCTCTGCCCGCCGATCTGCCTCGCCACGCGGTTCGTCGTGCTGCTGCGGGGCGGCGTCCGGCGGAGAGGGGGCGCGCGGCGGGGTGTAGGTAGCTATGAAGAACGGGGCGAGGAAAGACGCGGGCGGCGGCGGCGGCGGAGTGTTCGTCCCGTGCGTCGACATCAAGTCGTTCGTGCTCTCGCTCGCCTTCCTCACGGTGTTCGTCGCATTGTGGCAGCTCCAGCCGTACGGCTCGTTGCTCACCGCGGCGCGCTCCACCGCCTCTGTCTCGGCCTCGCCATGTTCCCTCATCGCCACGCCCGCCGCCGCCGCCGCGAGCGCAGGCGTCATCCGGTCGGAGAACTCCACCGCCGACACGGCCAAGACCGCGCCGGCCGCCGTTGCTAGCGCAGTCCCCGCGCGGTTGGCTAGGGCGGCGAGGCCGGCGCGGGTGGAGGACCCCAACAAGCGTGAGCTCCGGCCGTACGGCAGCGCGGCGGCGCTGTTCGTTCAGATGGGCGCGTACCGCGGCGGGCCGCGGACGTTCGCCATCGTGGGATTAGCGTCCAAGCCCACCCATGTGTTCAGCAACCCCTACTTCAAATGCGAGTGGCTGCCCAACCCCACCGCCGGCAACCCGTCGCCGCGCCCCGTCCGCACCAAGGCGTACAAGATGCTCCCGGACTGGGGGTACGGCCGCGTCTACACCGTCGTCGTCGTCAACTGCACCTTCCCATCCAACCCCAACGCCGACAACGCCGGCGGCAAGCTGCTCGTCCACGCCTACTACTCCACCACCTCCCGCCGCTACGAGCGCTTCGTGGCGCTCGAGGAGGCCCCGGGCTCGTACGACGAGTCCCGCTTCAGCCCGCCGTTCCCGTACGACTACCTCTACTGCGGCTCGTCGCTGTACGGCAACCTCAGCGCCAGCCGCATGCGGGAGTGGGTGGCCTACCACGCGCACTTCTTCGGGCCGAGGTCGCACTTCGTCTTCCACGACGCCGGCGGCATCAGCCCGGAGGTGAAGGCGGTGCTGGATCCGTGGGTCCGCGCCGGCCGGCTCACGGTGCAGGACATCCGGGCGCAGGCGGAGTACGACGGCTACTACTACAACCAGTTCTTGGTGGTGAACGACTGCCTGCACCGGTACAGGCACGCCGCCAATTGGACCTTCTTCTTCGACGTCGATGAGTACATTTACCTGCCCAATGGGCAGACGCTCGACCAGGTGCTCGGCAAGCTCTCGGGATACTCGCAGTTCACCATCGAGCAGAATCCCATGTCCAGCAAGCTCTGCGTGCAGGATCCAAGCAAGGATTACTCAAGGTTTGTCTTTTTGATTCCTCGCATGTTCTAATTTTGGTCCTCTTCTTGCATACCTACTCCCATTTTATATCGAAGAAATTCCATATCTGCTATTTTGTTTTTCAGATTTAGGGGGTGCTTGAATGTAGGATATTTGAGTACTTTTGCGTGAATTAGAGCAAATGCTGTGAAAATTTTGCAATTTTTTTTGTTATAGCCGTTCAGTATATCAGTTTTAGGCTGCAGGGTGCATTCTGCTGGGTTCGGTAGCATTTTTCTTTTGGGTAGTTTGTTGTCTGCCATGGAATGTGCATTGTGTTGATTAATCTATCAGACATTCTAGACGAGGTTAAGTAAGTCAGCGGTTACTTATTTGTGCAATTTGTTGATCAGTTGGGCAATGAGCTGTAGTATAATATAGTAGTAGTATTTCAACTTGCAAGTCCAGACTGCAGACGTTGATTGACTGGTATGTTCAAGTGTGTAACCATGTCTTGTATTGTATTCTGATTTCTGACTGGTATGTTCCTTCAAGTTAACTTTGCATAGGCTTCGGTTAGTTCGGTACAAAAGATCCAATTTTCTTTTAAGAGTTGGTTTGAGGTACTCCATCTTTATTCATTGGGATGAGTAGGTGATGGACATAAGTCATCGCAATTCATCATCTTTGCCAACATAGGCTGTGTTTAGATCCAGGGTGAAAAGTTTTGGCGTGTCATATCGGATATACAGACATATATATTTGAAGTATTAAACGTAGACTAATAACAAAACAAATTACAGATTCCGCCTGTAAACTGCGAGATGAATTTATTAAGCCTAATTAATCCGTCATTAGCAAATGTTTACTGTAGCACCACATTGTCGAATCATGGAGCAATTAGGCTTAAAAGATCTCGCAATTTACACACAATCTGTGTAATTAGTTATTTTTTTTCGTTTATATTTAATACTCTATACATGTGTCCAAATATTCGATGTGAGATGGTGAAAAATTTTGCCAGGGGATCTAAACAGGCCCATAATTGTAGGAAACTGCAAACTAATTAAGGTCACTAAAGGAACACAACTAATGTCTGGCCAGGAAAAAGGGATGCAATTAATGAAATTAATTGATGTCTAAAAACTCTCACCATGCTTTGCTGAATAATACTGTATAGATTTCCATGTATTACATGAAAGTGAAACTATCTATGTGCAAGAAACTTCTTTACGGAATATTCAGAGCATCATCTATTATTATTATGTAACCCCTGCTAACAAATTTGACTTCACAACTACTCCCTCCGTTTCACAATATAAGTCATTCTAGCATTTCCCACATTCATATTGATGTCTATATATATATATATATATATATATATATATATATATATATATATATATATATAATTTTCTATAGATGCTCTTTCTATCTGCATTCTTGATCTTTGGGCAAGTCATTGCCTGTACAAGTGCTGTTGTGAATGTTGGCGCCTGTAAAAGGCCCAATTTTTACACAACAAAGGGCTCATGACTGTTGGTTCCTGAAAAAAAAGACCTTTTTTAACACCAAAAGGTTGAATTTTTATGCTCTATCATGCTTTTATGTCTGTTTGCAAGGAAACAATTATAGTAACTGTTTAGATTGGTAGGTTTGACACTGTTTGATGCTAAAACATATTACGTGTGCCGTTCATATGCAGGGAATGGGGTTTTGAGAAGCTTGTCTTCCGCAATTCAATTACCAAAGTTAGGCGAGATCGCAAATATGCGATCCAGGCCCGAAACGCATACTCTGCCGGCGTACACATGTCACAGAATGTCTACGGGAGGACAACCCATAAGACAGAAAGCCTGATCAGATACTACCACTATCACAATTCGATCAATGTCATGGGAGAGCCTTGTCGGGAATTTGTGCCGGTGCCGGTCAATGGTAGTAAGTTGATGTTCGAGGGGATCCCTTACGTATACGATGATAACATGAAGCGTTTGGCTGGGCAGATCAAGCGGTTTGAGAAGGAAGCAATTGGATCTGCTCATACATAGGCACATAGCAACTGAACTACTGAAGACTGCCGGTACATAACTACAGTCTACATATATACCTGATGATATTGTTTAGGATGCCTGGTTGAGAGTTGAGACGGGCTCACGCTTCTGCTGTTGCAAGCCACCGTGTCTGGCTGGTAAGCAGAGGGAAGAGCTTGCAAGTGGGTTGGTCCAAGTGGTGTAAAGTTTTGGTTCTTTTTATTGACATGCCATTCTCTACAGGAGCACTGCTGTTTTTGCTCCATTTTCTCCTTTCTCTTTTCTCCTTACCCCCACATCTGTTATTATAGATCTGTGTAAACTGTAAACTTATGGCCCTGCCTTTTTACAGTAGATTCTTTGATAGATCTCCCTCCGGGGTTACATGCAGTGTTTGTTGTTTTGTGTGTAAATCTGGATTGCACATTACTCTTCTGTACTATCCATTAGGCCATCAGCAATGGGTACCTTCGACCCGTCCCCTCACAAACGGCCGTTTCCCTCCCGTCCTCTTTTCGGCGTGAGCCGTCTCCCCAGCTAGGAGCGCGTCTACTCCTTGGGAGACGCGGCTCTATGCAAGGAGCGCTCGCTTTTCGCGGAGAGCCGGCCCTCGCCCCTGCGAGGAGACCCGCTGCGAACTCCCGTCTCCTCACCGCTCCCCCCAAATCCCCTTCCTACCCTCGCCCCCTCGCCTCTCTCCCACGGCGGCGCCCACTCGTCGATCCGCTCCACCGGCCGCCATCGACCGGCGGGCGGGGAGGTCCGCGACGGCAGGGAGGAGCTCGGCGGCCTTGAAGAGGAGGAGGGCGAGCCAGTCGTCGGCGAGGCGGCGCTGGGCGGAGGTGCCGGGGGCGGCAGAGTCGAGGGCGGAGTCGATGTGGGAGAAGAGGGTGTGGGAGATGGCGATGTGGATGAGGAAGAGGAGGGAGAGCGGGAGGACGAAGGTGGCGGCGATGCGGGCGAAGAGAGGGCGGTCGGCGACGATGATGATGAGCTTCGTCGGCGACGGCTGGAGGGAGAGAGGGGAGCGGGAGGAGGGCGACCGGCGCTGACCTCGCCGGCGAGCCGCCGCCGTCGCTGCCCGAGGCCAGATCCGGCAAGCCCAGGCCGGATCTGGCCACCTCGCCGCCACTCCGACGACGACGACCCTGCGGTGTTCTACCTTCGCGGCCGGTCGGCGCGGCTCAACTTCCCCGAGGAGATCTCCTTGCTGGCTTCGCCGTCAGAGGGTGGCGGCGCAGGCGAGCCCCGCGAGCCCGACGGCGGCACGCTGTCCGCGGCCTCGATCCGGAAGAAGGCCATCGAGGTCGGCTCCCATGTCGACGCGCTCCAGACCGGCATGATGGTCGCGCCGACCCACCACCGCGAGCAGCAGAAGCACCACCACCACCCGCACCTGCAACCGCACGGCGAGGAGCAACACCACCACGAGGATTGGATTAGTTCTAAGTATGAAGACATTCATACTTAAAAATCTCTTGTTGATCTCTTCCTCTCGCCCCTGTCTTGGTTGGATTAGTTGCCATATTAGAGTAAGCACTAATCCATCCATACTTCTTGCTCGATCTTGATTTCGCGTGGTTAAGTAAGTCGTATTAGCCTTTCAGGTTAAGGAGGTTGTTAAGGTTTTTAAGTAAGAACCTCCTGTAGCTTACTTACTAGTTTGTGATGCTTGCTGTATTTTCTTCTAGTTCTTGGCTTGGTCTTAAGGAGTTTTTGTTTGATTGTATAAGCTGTTTTCTTAGATAATGGATCGTATAAGTTGTTGGATGGATCAGCAAGTATTAGGCCTGGTCCTTCCTTCCTTGTGTACTACTATTACTCCCATGTAGTACTATGTTTGGTTCAGTTAAGCATTTTTGTGTGTAAACTGTGTTTGAACTCTGCTTTTTGATGATGTGGAATTGGAATTTGGGGGAGACACTGAGCGAGAGAGAGAACGGTCGTCGCCGACGCCGTGTGGTGTGATTGGTGTCGAATTGAAACGGCAACGAACGAACCCACAGGTACGGTTGGGCTCGTCTCGATCGGAATTGACTAGAGGGTTCCAGGGTATTTCGGGAATTTGCCACCTGGGGCTACTGTGGACTAGGACACCCACTGTGGCCTGAGTACCCCCACCCGGTTGCTTTGGATTTTGAAGCCACTGCTCAGGGAGATAATACATCGTGAGGTTGTTCTCTATAGCCACTCTATGAGTGCCCTCAGCCACTGCTCAGGGGGATAATACATCGTGAGGTTGTACTCTATAGCCACTCTATGAGTGCCCTCCTCGGTTAATGAGGACACTCTTCTAGTAGTGGCTCACATTGCTGATGCCCTTAGCAGTGTGCTTCTCTTCTAGTAGCTTGTCTGGTGAGCACTTGGAACGCAAGCAAACATACAGTAGGCTGCTACTATTCTGCATTGAATACTGTTGTGCTGAATCTGGAAATGACAAAGCTGAGGTACTCTCTCCATCCTAAAAAAAGACAAACTCTGGTTTTCCGTGTTCAACTTTGACTATCCGTTTTATATAAATTTTTTTTATAATTCATATTTTTATTGATGTTAGATGATAAAACATGATAAATATTTTATGCGTGACTTGTCTTTTTATTTTTTTTATAATTTTTTTAAATAAGACGGCGGTTAAATATTGGGTACGGAAACTAGGGTGTCTTTTTTTTTTTGGACGGAGGGAGTAGGCGTTTTGCACAAGTGTAGTGCATATGTGTGTGGCTTCACTTACCTTTGATGAGCTAGCTGGCCTTGTGCATGCCGAGATTGGCTAGGCAATAAGTAGGCATTTTTGGGGATGTCTCCAACTTTTCCATTAGCCACTATGATTGGAGCATGGCCTGAGATCGGACGGATATAAGGTGGTGTTTAGAAAGGAGGGACTAAAGTTCCTCCACCACCTTAAGAGCAGGTACATCAATAGACTATTTCATAAAAAAGCTAGCTATAAGTGTATTTTAAGAAGATAAAAGAGAAAGAGAAAAGCAGCGTGCTATAAATTTATAGCCAGCTACAGCACGGACTTTAAGATATAAGATACATATGTGTATGATAGGTAGGACTAGATATTAACTGTGTAGTATATATTTATAAGTAACTATTGTATAAATTGACTATAAATGATTTAAAGACAGTAGTTGGCTATACTATTAAACTTGTTCTAATGAGAGAGCAACAGGGGGGACAGGCTAAATGATAACGCGTGATGGCTAGGCGGCTCCACGTGGTCACACGCTCTACAATGGCTTTTGTGTCTGGTCCAAGTAACAACAGCTGCTTAAGAGCATCGCCAACAACATCTTCAAATTAAGCTCTCCAAATACTGATATAGCCAACTCTCTAACTGATTTGGGTAGTCAAACTAGGTATTCACTCCAACAACCTCTCTATTTACATCTCCAAAATAAAAAAAAGACCCACTGTCAGTCTCCGTTGCCTTCTTCTTCCTCCTCTTTCTCTTTCTCCTGCATCTGCAGCCCATCGATGGCGGCTTCCCGCGCGCGTGGGCAGCGACGAGGCGGGCGGCAACGGCTGCGGCGGCTCCCCGTGCGCGCGAGGAGGGCGACAACGGCTGTGGCGGCTCCCCGTGCGCGCGAGGAGGGCGTGCGCGTGAGGCGGGCGGCGACGATCCACTGCGATTTAGGCAAAGAGAAAGATGGTAGGAGTGGTGGGACCCATGGATAGCCAGCTGAAATGACTCTCCACATTTGGCCAGTGACTGCTATGATTTGGCCAGCCATATGGCTTAGCCAACCAAATATAGAGACTGTTGGAGGGTATTTTTTCTTCATACTCTCCAAATTTTAGCTTGGAGAGCCATTTGGCTATTCTCTTAGAGATGCTCTAACCTAGATGCGGCAAACGTTCAGCCCCATCGTTTCGTGGAATAAGCGAAATAGCATATTTACAAATGGAAAGTAATTTGTGAATAAAACTTTTTTATACGTGTTCATAGCGATCTAAAAGCAAAGGCTGAAAAAAATCCGATAAAGAAAATCTCAAAATCAGTTTCAAATTTAAGATTGAAAATTCAAAATCTGCCTAATAAGCAAAAGAATGAGCTTCAGAGATTTTTTTTTTTTGTCGGTCGGGCTACGATGACCCTTTCATTATAGGGTTAATTAGATACATGCCATTAAAAATTCACCGGTTTTGAAATATACCATTACTATTTGCGTATTTGGAACGATGCCATTGATATTTGTTTGTAATTTCAGTAGTGCCACTAAGACACGTATTTTGCATGTATTGGACAAAAATGCCCTCATCTTCTACCTCTCTCCCTCTTCTCTCATCTTCAAGCTCTCTCTCCCCGCTGCTTCAACTCCGGCGCCGTCACCGCCGCTGCTGCTGCCGCTGCCGCGCCGTTGCTGCTCGACGCCGCTGCTGCTCGCCGCTCGTGCTGCTGCTCGCTGCCGCTCCGCGTGCTGCTGCCGCCGCACCGCCGCTGCCGCTCACCGATGCCGTCGCTCCACCGCCGCTGCCGCTGCTGCCGTTGTTACTCGCCGCCGCTCCGCACGCTGCCGCCGCCGCTCCGCCGCTGCCGCCGCCGCTCCGCTGCTGCCGCCCGCTCCGCCACTGCCGCTCGCTCCATCGCTGCTGCTCGCCGCTCGCTGCTACCGCCGCTGCCGCTGCTGCCGTTGCTGCCGCCGCTGCCGCTCGCCGCTCGCTCCGACGCTGCCGCTGCTGCCGCTCGCTCCGCCGCCGCCTGTTCTCTGAGCTGTGGAAGAAAGGAGAGGGGAGAAAAAGAAGCAAAAAAGGGTAATTTGGTCCAAATTTTTTCGTAAACGGTAGGTAGTGGCATATCTTGAATATGTGTAAAATTGTAATGGCATAGTTCCAAATACACGAATACTGATGGTATATTTCAAAACTGATAAATTTTTAATGGTATGTATCTAATTAACCCTTCATTATATGGTAGATTAAGGGTACCTTACACAAGCATAGATTAGATAGAACATAACTAGACCTGCAGGAGCAAGCATTTATTTGCATAACAGGGCATTAGCTTGTTCGTATGCACGGCCTGCTATAACTCGCTAATGCTTTGGTTCCCAGGCACTACCTTAAACATTAAAAGTATAACACCATAGCTTAGTACATAAATATCCTGGGCGGCTGATGATTCATGGGGACTTAAAGAGGACTTTATCAGCACTCCCCACAATCACCGAACCCCGTGAGTAAGGTACGCCCTCAAAAAGCTTGGCCATAGGCACTACTTTCCAGGCCTGTAGCTCTGAAATCTTTCCATCAGGCCTCTCACAGTGCGGTGAGCTGGACCGGTGCTACACGGTGCCAGCAAGGCTTTTCGCGTGCATGGCAGATGGATGCACGCCCTAGCTAAGCCCCTCGCCTCCAAGCAAAGCCGCGCGGAACATGGACGGCGCGAGGAGCGCGCAACACCGAAATCCCCAGGCACGCGCGCTGTGGGCAGCGTCGCCTCACACGCGCGTGCCCTAGCGCCGTGAAATCCCAGAATCGCCCTCCCAAAATCCACTCCCGCCGCAGCTTCCGCCACAACACTAGCGCTCCCGCCACAGCCACTCTTCCTCCGGCCACCAAGTCAAGAAAATGCACGAAAAAATTCGGGATTGGAAGAGAAGAACTCAAAGAAGACGGATTCAACAAAACAAATCGAGACGTATGTACACCACATGATGAAAAAGAAAAAAAAATCCGCCAGATCCGCCGCCGACCACCGCATCAGAGTCATCTTGCTGCCAAGGGGAGCTCGGGGAGAAGGAGGGAGGCGTGGAGCGGCGACGTCCCCCATGGCGGCGCTGGAGGAGGCAGGGCCTCGCGCCGACGACCGCCGCGTCCGCCAGATCCGCCACCTTGGCCGGGTCGTCGCCGAGCCCGTCCACCTCCTTCCTGGCCGCGGCCCTTCGCCGCCGCCTCGAATCGCTCGCCGCTCCAGGGCCTTGCGCCGACGACCGCCGCGTCTGCCAGATCCGCCGCCAACACCGCCTTGCCCGGGTCATCGCCAAGGCAACCTGTCGTCCACCCCCCCGCCACGGAGGATGCCGAGGTGCTGTCGGCCACGGCCGCCTCATCCGGCGCCGCATCCACAGACGGAGCCGAGGCCGCGGACGAGGAGGACGAGCGGCGAGTGCGGCGGAGTGGGAAGAGAAGCGGAGCTGGCGCCGGACGGGGAGGACAAGCGGCGGGTACGGCGGTGCGATGAGAGGAGCCGGAGGGGATGGAATGGATAGGATCGAATGGGCGGAGTGGGAGGGGAAGGGTAGGTGGAGGAAATTATTTCTTCCACTCGCCCATGCTAACCGCACCCAGGTCACGCGCACTGTAGGAGTAGTTGCCTTGTATAGCGTCTCCATCCAATTAAGGCCCTGTTTGTTTCAGCTTTTGATTCTTATAATTTAGATTATTAAGCCAGATTACTATAAGTTGGATTATAATAAGCTGGCATAGAATAAGTTGTGAGTTGTTTGTTTGTCTGGATTATTGAAGGCATAGATTATTGGGTCTGAAAGGCTAAAGTCTATAATGCCCTCAGCTATCTGTTCAGTTAATGATATAGGTGGGTAATTTTTCTCAAGTATGTAGAGGTAGTGGGTCTTTAGCCACTCAATAATCTGAAAAAAGCTCCTCTAGAGCAGCTTATCAGATTATAATAATCTGACTTATAGATTATAATAATCTGCTATAATAATCTACTTGTTTGTTTAAGCTTACTCCTAATAAGTTAGATTATAATAATCCTAAACTGAATCAAACAGGGCTTAAGCCACACATATATGGGTGCTTACACTCTGGGGTGAGTGTTTTTGGGCCAACTTTTTAGGCTAAGGGTACGGGACCCATAGCTTGCAATGTGAGAGGCCTCAGTGAACTTGATTATTCCAAGTCTGCGGGACAGACCATCTCTGATAGCTTCCTTGTTAGCTCTGTCCACAAGGAGCACACTGCACACGTCTCTTGAAGGTTTCGAAGCGCTGAACCATCTCGGCATGGTCACGCTCCTGGTTGAAAGCCTTGCACCACTGCTTATACAAGGCCCACAGGGCATCATCTGAAACAAGGTCCTTCTCTTCTGCCACAAAGATCACCCTACCTTCGCCGTCGACGTGGCAGGAAACGCCCCTAGGCTAAACGCATAGGCCTAGGCAAAATTAGGCCCAAAATCCCTACAGAATGTAGACTGATCATCCGGCCCATTATACCAAACGTAGCCATAATCCACATGGATCATACAGAAACTACGATCCGTTTTGGCCCAACACGTTTAGATTAGCCTGAAATTTTCATCAGAGGCCTAATCCGAAGGAGATCCGACGAAAATATCCCCCCCTCCGGTTCGCGTGACCTCGGTTGGTGGTCTCCCCTTCTAAAATCTCGCCGAGTCCACAAGCGCATTTACCAGCAGCTCCACTCCCATCCATCCCCGCGACCCTCGCTGATCTCACCACCACCCCGACCCACCCGCACCGCCCCACCATCACATCGCCCGCGTGAGATTGCTACCCAAAAATCCTCACCTCCGACGACGAATTGAGGAGGAGGGGAGAGAGAGCTCAAAAACCCTAGGAGGAGGTTTGAGGGGCCAGATCGATGGAGAGCCCCGCGAAGGAGGAGGCGGGAGGGGAGCTGGCGATGGAGATCGAGTCCACCGTCACGGCGGAGGACTGGCGCCGGGCGCTGGCACTCGTGGTGCCCTCCGTCGTCGTCCTCCGCACCACCGCGCCGCGGGCCTTCGACACCGAGGTCGCCGGCGCCAGCTACGCCACCGGCTTCGTCGTCGACAAGTCCAGGGGCATCATCCTCACCAACCGACACGTCGTCAAGCCAGGTAGGGGCCCGCCCGATCCCGCCCGTTTCCCTCCCCGGGAGTTTCCGTGTGATTTGTGCATTGACTCGTGTGCTACTGGTTTGATGCTGCTGTCGCTGTGTTCGCAGGGCCTGTCGTCGCGGAGGCGATGTTCGTGAACAGGGAGGAGATCCCCGTGTATCCCCTGTACAGAGATCCTGTAAGTGTTTGCTTTCATTTCATTTCATTTCATTTCTGTTCTATTCTATTTTGTTCTCCCTGTGCTAATGGCATAATGTTAATCCAAAATTTTTCCCCCTCTTCTCGAAACAGGTACATGATTTTGGTTTTTTTCGCTATGATCCAGGTGCTATCAAGTTCCTTAAGTATGATGAGATCCCGCTAGCACCTGAAGCAGCATCTGTTGGTCTGGAAATCCGGGTTGTCGGCAATGACAGCGGCGAAAAGGTTACGTAAAAACTAGATTAACCTCTTTCCTAGTTGATATTGTGAACTATCATATAATGAGCAATGTAGCACAAGAAACTTGCTAGGATTTACATCTCCAGAAATTCTCTTATGGACTATGGGACAATCATTTTTAATTGTTAGGCTTTAGGCTTTAGTTTCTTATATTGGCCTTGTTTAGTTCCAAACTTTTTCTTCAAACTTCCAACTTTTCCATCACATCAAAACTTTCCTACACACATAAACTTCCAACTTTTCCGTCGCATCGTTCCAATTTCAACCAAACTTTCAATTTTAGCGCGAACTAAACACACCCATTGTTGAGAAGCACAATGTAGAGCTCACAAAGCAAATGTTCTGTACATCGTACAGTTCATTGTGGGCTCTATTATCACATGATGCAGTTTGGCATTTCAGCAACAGCAAGCGAACTGTCTCTTCTTGCATCTAATAAAGGCTAAAATGATACAATTCATTGAAACCTCTATGTTCCACACATGTAGTTCACTGAAAACTATATAATCAAATGGTACAGTTTGGCATTTCAGCAAGTGAACTGTCTCCTCTTTCCTGTAATATTGTGTGGTCTGTAGTGCTTATAAGATTTTAGCATATAGGGAAAAAGACAATGCATACAACATCCTATTACGGGCCTTTAATCAATATTTGTTGATTCAGGAGACATCTCTTCAACTAGTTGGCTCAGAAACTGTAGATATGTGCCAATCAATGGTATAGATCAAAACATTTCACATATTAGGCTGGAAAGAGGCACTGGAACAAATTATTTTACTTCCTATTTAAGTGTGGTAATTCAGATTCTGTTGTGTCCTATGTGACATGCTTTGACGGGACAATGATTTGTACTAACACTAGATAGTGATGCATTAATATGTATATACATTTTCTGGACCTAGATGTGGAGGTTAATCACTTAATCCTTTACATTCCATGGGTACACATCAGCATAATAACTTCAAAAATTATCCGATAGATTGTGTTTCATACTGCAACGGTTTCTGATTTTCATTCACCGAATGCAGGTGTCAATTTTGGCGGGAACACTTGCTCGACTTGATAGAGAAGCACCTTACTACAAGAAGTATGTCTCCTTTCTAGTTACCATAACGGCCCATTACATTAGTGCTATTTTCTTTTCTCATGATTACCCCTGGATCTATTGTTGGACATAGGGATCAAATATATAGTACAAAATTCATTTGTTGGCTACTGAACTTAGAAAATAGTAATAAAATATAGGGAGATACATATCATAGAGGATCAGAGATCATAGTTTACTTGCTATGCGAACTTTATTTAGTTTCAGTAAGTGAAGATACATATGGAGAAAGCGGATTAAATCTCAACCTTTCGCTTCATTTTTCTCCAAGCCTTTTCAATCCACCGAACTTGGGCAAAAAAGACTTTGTAGTTCGTATTCACTCTATATTCTCTACCCACCCAAATGGAGCAGCTTGCCACCACCAGCTTCTACTAGATAATACTATATGATTAATAATTTTTATGTGCAGCCTTGCTGCATATAATCTTACGTTTAACCTTTTTTTTTTGACAGGGATGGGTACAACGATTTCAACACATTCTACATGCAGGTACTTTTCTCGGGCTACTCAATATTACATCCATACTCTCGTTCTCTTCTGACTTGTCAGTTGGGACATTAATACACACCTTTTAACCATTACTTATCTGAATGATGTGCTCATACAATATCGATATTAAAATATAATGATACCCATTTTAAAAATAATGACATTAAAGTAGTTCTCGTGACAAATATACTCTTATAATTTTTTGCATGACATATTTGAATATTTTTATGTATATAATAATGGCCAAAATTTCTAAGTCTGACTGTATGCATTCTAGAATGAAATCTATTTGAGAATAGTATATGTTTAATTCAAATTGGTGATGTTCATGCATCTTCTGAAATATCGGGCATGTTTTAGTTTGATGCCGAAACCAGCCTTATCAAATTTTGTTAATGCCACACCTTATTTATTTATTTTTTTGGGTAAGGTAGGTATGTGGTGGTACGTTTAGTTTGAAACCTCATCTATTTGGGTGTGATGTTAGGTCAGGAAGTTTATTAGCTACCAAATATTGGTATGGAAAGGTAGGTATGGTTGGTTTGTTGCCTTGCTAAAATTTGGTAAGGTTAGAAATGGTAGCAAACCAAGCATGCCCATTATCCGTGATTTTGTCTTATAGTTCAATTGCTTTTATCCAATAGAGGTTCACTAATTTTCCTTTTACTCTCTCTGTCATTTTAATGTAATCATATGTTTCTATAGGCTGCATCTGGTACCAAAGGTGGCTCTAGTGGTTCCCCTGTTGTTGATTGTCAAGGAAGAGCTGTCGCCCTGAATGCTGGAAGTAAATCTTCCAGTGCTTCTGCGTTTTTCCTTCCATTAGAACGTGTAAGTTGTTTACAAAATGTTCATTGAAACTAGCTAAATGCATGTGCTTTGCTACGGATAAAAGAAAACGTATTAATGTGTTACCCATCTTTTTTGCTATAGGGAATATTCATCTTACTCTAATTTAATGTGGCTATCCATTTAGATTTGATATTTTTTAATATTAAGAAGTTCAGGGATTAACTTGCAAAATTTACAATGGGAGTAGGTGGGGTGACAGATTCATTGCCACCACCACTACCTTCTTTTAAAGGAGTATAGATATACTACTTTTAGCCCAGGAAGCTTATGCTTTTGTTCTAAAATTGCAAGGTCTCTTATTTAATAAGACCAACGAAGTGGTCCTGCTAGTTGAAATTGATACGAGTCATAAAAGCACACATGCAATTAGGTTAACATCTATACTAGACATCACAAGAAGAGAGAGAGAGAGATAGAAAGAAAAATATAATTTGGCATTGACCGACATCCGAGTTCATACAAAAAGGAATAGCATTGCTGTTTAATATTGATTAATTGTAAGGTCTCTTATTGACAGGAACAACGAAGTGGTCCTGCTAGTTCAAAATGATGTCATTATAAAGCGCACATGCAATTAGGCTAACTTTAACATCTATACTAGATTAGCTGGCTTAATGATTTTCATCAGGTAAAAGTATGGTATGAAGTATCCTATTATGCACTAGACATCACAAGGAGAGAGAGAGAGAACTTATAGTTTGGCACTTTGGCATTGACCAAAATCCGAGATCATACAAATAGGAATGCCATTGCTGTTTAATATTTATTGATTGCCCGTGGCACCCTTATGTTTATTATATTGTTTGTCCAAACTGTTTCCAGGTTGTTAGGGCACTTAATCTGATACGTGACAGTTGGGAAGCTTTTGGTAGCAAGCCTGAATCTGATTACATTCCTCGTGGTACACTTCAGGTGAGCATGCTGTCTGATGATCCCATTGTTCTATTTTTTTTACCAAGACCTGCTGTGTCATTAGATGTTTATTTCTATTACGGTGGAGCTACTGAAGATGTATGGTGAACAAGTAAACATTTTAGCACTTAATTGTTCTTCTTTCTTTGTATGTCAGTGATAAAGTTTGTGAATTTGCAATGATCAGCACCACAAGTGTACAGAGTGCTGCAGCAGCCATTGTATAGTCAATTTTGCTCCTCTGACTGCTGTACTTTTATTACAGCGATAGTTAAAAAGCACAATCTGTCCATGAGATTATTAGAGTTAACAAAGGCTATTACTCTTGTTTGTGTTGCCATTTCTACCTATTCTTGTTGCCCCCCTCCTGCCAGTCCTTAGATCATTTCCCTTTTCCCTTGTTTTTAAGGTGACCTTTCAACACAAAGGATTTGAAGAAACTCGGCGTCTTGGACTCAGGAATGAAACAGAACAGGTATTTTTGTGCATCATTGCTGGTTTGCTATTGGCTAGAATTTCCACCCTCTTTGCAATTTGAATGACATCAGTCAGCATCAGAAAATAGTCATGTTCAATATGTTTGTAATGTATAAATTTAAGTTGTTCGAGAGTTTTTTTTAAAGTTGATCTATACTTGCTATTTGTGACTAATTACTGTTAATCTGTGTTTATATTTGTTTTGCATCTAATGATTCTTTATCTGAAGAAATGAAAATTTAAATATGTGTTTCCATTGTGTACATATTGAATGTCAAAACATCATGCACTGCAATTAACATCTGCAACTTGCTATTTCTATTTGTACAGATGGTACGCCTTGTTTCTCCATCAGGCGAGACTGGAATGCTGGTTGTTGATTCCGTGGTAAGTTATGATTCTTATTACTATTCATGAATTTTAATTTTGATTTATTTTTTCAGTTAGCTCACTCGTATTGTACCATTCATGATTTATGAAACTGAACTCTGTCCTTGCAGGTTCCAGAAGGACCTGCACATAAACATTTGGAACCTGGTGATGTGCTTGTTCGCATGAATGATGAGGTAAGTAATGCTGTATAATTTGTTACTATCATGTGGACAGGTTTATGGTTGGGCAGCCAGTCTTAGGATCTTGTGATGACTGCATATGCTGCCACGTTTTGCATGAGCTCCTTGGGGTCCTCATGACCTCATCCCCTTGCATGAGTTCTTTGGGTCCTCGTTTCCGGTTGGCCAGCCATGGCATTGTAGCTTTTATGGCTAATTTGTATTGAGTATGCGTCTTAACTAGATTATGAAGAAGGCTTTGTTTCACTTGACACCAACTAAATTTAAGCTATGCACCTTCACTGCTACATTTACCACAGCCCACCAATATTTATTTATTTTTGTCCATGGGCAAATTATTTCTGGTACTTTGAACACGCAGAAACCTTAAAATATAAACAGTTTCTTATGTTTTGTTCACTAATGTTTTTTCTATGTCATTTTTAATTTTCATATCATAGATTTGACATTTATACTATGCTAATTGCAGGTTGTAACACAGTTTCTCGCAATGGAGACCTTGCTTGATGACAGTGTTGGCAAGGAGATAGATTTGCAGATCGAAAGAGGTGGTACACCTTTAACAGTAAAGTTGGAGGTAATTTGCAGCACTGGCATATCTTATTTAATTGCCTCATTAGAGAATGGTATATTTGCGTCAGTCGAGTAGTCCTAACTCCTACCACATGATGCAGCGCTAGTGACTATTTTTTCTATTACTATTAATAAGCGACCTACATCATACTAATTTGATTCTTCAGGTTGAGGATTTGCACTCTATAACTCCAAATCATTTCTTGGAAGTTAGTGGTGCTGTGATCCATCCACTTTCGTACCAGCAGGTATGTTTGCCACAGTTTAATGGTCTTTTCTGAGCTGTTGCCCTCTCTGCCCCTTCTCTAGCAAATAATTGGATTAACATGTTTATAAGTTTATGAATCGGATAGTGTATATTTTTTAATTTAGAAAGTCGTCAAGATTAAACTTTGACCATTAATCTGCTATAACATGTATATTTGATAGTTAAAACCAATATTGTGCGAAAGCACGTTGAAGTATGAATCTTTGGTAAATTTACTTGTAATTTGATTATTTCTTGGTCAAAATCTGCAAAGTTTGCTAGAAATATTGGATCATGTTGAACTTTTTGCTAGAAATGTTAGCCTCCCTACTCTGGTCTTGCATGAAAATAGTTGCAACTCATTTAATTGTATACTTCATCATATGTTCCCTCTTTCTAGAAAGTCATTTAACATCATAAAATTATATGTTTACAATATTTATTGAGTATTGAAACGTTACTAATCTTTTTTTATATGTAGGCAAGGAATTTTAGGTTCAAATGCGGTCTCGTATATGTTGCTGAGGCAGGGTAAGACATCTGATGATAACAACTGATATTCATTTCCTGAAAGGGCATCAAAGCATAGTTGTGATTTCTAGCTGGTCTATTTTACCAGGCATTGGTCATATGATAAATCCCTTTCCAATAGATTATGATAATTGAGTCGGGTTTGAACTCCCAACTAAGTTTCATTTTTCACAGCTATTACTTTCAGAGCACAACACCCCTTAGTGAGTTTTAGCTGCAATTTATGTTTATATGTTATTCATCTCTTTGCAATATTTCACGTTGGGATTATATCTGTCTTTTTATTGGCTTTTCAAGTTTCCTGTTGGTGTCTTGCCTGCATTAATTTTCTTCTATTTGTTAGCTGATATTCTGTCTAAAATGTGATGTTGTTTATCTTACCTTTTCTGCAACTTAACCACCATCATAATATGCAGGTACATGCTCTCTCGGGCATCTGTTCCACGCCATGCTATTATTAAAAAGCTCGCAGGAGAGGATATTGAAAATTTAGGGGACCTTATTGCATGTATTTCAAAACTATCTAGAGGAGCAAGAGTTCCTCTTGAATATGTAAAGTACACCGACCGTTATAGGAATAAGGTAGGAACATCTTCCTTGGAAACTTTTAATCATGATAATTAGTCATATTTCTGTGCGTCCTAGTAAACATTAACTCACTTCAAAAATTACAACTGATCATTTATCTTGTTTATGTATCCAGTCTGTACTGGTGACCATTGATCGGCATGAATGGTATGCGCCTCCTCAGTTATATACTCGAAATGATGCAACTGGCTTGTGGACTGCAAAATCAGCTATACCGCCGGAATCTCCTTTTATAGCTTCAGCTCATCATGCTGGTCCTATTGATGCAAACTCCAATTCTGTTTCATCTTTACCAGAATCTAGTCCTATGGATCTCAAGTGCCAGCATGAGTCTGAGAATTTGACAGATGGATGCATCAAAACACAAACTGATGATGAGATTAATGTAGATGGATCCCACTCGAGTGAAGATTCTCTTGTTGAGAAAAAAAGGCGGCGGGTGGATGAGGAGATAGCTGCTGAGGGAACGATATCATCTTCTGGTGATTTAGATGAAATAAAAGGTGGTGGTTTGAGGCATCTGTCTAGTGTTGATGGTTCTGACCTTGCTCGAACAATATCAAGTAATGCATCATTGGCAGAACAAGTAATTGAACCAGCCCTTGTAATGTTTGAGGTGAGCAATATCTATGTTTGATTTCAGAAGAAACTTTCATGTAGTCATGGTCATCAGTTTGATGTGTTGGTGTATGCTGCCCAAGCTTCAAATAAGCAGTATGCAGTCTCCTGCTGATACCCCGCCTTGTAGCAGTTACGCGGCATACTTGGCCTTCTGTGCTGCTTAAGCTTTACAAGTTTGGGCCACCTGTTCCTTGTTTGTACCCTTGCATGCGTACTTGTAGACCATTCTTTAGAGCACTTGTCCTGATGGTTCTGCGGGGAGCAATGTTGTTGTGTTGGGTGATTTATATGGTGATTTTGTTCTCATGTGGCCTATTGGGCCAGATGGTCGTGGTTCCATATCTTTTCATCTGAAGTGAACGGCAGACTTCCTGCCATCTGTTTCAATATTGTGTTATCATTGGTTAACATTTCAGGTCTATAGGTTATTGGACAAACTACTTGGGTGCTGGAAAGTTGTATAAAGCCTAGTATTTGGCATTGTAGGCCTTTTTCTGAATACTAACTACCTGGACAAATATTTTCTTGTATATCCTCACCGCTGCTTGTTGAGTCATTTTTCTATAAAGTTTAGTTCTTACTGTTCCATTACGTGCTTAGCAATATTCCCCACCTTTTAACTTTAGAGTGGTGAATGTTGTACTACTGCTGTTGGTTTAACCTGTATGTACCTACAATGCTTACCTTGTGCTTGTTAGTTTTGAGCTTGTAGTGTTTCTTGTTCAAAACTGCCTTACTGATGCCTACCTTTTATAGGTGCATGTACCACCAGTGTGCATGCTTGATGGAGTGCATTCGCAACACTTCTTCGGAACTGGTGTAATAATATATCATTCGGACTGTCTGGGTCTGGTTGCTGTTGATAGGAATACAGTTGCTGTATCTATCTCTGATATAATGCTTTCTTTTGCTGCATATCCCATTGAAATACCTGCAGAAGTATGAGCTTGCTCCCCTCCTGTTCATTATAAATATTAACGCACAAAATTTGAACTTATTATTAGCTTATGCACTTTTATTTTTTAGGTCGTTTTTCTGCATCCCGTTCACAATTTTGCATTGGTTGCTTATGACCCTTCTGCACTAGGAGCTGGAGCATCAGTTGTCCGGGCTGCTAAGCTTCTTCCTGGTTTGTTCTCTTTCATGTGTTAATTCCCTAATCTCTGAATTTAGTTATGTCCACACTAAAAATAACCTTTCTGACCTACCAATCCACTTCCAATTTTAAGCTATAATTTTGGATTTATGTAGAACCTGCCTTGCGCCGAGGAGATTCTGTCTACCTAGTTGGGCTAAGTAGAAGCTTGCAGGCTACATCAAGGAAATCAATCATAACTAATCCCTGCACTGCTGTTAATATTGGGTCAGCTGACTGTCCACGGTATCGTGCAATTAATATGGAGGTCATTGAGCTCGATACTGGTACCTTCTAAGTACATTTCAACTTGTGATTTCATGTCTTGTTTTTTTTTTCAGAATAACTATATTGAAAAATATTTATTTTAGATTTTGGTAGTGCATTTTCGGGTATATTGACGGATGAGCAAGGAAGAGTTCAAGCATTATGGGCAAGCTTTTCCACCCAGGTTAGTTTACATTACAGTTGCTTTGCTTTAGCCTGTTTCCTAAGTAATGATGCTTGCACGTTCTCAGGAACATTTATTCAAAAGAAAAAAAGAAAGAACAAAACGCCGTCTTACACGGAAGGTTAGCCGTTTGATATCTTGAACAATCAACTAAATGGACAATATAAGAAACTATATTCACTACACTTAAAGGCCCTAGACTTTTCTGCATGTTTGACTAAAGTTGATAGATTCTTTGTCCTAGCATTAATTCATACCCTACACATTTAATGCTTGTAAGCAATGGTATAATGGCACCATTCTTAGCAGTTTAGCCATTCTTCCATGTGCTTATCGGGGTTGTAAATCAATTAATTATTTTCTCCAGCTGAAATATGGTTGTAGCAGTTCGGAGGATCATCAATTTGTTAGAGGTATACCAATATATGCAATAAGTCAAGTCCTTGAGAAGGTAATCTCTGGTACTCCTGGACCATTTCGTATTATCAATGGAGTTAGGAGGCCAATACCATTCATCAGACTTCTGGAGGTGGAACTCTATCCAACTTTGCTTTCAAAGGCAAGAAGTTATGGATTGAGTGATAGCTGGGTGCAGGTAATTTCACGTTGGCCTTGCCTTTAGTCTTTTCTGAAGTTGCTCTGCTTGGTCGGACAGCTATGATTCGTTTCCTGATGGACTGTCAACCTGAATGTTCTATGTAATTACGCGAGTGCAATATTTATTGTTCTGGAGAAATATTCATGCCATTCACTTGAAGTGTTCGCTGACAGATAAATGCTGCAGTTTGTAAGGAAGAGGAGTAAAGGACCTCGCTTGATTGGTTTTGGACTTGTCTAATATGCTAGTGTTATGAGCAAGTGGAGAGGTTTTGGATGCATGAAATATTTACTGTTCAATATGATTATCCTTGCAGGCTCTAGCTAAGAAGGACCCTGTGCGAAGACAAGTTTTGCGGGTCAAAGGTTGTTTGGCTGGATCCAAAGCAGAAAATCTCCTTGAACAGGGAGACATGATCCTTGCTATCAATAAGGAGCCAATTACATGCTTCCTAGATATCGAGAATGCTTGCCAGAAATTGGACCAATCTGTTGATTCAGATGGAGTCCTTAACATGACAATATTCCGTCAGGTGAGGACTGGTTGTAAGAAACCAACCATTTTTTTTTGACGAAACTGTATGAATCTAAATATCTATGTGTTCAACCGTGTCAACATTTAACAGGGAAAAGAAATTGATCTTATTGTTGGAACCGATGTAAGAGATGGCAATGGAACAACACGGATGGTGAATTGGTGTGGATGCATAATCCAGGATCCTCATTCAGCAGTGCGCGCACTTGGTTTTTTGCCCGAAGAAGGTCATGGAGTTTATGTTGCTAGGTGAGAACATGCTCCACCCGAATTTATATGTTGCTTCTATGGGTTCTTTGATTGGAACTATAAGCCTATAGCTACTGTGGGTTCAGGGATGCCAACACTTGAGAAGTGCGAGCATTTGTGATATGTCTTTTGTTTTTGTCTGTTCTACAATTCCCATGTATCTCAAGTTGGTATGGTCACTAGCTGTGCCCGATATTAGATAAAATTTTAAATTTGAATCTAACAACCCTGGTGAGTACACTTAGTCAGGGTAGAGTGTAAACCGAGTAACCCTATCCTGATAAAGGGAAGAGAACAGGAATTGGGGTCAAGGGTCTCAACAAGTTCAGCTCTACCCTTTCAATTGCACATGTTTTTTTTGTTCTTTCCAACTTTACAATCTCTTCCTAGTACATCCTATCCAATAATGAAACCCATTTGTGTTATCTTGGGCACCGACAGCAAATCAGCTTCATAAAAGCCATATTGATAGTGTTTCCTCTAATTCCACTCCCAATGTCATAATAGTAGTGTAGCGCTCCAAATCTTATATACATATATATGTAATCATTTAGAATTCTCCCTCCTTGATGGTAAATCTAGAGTTGGTTGAAAATTTAAGATGTGTACATGGCTTGGCGGTAGGTCCATAGCATTGGTGTTAAGCACATTTTAGATACCTAATGGGAACGAGGAATGAGTATCAAATATTTTATGCAGATGGTGTCATGGAAGTCCCGTACATAGATATGGTCTCTATGCTCTGCAGTGGATAGTGGAAGTTAATGGGAAGCCAACTCCAGATCTTGAAACTTTTATACAAGTGGTGAAGGTACGTATTATCAATAGTTATCTTCCTTTGGTATAGTCAAGTCTTTTCATGTGATATATCGACCTGGCAAGCTTATGTTCAATTGATTTGAATTAATACTGATAACCTTTTATTTCAGGGATTGGAAAATGGTGAATTTGTTAGGGTGCGGACCGTCCATTTGAATGGCAAACCTCGTGTGCTTACTTTGAAACAGGACCTTCACTACTGGCCGACCTGGGAGCTCAGGTTTGAACCAGAGACTTCCACATGGAAGAGGGGAATAATAAAAGCGTTGCAATCAACTGTAGCGTGATCAACTATGTTTGTGTTTGAACTCTTCATGCTCTCAGAGGGTGTTCCTTAGGGAGCCTAAGCATGGAGGTGCGGAAATGGGGAATGCGTGCCCAACTGCCCATGTTGGTAAGCTAGAATCCTGCGTAATGCAGGATGGAATGGTTGGCATTAGGATAGGATGCTTGAAGTTGAAGGATATAGTTATTCATAGAAAAATATATGGATTCATTGCCTGTGGATAATTAGACCGCAGCATCTGCTTTTTGTATAATCTATTCTATTGCTACAATTTTTGCAGTAATAATAAATCTTTAGCTCTTTAGCGACCATATAACCATTTTTCTGCGTAACAACATTGTTAATCATTTTTTTGTTTGAAACCGAGTTAATCATTTTGAGTTACCTAGCAACAGATTTCAACCTTGCCATTGCCCGCCCCATTCTGCCGTCTGCACCAGTCACAACCCGCCAGCCTATTACTCAATTTTGGCTTCGCGTTCCCTGAATAAAAAAAGGTCACCTTCCTACTCCGAGCTTTCTACTTTACATGCAAACAGATTGCCTTCAGGAAAATGAGGCTAGCACGTTTCACCGGTACAAAAATAAGGAATCGACACGCAAGTAGGAGTAGAGAGTAAGACAGCAACTTAATTTTATCTATGCAACCTTATGGTCAAATCTGTCAAACCCTTTTGTGCCATGTATGACAAATGTAAACCACGCAGCATGCACCACCTCATTTTCATCCCTAGTTAGGCGTCTCCTCTCCCACAAACGCATTGTCCCGGCCGAGCAGAATATATTCTGCCACCACTTGTTAGCTCGAACCAACGTCCACGAAAACGAGGACCACCCTTTATGTGCGTCCTGCCACTTCAGTCGATGCCTTCCCCTGAGGAGAAAAGAGGCGTTTTAGGTAGGAGTTCATTGTTGCCGGATTCCCTCTTGCTACCAACCGATCGTAGTATTCTCCTTTTAAATTGGCCCCGTTCCTTCCATTCTCTCTCGTTGCCACCGTGAACTTGAGCGACCTCCTAAGCTAGCATGTATTCCACGCACAGGCTCACTCGAGCACACGCGCACCAACGCATCATACATCGCTACATCCCAGCGAGATAGCTAGGGAGAAAGATAAGAGGAAAACTAAGGCCGAGCCAGGCATGGGTTGCTATCATCTGGGCAAGTTCGTGTCGAAAGCTCTCGGAAAATGCAACGGTAAGTCGTCTTCTACACTGCACATGTTGTTTTCCTTGCCACGTCGTGGTCTGCATCGATCACGTGCTAGGACATGATCGATCGAACTAGGTACTTCTGCTAATCTGCAGCCATGCATGCAGGCTGCTTAATTAAGTTTTCGCTACTATAAGTACGATAGATTTTCAGCTAATAATCTCACATGTAAAACCCGTTCAAAAGCATGTATATCGTCCTCACATAGCCACATGTAAATGATAATATGATGTGTGATGTTTCTTAGGACAATGGATTAATAATTTGATAAATAATGTTAGTCAATGTTCATGTACCAAATGTCCAAACCAATCTCAAAATCGCGAAGTTCATTTTTTTGCTAAGAGTTGTGAAGCGTGGCGACATGCAGGGCGCGAGAGGGGGTGGCGGGAGGAGAGGCTGGACTACGCCATGGCCTACCCGCCCGGCCCACCCACGGAGACGTACTACATGCGGCCGGTGGCGCGCACGGTCACCTTCAGCGCCGCCAACTCCGTCTACGTGATCCCGCCTGCAGAGCCGCCGCACCAGCAATCCCCCGAGCCCCAGCCACAGACGCCGCCGCCGCCGGCACAGCAGCAGCAACACGGGCCCGAGCACGAGCACCACCAGGCGCAGCCCCAACCCCAGCAAGAGCCGCCTCCGCCGGCGCAGGACGCGCCACCGGCCGAGCCGAAGCCGCCGAAGCGTGGCAAGAACAAGAAGTCTGGCCGCGTCCGGTTCGGCCCCGAGCCGCCGCCACCGGAGCAGCAGCAGCAGCAGCAGCAACAGCAGCAGCCACCGCAGCAGCAAGAACAGACGACGCAGCAGGCCCCGAACGCCGGCGCCGAGCACGCGCCGGCACGCCACGCCACGTCGGCGCCGCCGGGGTACTTCCGGTACACGCCGTCGCCGCTGCCGAGGTGGGAGGCGGCGACGCCGAGGCGGCACGAGTACTTCTCCGGCGAGTACCGCTACAGCTACCCGACGCCGGTGCGCGAGGGGATCTACCGCATGGCCACCGACGCCAACAGGCTCACCACCATCTTCAGCGAGGAGAACCCCAACGCCTGCGCGATCATGTGAGCCATCCGCCATCGATGATCGGTGGAGCCTCGCCGCCGCCGCCGCCGCCGCCGGCGCCGGCGCGAGGAATAATCAAAATCCGTACGAACACGTACGCACGCGCGCGCCCATTTCGTTGCATTGCATCGGGACCGTTCATTGGTCGGTTTGTTGGCTCTAATTCGTGCAGGAATCCGGTTCTGCTTGACCTGTAGGTGTTTGTAGATAAGGACTGGGAATTAGTTCTGTTCCATCGCCTGATATGCTGAGATGAACATTTCTCTTGCTTTTCGGGCCTTTCGGCTCTTATTGCCCTTCCACTTTTCAGTTTTTAATTCACAAAGTTGCTAGGATATTAGTCAAAAATCGTTGGCTACATGACACGGATGAAGAGTTAATGACATTAACATGCATGTTAGCTAGGTTTTTTTTGTGTGTGTGTGTACGTGGGAACGCATTGACAAAGTATTACTAACATGCATACTAATTAAATCTCCTCTTTTAAATTACTCTTTGTGGGTCGTCGAATGAGCATCTCTCACTTTAACCGCAAACCCTTTTCTTTCACCGATACCTTAAAAATTTACCAGTGCGCGCAACAATTTGGTGACTCCAGTCTTCGGATGCCCTAGCAGACTCTAGAAAGTTGTGTACATCGCTGTTCCTTTTCCAGAATGAGAGCGATCGGCGAAGGCACATTCTTCCTCACAGTGCAGAGCCTCTCCGTGCGATCCGGCCAACGCCGGTGCAACGCTGCGACCTCGCGGCCTCGCGTACGTACCTCTCCGTGTGGTTTCTGCGGCTCGGTTGCCGCGTCCGCGTCCGTGCCGAGCGCCGTACGCGCGCGGTGGCCACAAAAGCAAACACGGTCGCGAGGCCGTGACGCCATGTGACTCGGGAGTCGTCGCGCGCGGGACGGGAAAATCACGGAGATACGCATGAAATCGCGCGCGTCCCTTCTTTCCGGCCTCGTTCCACCGGCCCTGTTTTGCCGTTCTCTCCTTCCTCCGTGAGCTTCGGCCCGAGAGACGTGAGGTGGGCATTGCACACAGACACACGGACACACGGCCATATGCCCATACGCCGGGGCAACGAGATGTGCTCCTTCGACAGTGTATCATCTGAGTATGAAACTGAGTGAGTGGCTACCCTTGTCGCGCTGACTGTTCTTCTCCATTCGACAGTGTATCGATCTCTCTTATCTTTGTAGGTGTTGAGTCAACGCTGGCCCGCTCATCACCGCCGTGCCGCGTCACATCGAACAGTCCCAAGTCAACTTAATCGCTGCAAGTAGAGCCCCGGACTAGTGGTTCAGAATGCGATTAAGCACATAAATAACTCTCTGGCCGAAAGGTGTCAAGGGGCCACATTATTAGACGCTCATTTTTCTCTGTTACGTCGTTTCTTATTCTTCGATGCCTATCACCGCACACTACCGGCCACAGTCGCATATACTCCTAGATTATCATTACAAATCAATGGCCAAGCACAAATTGAGTAATTAGTACTAGCTGTTGGATCATTACGCACTATTGCAAAAGGCGTTGTATGTGAACCATATTCCGATTCTGCAAGAGGCCTGCACGCCTGCAGCTGCTCGTTTGGAGGATCTCTATGTTCCTACGAAAGATTTCCAAGCAGCAAGAGGACCTTTGCCTAAGTTTCTAATCTACAGAATCCATATTCGATATGCCTCTCAAGGGAATAACTAGGATGAACTAGCTACTTTAATTTTGTAAAGAAGAAGGGGGCACAAGAAACCTCATAAGAAACACATTGGATTCAGCATGGTAGAGTCAGAATTTTTGAAGACTAAGGTTAGGATATGGATCAACTAATAGAGTGTTTGTTTTCTATAAAATTTATATAGTGATTTAACAAAATTTTAGAGGCAAACCTAGGGCTCAAGCCCTAGCTGCCCGCTGTGCCCTGGGTTCAGGATTTGAACCTACTTAGACTGGGTGAACACCTTCACACCACACCACCTGATCTATGCTCAATTCTCGAAGGTTAAGGAAGCAAGATTTACAACCTCTCATTGATTATGTGGTGTGCCGATTGCTGAAAGCGAAGCAAATAGCTCTTATAAGCTAGATCATCACGATGAAGGCAGTTTTGAGTTCCATATCTATTTACCATTTGGTCGGCGTGGAACCCCTAAAATGGGTAATCAAGGGAATCAACAAGATCCATTATAGGTTCCACTGGGCAGGTAGATCAAATGCACAGGGCGGCTACTGCTGAGTCTATGACCAAACAAATTTTGGCGATCTCGTCATCCTCAATCTTATTGCTCTCACATCATGCTAAATCTGGTTGGCTAGTTGCACTGAACCTCACCGAAGAAACCATGGCAGGGACTCATGATACCTTGTTCGAACAAGAAGCACGATTTCGCACTGGCTTTCACGTCCTGTTGCATGGGCATGGGTAATGATGAGTTGGCTCTATTGTGGGAGGAAAAGGCTGGATGTACGACGTTGAGATCCATTCCTTACCACTGACCATCCACGATCGTATTCCCACACACACCCAATGCCGTAGGATGGTGGCTCAAGCAATACAAGGTAACAGATGGATTAGAGACATCTGTGATGCCCTCGGTGTGCAAGCGATCTTGGAATACTTGTAGCATTGGTTGTGGATCAGGTCATTCGGTAGCCTCTCCGCCAGCTAGACTCCTTCGTCTGGAAATAGGAGAGTTCATGTCTCTACTCCTTGTGATCGGCTTACCAAGGCCTTTTTCTAGGGTGTGTCCTTCCTCCTTATCGATTTGGAGAACCCCTCGCACCCCCACATTGTCGCTACTTCCTATGGTTGGTGGCACTATGACGCTGCTAGATGGTTGACCGGCTAAGCAACATTGGGCTACCACGCTCGGATCATGGCATTCTTTATGATCAACATGAGGAGACTATCTACCACATCCTAGATGTCTCCCTGGAATCCTGAAAACTTTTGTGTACAGTCCTCGGTGCAATTCGACAGTGTTATTGTATGTCAATCAACGGGCACTCCTTCCACCTCCGGCTTTGCAATAGCCAGAGAAAGATCCTAAAAGGACAGAGGAGAGATTTTGACACGGTCGTTACACTCGGAGCTTGAATGATATGGAATGAGCACAACAATCACGTGTTCAATCAGATAGAGTGGAGCTAGCCCAAGGTGGCAAAGGCAATGGCGGAGGAGGCAGCGCGGTGGCGGCTGTGGCTAGGACGGCCTCAGCTCAGCATATATAGTGCCAGAGTTTAGGCCGCCTATTTTCAGTCACAGGAATAGACCAACTGTGCTGTTTCTTTTTTCTTCCCCTTTTCTTCTTCATGTTCTTCCTTCTGGTTTTGTTTTTGTACGGTTCGTTTTGTATCAACTTTACTTTTCTTAATACAATGATGCATAAGACTCTTGTTTATTTCTGGAAAAAAATTCAATATTCTTATGATCAAACTGCTTAAAGAAATGTAGATTATATGACCATAGCTCGCTCTATTCCTTTACATGGCAACCGAACGGCCAGTAAGCATCCCTGTCAAGGGGACAGGGCCATCCTCTCTTAGCTTATTAATCCTCTAATAAAGAAAGAACTGGGTCAAAATTAAAGGAAAAAATTACTCCCATACAAGGTTGCACTTGCACCAAAATTCGTTCGCTACTTGCACGCACAGATGACTTGCACTGATAACGACAACAAACTGGAATTGCTCAACTGCAGCTAGCGAAAGACTAAATCAAATTTAGTCTGAGAAAGTATACACCAAAGTCTCTGAGTGCACGCTCATTTGATTCCTCTCGAACAATCAATCGATATGCTTGCTTAGAAGATTCGTCTGTCTTTCAGAGTTTCAGTGAATTGAACAACCTCTTTTTCAAATATATGTTCATGTACGACGGCCGGTACGACACCTATTAAATTTGGCCCATCATACGCTTGATCATATACCAGAGCAGAGAAGAAGTACTCACACCTTAATTCTGAAAACAGTGTTGCTAAATAAGTCCTGGATGCTGATTGATCACCCTACCTATCCCTAATTCGTTAATGCAAGATGGTTACGTTCTGTACCAAGGCGAACACCAGTACCCCACTCAGCTCAGGGTTAACCAATTTCTGGTTGCTACGTGCAAGAGCAAACTACCCAAAGAGAACAACTGAAACATTGAATGGAAGTACACAACTAGAGATTCTAAGAATAATACTGTGATCGATCGTTGTCTTGTGCCTATCAAAACTTCGAAAGTGTCTCTGCACTTTCTGAACATTCCCACATCATCAGCAACTGCAACTTGCGAGCACATTCCCTCCCAGTCTGCAACCACTACTGCTCGAAGTGTCCACGCAATTACAGATCAGAAGATATGATCCATGCACAAACCGATGAGCATGGAGTGAGTGAGCGAAGCGAGGAGATCTTTTCACCCTCGTGCTTCCTTTCCCAGAGGGTGCAACTGTGCAAGTGCGAGAATGCAGACAAGAAGAGAGACGCCACGCCGCGGTTGCAAGTGGTGGCGCCGGCGAAAGCAAATTGATTGAGGGACACGGTGCTGTCAATCTGTAGATCACTCAACTCACCACTTACCCAAGGCAAAAGTGTTCGTAGGAATCGTACTGGGGTATGAGAATGTGATGAGGTAAGAGCAGAGCACGTCAATAATGGCCACTAGCTAGTAGTAGTGGCCGCTCTATGTCCTGCCTGTCGCTGCATCCACTGATCCACATGTTCAGTCACTTGTGCGTGCATATCAGCCGATCCGAGGGCCGCGAGACGTGTGGGACGTATGTAAAATGTGGCAGCTGATTGTTGTGGATTCAACTTATATTTGCGCCTGTAATTAAAAACGATGCCAATTATTGCCCCATCGGTTACCCTAAAAAAACTAAAACTAAAGTCAAAATTTAAATTTTGAATTGATTTTAAGATATGTTCAACTTAGTTTGTTTTTAATATTAGCTTTTAAGTTGTTAAAGACACATATATAAAAATTTTCGCAAATCATTTTTCTGATGGCTAATAAGTTGTTATGGCTTATAAAATGGCTCTATAATAGGAAATCAGTTTTTTTAATTGCTAATAAGTTGTTATGGCTTATAATAAACTTATGGGTAACGGACGAGGCTCTATAATAGGATAGTTCAGGTATAATCCCAGCTTCATGCGATACATCCCCAAAGATTAGTTACTCAGCCAAATAAAACTTGACTGAAAAGAATTCCGGTAGCTTAGCCTCCGCGTCGCCCACGCGCGGGTGACACAGGGGAAAACCTAGCGCCGCCGCCGCCACTTTCTCCCCCTCTCCCTCCCCTCGCCGCTGCCGGAGCCCGCCGCCGGATAACCGAGCGGCCAGCCGAGATGGCGGCGGCGAGGCCAAACCTTGACGGTGCCCCGTCTCGACGCATCACAGGCGGGCCAACGCGCGGTGCGGAGGCGTCACAGACGTGGTGTGGAGGCGGCGAATCCGGCGCCGCCGCGGCCGGATCCGGCCTCCCCACGGGTGGATCCGGCGCCTCCACGCCGGAGCTGGCCGGAGCAAGCCGCTCTCAGGCGGTAACGACGGGAGGTGGAGGCAGCGGCGTCTGGCGGTGGCTGGCGGCTGGCGGCAGCTAGTGGAGGAGGCCGGCGTGCGCGACGACGGGAGGTGGAGGCGGCGGCTAGCGGCAGCCGGTGAGAGGCCGGCGTGCGCGGAGACGCGACCGACGGCGGTGGAGGACGCGGTGACGGTCGGCAGCGGAGGCCGCGGTGGCGGAGGTAGCGGAGGACGTGGTGGCGGCCGGAGGCGGAGGCCACGGTGGCGGAGGCAGCGGAGGACGCGGTGGCGGAGGCAGCGCAGGCCGGCGCGAGGAGGCCGCAGTGGAGGCCGCAACAGAGGCTGGCACGCGCGTGAGGCTCGTCCGAGGAAGGCGTGCGGCCAGCCTGGAGTGGCGGCGGCGTGCGGCTGCATTTCCGGTGTCGGCGCAGGCCTAGATGGTGCAAAGGGAACTGGCGGCGGTGGGTCATCTTCCTCGTTGCCGATCGGCACCCTCACCCTTTCTAGAGCTCATCCCCCTCTTTGCGAGGAGTTTTTAGGCTGGATTGAGGCGGCCGCTTGTCAGTGGGGAAGCTCAGGCTGCCGAAGCAATGCTACCTAGTCCCGGGTTCTCCTTCGGCCAGATCTGGCGAGGAGGCCGGCGGGTGGTGGAACGGAGGGGTCCTGGACCAGCTCTCAGGGATGGTGGTTCGAGGAAGTCGGCCGACGGCGGGGCGTCGGTGCGGTGTGGTGGCAGTCTTGTCATTGGCAGGACTGAAAGCTGACCGACGGAGGGGCGCCGGTCGGGTGTGGTGGAAGCCATGTGCCGCCGATGTTTAGATGGTGGATTCAGATTGGGCGACGGACCACGGCGGTAGGGATCCCGAGCGAAAGCTTAGCCCAAGTCTTTGTGCCAACAATGACTATGTCTTCGGGCGTGGTAACCCTCCTGGGGGCATTGTTGAGGTATCCCTCCTCCCTCGGCAAGGAGCTCTGGACGAAAACCTAGTCCAGTTCTTTGGACGGATGACGACGGCGTCTTCGGCATCGCGACCTTCGTGAGGGCGTCGTTTTTGAGTCTTCGTATCGTAGTGGTGTTGTTGGCCAGGTGGCAATCGGTCTCGCATAGCGATGGCCGGTTCGGTGCTTGGCTTTCCTGTCTATAGTGTGTGTTTGGGCGGTTGGCACTTGGTTCGGGGCGTGTGCTCTGGTGCACATCCTTCCTCGACAGTCAGCTGTCGATGTAAAACTTTTCTTGTAATATTTTCTTCCTATCTTAATTACATTGAATGACCTCCTTCGGTCATTCCGGCAAAAAAAACAACCCCAAAGATTTTTATTTATCTTCAAATGACCATGGAGCAGTGGAAGGGAAACTTTTGCCACGACCCGAATTCTGAACGCGATAAGCTTGCTAGCTAGCGTTAGTGGGCTAGATCAACCCTCCACCACGGAAACGCCAACATGTGCTGACCATGTTGGCCAACTTTACCGGCCGGGGCTTCGAAATGGACAGCAAACGACGAGCATTTTCTCGTGCGCCCCCGCCCCCGCGGCCCGCCGCGATGTGGCGCACTCGCACGACGCATGCAGCTAGCGGCGTGCATCGCAATTCGCAACGCCACTGGATGATCTCTCGATCGATCGCGCTTTTCCGGCCGCCCCAACCACGCGCATCCAACACCCGTACGTCGCACACAGTCGCAGCAGCAGCAGCGGCGGCTACTAGCTCGGATGGTCGAATACTCGTCGTACGACGGCCAGTGCACAGGCGCACTCGGGGAGCTAATCGATCTGACGTTGTTGGTAGGTAGGAGTAGATCTGTCGATCGACATGAGGGAGGATTATCGGTGCACGTACAACTGTCTGGATTAGCTTATGCACGAATCATGATGAGCGTGTCATGATTGATTCTTTCAATTCTGTTTAGCCGATATGATTATGCTTGTAGATGTAGCAGCAGGTGTGTGCACACTGATTTATTTTTAATTTCGCTCCAATTGACTGGTAGCACTTGTTTATTGAGCATTTGATCGAGCCGATGATTTCGATCAACTTGACCGACTCCTTCACTTCGGTCAGAGTTGTATATATAACTAGATGGGTACCCCGCGCGTTCTTGTGGAAGAATTGTGTGATAATATAGTATATATGAGTTCTAAAATTTTCTTTCTTACCTACTATACTATTTTTTTATGTGCATGTTTATATATTTTTGTAACTTTATCAATTATACAAAGGTTATAAATGATTAGGTTGTATGGTGTGCCTTTAGGATGAAGATGTGTAATTTACACTCCTGCTAAATCATCCAAAGACTAAAAACAATTGAGGTGATGTGAAGAGATACATTATACACCCTCGATGAATCATCCAAAGGCTAAAAACAATTAAGGTGATGTGGCTTCATGAGAGAAGAGAGAATTATCATTAACTATATTTAGTGGGGATAAATTTTACAGATATATAGGATTACTCCTCCGTCTAAAAAAAACTCAATTTCTAGATTTTAAATTTTATCTCACAAAAAACTAACTTATACCATCCAATCTACCCACGGCATGTAAAACGAGAAACTTTATCTCTTTCAATAGCTTTTAACTACCTATCACTCTTACTACTTTTTTCAATGATTAATAGCATTTTGGTTATTCTCACGCTTCACTATTTTTATCTTGGATGTTAGGAATGGGTTATTTTTGGACGGAGGGAATACTCGATTATGGATTTTAATTATGAACAGGCAAAGTGGGATTATGGATACACTTATTCGTAATCATGTACTAGTACCAAATACTGACACATTACCTTCTTCCCAAGTGTATGCTCTCTATAGGTCTATATAGTACCACGATGATATTTGGAAGATTCTGATTAGCCATCTCCTTTAATACCCCTTCATTGTCTGCACTTTGCAGTACAGAGCCAAGCCAACACAACCCCTAGCAGGCTACCATGGATCCTTAATTATCTCTCTTAATCCCCAACCGTCTCCAAGCTCAAATCTCAATCAACAAGGTTACGCGCGGCTTAGGTTTTAATTTAATTCAACTGCCACCAACACGCACCAGTCAAAACGGCCAAATTTGACATGTAAATTCATCAGCCACAAGCACACAATTGCACAAATCCATCATTTTCACTTCATTAAACAAGCTCGCAAGTACGTGTAGTTCAGGGACACAAGGTTACTCACCACCTAGGTATGGCCACAGCCATCCATTAGCGAATAAAAAGATTAAATTAATCCAATCGAGCTAGCTAAGCAGGTCATCTAACCGCATCAGTCAAGCATGAACAGGGTGATTAAGTGATTATTATTATTAATTAATTACACCGTCCCAACCGGCTTTGTTTGACTTGTCCGACCAGCTCGCCAGCTACAAATACCCGCGGGAATGGCGAGCTAGCGCAGAAGGAGACGCAGAAGCGCGCGAGAGAAGAGAAGAGAAGCTAAGCTAGCCATCAAGGTCTCGAAGAGGAAGCAAGAGCGCGAGGAGGAGAGGAGGAGGAGGCGGCGGCGGCGGCGATGGGGATGAGCATCGCGCAGGCGGTGGCGGCGCTGATGGGGACGTGCGCGAGGCGGCTGTCGCGGGCGGCGCGGCGGCTGCACCTGCGGCCGCGGGAGGGGATCGCGGCGTCGTTCTCGTCGCGCGCCATCGTGCCGTTCCTGGGCGGCGGAGGCGGCGGGAAGAAGGCTATCTCGTCGTCGAGGAGGAGGAGGAAGGCCGGGGCGGAGCTGAGCTTCCGCGCGGAGGACGGGGTGTGGAGGAAGGAGATACTGATGGGGGAGCGGTGCCAGCCGCTGGACTTCTCCGGCGTGATCTACTACGACGCCGAGGGGCGGCGCCTGGAGCAGCCGCCGCCGCCGCGCTCGCCGCTGCGCAGCCCGCTGCCGTCGTCCATCAAGCTCGCGGCCAACGCCGGCGGCGGCGGCGGCTACTAGCCGGAGATCGACACGTACACCCGCTCTCTCGCAGGCTTGCAGCAAATCTCTGAACTTTTGGAGCCAAAGCTTAGCCAGCCGCCTTCCTCTGCTTTCCTGCGACATAGTAATAGGTCTCTGCTTCTGATGATCTGTTCTTCTTCTTCTTTTTTTTTTTATTTTACTTCCTTTGGTGTGCGTAGTGATTAGTGATCACTGATCAGTATCAGTACCATGTAAAAGAGTTTATGGAAGCTTAGCTTGATGCTCTTCAGAAGTTGGCACCTCTTTTTACGGTCATCACTCTGATTCTCTGAATATCTTTGATCATCTAGTAGTTGTTCATTAGCATTTACTATCCGGCTACCTTTTCATGTCTTTGTTTTTGTCGTATTTTTTGCACCTTGTTTCTTAGGTAGTACTACTACTCTTAGCAAATTAAGAAATTGAAGTTAGTAAACGAATTTTCAGAGAACTTATCCAGGGTTGGCAAGGACATGATGGTTGAAATGGATCAGTGTTTGGTGGTTGGTGCATGCAGTGGTTTGTCTCGTGCTAGTATGTAGAACAGTAGAAGGTTGTATCTAGCAAGTTGGACTAGATTATTTTCTTTATAGACTATCAACTACCAATACCATTGTTCCATTCCTTGTTCGTTGTTTGTTTGCGAGATCATGGTCAACCCATGTCGGATGTAGTCCTCTACATTAGCATGCGTATCACTTTATCAAGTTTGTCCACCATATCATTTTTCTTGGTAACGTGGCTCAGAACTTCGGTTCTGCACACAAATCAAACAGAGGACAACCTGACTTGAATAAGTTTACTGTCAATTTTCATCTTGTACCATTATTGAGATCCCAGTTGCTGCGCAGTTGTGCACTGATCATTGAACAGAGGGGGCAGCTCAAGTCCCATCGCTTTTCCTACAAAATATAGGAGGGATTGACTTAAACGGAAAGAATTGGTTGACAGAACAATTCGGGTGGAACTACTCATTATGCGTTTCCAAATGTTTGTTATGATCCAACGTGCACAAGCAAACTCTCCAACATCCTAGACCCACAATTAATTTTCCCCAGCATGCTCAATTATAATTAATTTTACAGCACTCTCAAAAAAGCTTATGCCTTTTTTCCCTCTAATATAATCGGAATATAATCGGCAATGCTCTTGCCGTTCTCGTTTTTTTTTTAAAAAAAAGCTTATGCCTTCCCACCTCTGAGCTCTGTACAACATAACGGAAGAGGATCCTCTTGACTTACTTCTCTCTAACTTTGAGTCACTGACATATGAGCCTACTATATAGAGGGCCCACATATCAATGACATCAGTTAGAGAGAAGTAAGTTAGAGGATCTTAATCCCAACATAACTCGGAAAATTATGCAGCGGAAACAACCTATCCTCTCTTACTATAAAGTCCACTAAATCCTAAAGCATAACATGAAAAGATACCACATCATCATCCATTAACAATTATTATATTTAAACATCATGCAAGCATATTATATTATTTATAATTTATTAAATTTTATAGCTTTTCAAATGCAAGCTTGTTAAATCATCATCTCACATAATTCGCATAATATTTCAATGTCTCTTGATCATTTTTATAATATCATATACTTATATAGTTCATCCTAACTCCTAACTTAGTTAAAATGTGCTCTCTCTCTCTCATTAAATCATATCACCTCAATTGTTTTTAGCCCTTAGATGATTAATCTATGATCCAAACTATCTCCCTCATTTTCTTCTCTCGTAAAGCCACATCAACTTAGGGTCTGTTCAGCTGCAGCAACACTGCAGCATGTAGGAACAGTGAAGCAAGCACAAAAAAAAAAGCAGCGGCCGGCCACGACTGGCTACAGGCAGCTGTTGTACCTGCAAGCCAAACATGCCCTTACTTTTCATTTGAATCATCATTCTACATACTATTTGAATTTGAATTATCATAAACCATATCAATTTACGTAAGTTTATAGTATCTAGCTATCTTACACATTATTTTTACTCAGTGTTATCATACTAAACTCCCGCATCAACACACAGGGTCCACCTATTATAATGAAAACTTGAAAATTATTGTAGAATATGAAAATAGATGTAAGGCATTATGAGTGCTCTTAAACAAATCTCAAATGTTCATTTTTATATTATATGGTAGTTTTCAGATTTACATTAAATATTTTTCTACTCGCCTAGGAGGCTACAGTGCGACACAAGATTTTTTTTTTTTACGTCTTGCAAGGTTGGAGTAGTAGTTTACCGCTCTTCTAGTATTTTCCTAGCGAAAATGGCCAAATACCTGAACCTGATAATGCCACGAAAATGGTCCACGAGGAACAGATGAAATGGCTTGCCTAGTTGCCTGCCTGCTAGGTCAGTACCAGCGAACAGTGGTTATGCGGCGACTTTATGCGGCCGGATAGCGTTGCGAGGAGCAAATAATTCCCCCGGAAAACGACGGCGCCACCACCCACCCCGGCCAACGCCGCCGTGAGGAGGGATCGCGCATCGCGTCGCGCGGCAACCGTCCCGTCTCGCTCTCGCGCGCCCGTACGACAACGCGAACCACGTTAATTGAATGAGCCGCTACCTAACTAACATTTCACGCACAAAATCATCTCGTTAACAAGAAAAATCTGGAATAATTAATCAGGTTGTCAGAGGAGGCAGTAGGGGATACTAGTCACTGTCACAAGTCGCAAACCAAACCATATGCGCTGAGTTCACTGCCACAAGCACACAGAAATGCAGAGATCGCCATTTTCACCTAGGCTGTGTCTAGTTCACGCTGAAGTTTGAAAAATTGATTGAAATTGAAACGATGTGATTGAAAAGTTATGTGTGTATGAAAGGTTTGATGCGATGGAAAGTTAGAAGTTTAGAAAAAAACTTTGGAACTAAACAGGCCCAATTTATATTTTGTACAAGTGCACTCATGCGCCATACTGGCACGGCAATTCCAATGGCGAAAGGACAAGATTTTTGACGGGTAGGCTTGACATGTACTACTACAGGCTCGTGTCGTGCGGGTGACTCAACGCGACGCGACGCGGGCACACGAGCCGGCGCGCGCCGCGGCCTCGGCGGTGTCACGGCCAGAAGCGGCAGCACACTGGCTTGTCGTCGCCGGCCGCCTTGCCGTTGCCGGCGTGCCGCTTCTTGCCCTTCCGCTTCGGCACGGTCACCGTGAGCACCCCGTCCGCCATCCGCGCGCTCGCCTCGTCCGCCGCCGCGTCCTCCGGCAGCCGGAACTGCGTCACGGCCGCGCGCCGCCTCCCCGCCGCCCTCTCCCTGCAATGCCACCTCACGCCGTCGTTTTCCTCCTCCTCCTCGCCGCTGGCCTTCCCCGCCTTGGCTGCGTTATTGGCGTCCTCGTGTTCGCCGCCGGCGCGGACGCGGAGGATGTGGCCGTCCACCACCTCGACGGCGACCTGGTCCTTGGCCAGCCCGGGGAGGTCCATCTCGAACACGTGCGCCACCGGCGTCTCCCTCCAGTCCATCGGCGGCCGGGCTTCACCGGCGACGACGCCGCCGGCGCCGGGGAAGAACCTGTCGAGCAGCATCCGCGAGAGCACCAAAGACATTGTTGATGTTCTCCTAAGCTTCTTCGCGTGAATCTTGCGAGTTCACTCCGACTTGGCATGCACGAGTGTTCGTCATCATTTTTATAGATGCGAGCACGGTGGCGCGCGAGAATGATCGAGAACGCGTGTACGGACATTTCCTTTGCGGTTTTTCTCCCCGTCTGGTTGCATCCGGATGCGGGAAGTGTTTGCAGACTCGCAGGGAGGAGCGCGCGAACACGCGATTTTTCTGGTAGTTTCTCGCGTTTTCTTCAGCGTGTTCTTCGCAGGGGAAGAAAACGGGTTAGGGGAACACAGCGATGCAGAGGGATCAATAGATCCGTGTTATCGACGGCTCAGATGATTCCACGCAGGCATGCAGACGGCAACTCTGTAGGCATGGAACTGAAGGAATTTGTGCTAATTGGGAGATTTGACAGATTATTGGTGCTGATTTATTCCGTTTTCTGTAAATGACACTGCAAAAATCTTGCTCTTTTTACACATTTTGCAACAAAGAAATAACGAATATTGCCATACGATCAGACCCAGTACGTCTAAATAAGACTTAACTTACCGATTTATTATAACAGTTTGGGTCTCTTCTGACAGATTTTACACAACTGCTGGTCCGCACTGCTACCGGATGGTAACAATGAGGTTCCTGTCGACGAACTTGGCGCCACCAACTTTGCCCTGCATCGCCGGCGGCAGCTTTACGACGCGCCTCTGGTCGCCGGCTTCTATCAGTAGTTCTGATCCACCTCTATACTGCATTTTTCAGACAAAACAACAGATTGTCGAAAACAGCCAATAGAGATGAGTAGTACTGAGATGATGTGCTCCTTTGAATCAAGAAAGAGTACTGGTAACTGCCTTACTTGATATAGTTTGATTTCAGACTTATCAAAGCCCGGCATGAAAAGGGTCACCGATTTCTGAACAGAATCAAAACTAACTGAAGGGTATACTTTGTTGCTTGTATTCCTCAGTAAATCTTTTGCATTTTGGCTCAAAGAATTCAGCACTCTGCTCCAATCTGCTGAAGAATCAGTTGGCAGAAATGGCAGAAACGAGAAAGTCATCGGCAAAAACTTCTCTGCAACTCCTTGGTGAATTTCGAAACGCTGTTCGGTATAACCAAATGCTCCACATATATTTCCACCAGCTTGAGTTGTACATCCCCAGTATCGCAATGCAGAAGATACAGAGATTGATCTTCTAGGGTCCATGATGAGGAAGCATGCAAATTTTGAGGGATCGGCAAACCAAACCGATATTCTCTAAAAGAAAAAAAAAAGCAGATTTCAGCTAACTAGTTGAACACATATCTACTAGGTTGCTGCACAAAAGAACTAAATCGGGAAAATTAACCTGAATAAGTTGTTCAATATCATTCCATAACTCTGAACTCAGTCTTCCTTCACTAGTTTTACCATTTGGCCTTGCAGAATCGTATATTAGTCTCATCGCGGAAGGAGAAGCCAGTCTTCCTATGTCAGTCTTTTCTGCTAGATCCTTCACATACCTCAAGTAAGACCTGTCTTTTGTGTAGCACCAGCATTAAGTTTAGAGACTATCTCCTGTGGGAAGCTAAGGTGAAGTTGGAGCAAGGAAAACCTATACCTTGCTCTCTCAGTAGCACCAATTAGCCGTAGAATTTCCTCTGTATTGTTGCAATCATACACTACCACATCAAATTCCTCTTGTGAACTATTCCTTTGAGTTGAAAAGAAGTTAAGCAGCTTCTGAAGAGCTAACACTGAACAGACCGAGTCCATTCCGGGTAAGACTCCAAGCTCCTCCCCTACAACCTATCCCATGAAAAATCATCAATCCAAATGACTGCTTTATCCTCATGTCCCATAATACAGCAAAGTTAAATTGCCTACCGCCTCAAGGACTCCTTGAGTAAGATTGATCTGCGAGTCCACTTTCTTTAGCCGGTCAAGGGGTTCAAGCAGCATCTACAATGTAACCATACAACATTCTTCAGCATCATGAATCAGAATATCATTCCAGTTTATGATATAACTATAGCTAAAACATAGAGGATATCACTTTCAAGATAGTAGTTTACTTTACTAGTCTCCAGCTTCATGGTGGAAAGATTGGCAGCGCACTCGGTCAGCGAGTTACCGATCTTACAACCCATCAATTGCTCTGCGGTGGGATCTTGGGACTGTATGACCAAGCATGTCTTCAAGCCTTCACTTGCATAATACTAAAACGTGGAAAAGAACAAGTTAAAGGCAATTCTTTCATGAACCAACTAACCAGGAATTGATACAACCATCAGAACATATTCAGTATTTCGGCAATATGAACTCGCCATTTAATTTTACCTAATGTCATGCTACATTGTACTCGGTTCAATTCATGGAGCATCCCGGCTAATGATCGATAAATGATACTACAATAAATCTAAGTAATGTACAGCGAGCTCACACCAAACTAGTACAATTTTCCATCAAGATAACGACGAACGCAATCGATGGAGAGAAAGTTTTCACCTGAGCGGCGACGGCGGCCGCGGTGGTCTTCCCGGAGCCGCCCTTCCCGAGGAAAGTCACCAGCTTGGGAGGAGCACCGGCACCGGCGGAGCAGGCGATGACCAGACGCCGCCGGCCGCGGCCTCCCCGGCGGGGAGCGGCGAGGATTTGGCTCGCCGCCGAGGCGAGCAAGGAGGGAGCCATCCACACTCTCTCAGTGGCTTTCCTCGCGATCCGATTGGGATTCCGGGGTCTCCGGCCGCGCGTGTGGGCGAGCCCCCTCGGCCTCCCGCTGCTTCAGCCGTTTATAAAGAAAAGAAAGTTTCTTTTCTTTGGGATAGGGCAAAAACCCCACCTCTGGACTTTGGCCACCTCTCTCCTCCCCCAATTCCACCACTAGCCCTCGTGTCCCCGGCGCGGCGGCGGCGGCGGCGATGCCTGACCAGCGGCCAAAGCGGCCGTCCGACTCGGTCGCCGCCGCCTCGCCGGCGGCGAAGCGCGCCCGCGACCCGTCCGCGCCGGCGTTCCCCACCTACAGGGACGCCCCCGACCTGCCCCCGAAGATCCGTCTCCTATGCGAGATCCTGGCGTCCTCGGCACCCGACGTCGACGCGGCGCTCGACGACGCCGACGTCCGCGTCACCTCCTCCGACGTCGAGCAGGTGCTCCGGTTCTCCTACGCCCACCCGCGCGCCGCCGTCGCCTTCTTCCGATGGGCGGGGCACCGGCACCTCCGCCACCAGCACTCCCCCTACTCGTGGAACCTCGTCGTCGACCTCCTCGGCAAGAACCGCCTGTTCGAGCCCATGTGGGACACCGTCTCCTCCATGCGGACCCAGGGCCTGCTCTCCCTGGCCACCTTCGCCTCCGTGTTCTCCTCCCTGGCGGCCAACCCGGCCAGCTCCCCACTCAGGGCGTTCGTGGAGCTGCCGATGTACGGCATGGACCGCGACACGCCGGCGCTCAACTCCCTCCTCTCCGCGCTCTGCCGCGCCTCCCGCCTGGACGACGCCCGCGCCGCGATCCCCGTGGCGCGCGCCGAGGCCGGCACCCGCCCCGACGCCGACTCCTACGCCATCCTTCTGGAGGGCTGCGAGGCTGCCGGCGACCCTCACGTTGCACGCGAGGTGTTCGACGAGATGCGGCACGTCATCGGATTCGATCCTGCCAATGTTCCTGCCTATGATTCTTTCCTCACTACACTGATTTCAAGTGGTTCCTCCACAGCGTTAATGGATGCGATGGACTATCTTGCTATCTTGCACCGGCAGAGGTGCTCACCTGGGGAGAAGTTCTTCCGCGCCGCACTGGCCGCACACCTCAAGGCGCGTGAATTGCGCGGCGCGGTGGTGCTCTGGAACGACTTTGTCGTAAGGCGGGGACTCATCCCAGATAAGGAAATGTATAGCACAATGATCATGCTGCAGGGCACTCTTGGGCATCCTGAGGTGATTGTTGAGTACCTTGATGAGATGACCTTTGATGGAGTGTTTCCAGATGCGGACACATACAATATGGTTTTCCAGTTCTTGCTGAAGGGGAGGAAACTCCGGGAGGCGTCGGCAATATTTAGTGAGATGGTCAAGAACGAGTTCTGGCCCAATGAGGCAAATTGTTCGCTCGCGCTTCGTATGTTCTTGGATACACGAGACTGGGATTCAGGGATCAAGTTGTGGAAATGCATGGTGGAGAATGGGCTTCCACCATTGGAGGAGAGTGGGAACATGCTCGTATCAAAGCTAAAGGATGAGAGGTTACCCGAGGCATGTAAATATGCAGAAGACATGATTGATCGATGTATCAAGTTGAGCTCTTCCACAATGTCAAAGCTGAAGCAATGTCTGATGAAGGTTTATAAAGGACATATCCACGATCACCTACTTAGAAAATGGAAGGCGCACTAGGTATTTTTACCTCTTCTTTGTGGTTAAATATAACAGGGGAAGAAAAGCTAACATTTTGCCCCCAAGTAGCTGAGTAGCGGTTGATGGTGATTTTCTGGTTGCAACTGCAACTATAGGAACATTATGCGCATAGCATCAGTAAAAGTTGCAAAGCATTGGCTCAAAGCTAGGTGTACAATGTAGTGACATATTTGGTAAGGTAGTTTGGTAAATTAAACTTGACTCTCCTAATGTTTTTCTTTTGCATGCGTTTCTTGCGTAGAAATTCCAGTGTTTTCTTTGAGTTTTGTTCTCCCTTTCGACATGATGTGGCGTTGGGAAATGAACATGACATCCTGGTGACAAGGATTTTCTTTTTGGTTTGTTTGAGAAAGAGAGGGATCCTCTCCCATTTCTACTAGGTAAAATTTGCTCTATGACACCCAGTTTTGTGGCATTGGCCTTGTGGTTTTCTCCATCGGCTGTAATAGGGAAACACACTTTCAGCTAACTCTATCAAATCCAACTTGAGACTGATAAAAGAAGAACCCATCTTGAATCTGACAAAACCATCTCCACCGTCATGCAAATGGAGCTGAGCACACTCCAAAGTTCTCTAGTTTCTTTCCAACTTTCCAGGTTCTGATAAATGGTGACAAGGAAGTGTCATAATTTATCAGTAAGTAGGAAGTTTACTCTATGGTTAGATTGCCGTACATTGTGGCAAGAAATGCACACTCGTAGTTTCTTCTGGGAACGACGTGTACCGACTGAAGGAAGTGCAAAGAGAATTCACATTAAATATTTTGCAAATGATTTCCTGCATGGTTGGCAAGAAGCTACTCACCTGTAGTAGCATCGAAGTGCTTAATTCATTACCAAAAGACAGCTAATACAGAGGCTGACATTTAGTCTTCACTGTGACACTGTATTTGACAGTGCGTACTGCTCAGAATATGAACCGATATGACACGATATCAGCTTGAACAACTTTACAATTGTTGATCTACTCAGCTTATTATGTCCTGTGGCTACGAAATTTGCAAGAACCTTTCAACAAAGTAAATAATAAGCGACGATGAGTCGATGATGAATGGCTGCATGTTTGGGTGCATCGGCGGAGATTGAGCCCCCAAACACCCCAACCAAAAAAACAGGACCAAAGTACCCAAAGAAAATAAAATCAATGTGGTAAATTTTTAGTTTTACCTACACTATGGTAAAGAACAAATTTATATTATTTGATTATATTAGTTTGAATCAAATGAAGAAACGATTTGATTATATTATTTTTATTGGTAGTCTGCTTACATCGGTAAGTAATATTAATCGTGACTAGCTATATTTTTTGGTGCAACATTTTCCAAGAAAAAAAAATCAAAATGTATAATGTGAATCACATATATTACAATTTCAACCATATATTTTTACTATAATTTTAAATCTTAGAACATAATTTTTCGTGCTTGTCATATAGGAACTATGAAACAAATAATTATCTATTTGATTAAAATATTAATTTAGAATAACATATAAGTAAAAAGAAAAAATATTTTTTATAAAATGTATCAAATGTTAGAAAATGTATATGTTATATTCCCAGGTGGCCAAGTATCCTGGTGTAATTGTGCCTAAGAAGAAAGAGAAAATTGTCGTATGGCATACCTCGAGGATATTTTCCCGTTGACTCGACGTCAACTCCGACTCCTCGTGGGGTGTGGATCCCCTAGAGTTGATGCTAGAACCACCTGATGTAGTTCCAGAAATATCAACCTCTATCTGTTTCTACCAGCTGAGAAATTCTACCAACTGAGATTAATTTCTCCTAATTAACTCTCTTAACTAGTGTTGATTTAGTGAGAAAAATATTTTCCTTTTCACCAATGAGATAAGCAACACATATCCCCGTGAGATCGGTTTATCCTTATTCTACATATTGAAAAAAAATTGTCTCGAACAACGCTACTTGAAATTGATATAATAAAAACAAGAAGAAAATACATATGTTTTTTTAGATTATATTGTACTTGCATGTTACTTTTGGGAAAAGAGTGTTATTTGTTTTAGTGTTGGCTGGAGCGTAATTGCTATTATGGAAGGAAACACCTTAAAGAAAAGGTAGTTTTCCTTTAATTCTACACTAATCAAGTTAACTAGATGAATACCCTGCCGCGTTGCTGCGGGGAATTAAGTTACATAATATGTACAAATAGGATTCAATATAATTATTAAAACTAAAACAAATTGATACTTATGAATTTTGAGTCTAAAAATAATTAAGATTGCATGGTGTTATGAGAGAAGAAAGAAGAGACAATTTGAACCATAGATCTATCATCAAAAGGCTAGAAATAATTGGGACGATGTGGCTTAATGGGAGAAGAGAGAAATAGCATTAACTACATTTAGTGGGGATGAACTATGTAAGTATAGGATTAGGTGCGATGAGTGCCTTAATTGATCTCATTCGCACAAGAAGAATGACTATAAATTTGCCAAATCCTCGTGTAAGTTGTCAAATGGGCCATGTATTTTCGTGTTGGCCCGGGCATGTATGTAACAATCTATTCTCAAAATCACATCAACAAATATTTAACAAATATTTAGGAACGAGCTTACCTGTAAATTTAATTGTCAGGCGCGAGCTCTAACGATTGGACCTTGCATAGTAACTTGAGAAGTATTGTGTGTATCCAAATGAGTATGATTCCCGACGGGGAATTTAACTATTTGGTGCTTTTACGGACCGTCACTCGTGATATGCCATTCTTCTAGATAAACTTACAAAATGCCTAGTTATTAAACAGAATCGGTCCGCTCGTTTAACCAGAAAAAAAAATCAAAACCAATGCCTAGTTCAATGATATAATTGACCCGCGAAAAATTGGTTAAACTAGACAATTTTCTACATAACCGAATGAAAACCGGGATGGTCAGACCGGCAAGCACTTTTTACTGAAAAACATGAAGAGACGCTTGGCCGCCGTTTGCCCGTAGGAGGGGTAAATAGTTAAATTTCCCTTTCGGACCCTCGTCACTCATCGTCGTTTGCCCGGCGCCGCCCGGCCGCCGCCGATCCCCATCCATTCCGCTAGCGAGCAGGGGCGCCGTCGTTCGTCCTGCTGCTTCCGCCGCATCCATCCCTGGTGAGCACATCCTCCGCCACCGCCGCCTGCGCCGATCCCCATCCATCCCGCGAGCGAGCAGGGGCGCCCCTCGTTCGTCCCGCTGCTTCCGCCGCATCCGTTGCGCACATCCTCTTTCCCATATCTCTCTCTACCCACGCACTTTTTTCTTTATCGAATTTGCGTTAACCCTAGCTTCTGTTCTGGAAATTTGCCTTAACCTTGATACTGATAACAGTTTGTTTGTTCCCAAAAAGTTTCCCATGTTAGACCCGCCCATGGACCGGTTCTAGCGTTGGTATGGAGAGCTTCCGTGATGATCAGCGCGCTGGTCCTCAATCCGAGCAACACTCTGATCATGTGTCTGATTCTGCTGAGGATGCAATATCTGATGAGGTGCTGCATCTGCTGATGTTGCTACAGCATGTGAAATGTGATATGTTATGCTGCTGTACCTTTTTTTTTCGCCCGCAAATTTCATTAACACCACTTCAGGTTGGCAGGACATGCACTTATGTCTTCAATGAAATTAGAGAGATTCCAAATTTCTTTTTTTTTCTCTTGGCACCAGACCACTTTATAAGATGTACAACAAGAAGTTTGTTTTATTTTTGGTCTTTTTTCTAACAAATGTATTTGGCATCTATTAACAAAAGTTTGTTTTAACTACTAATAGTGTATTTCCACTTGTAGCAGTGGCGTATGAGTGCTTGCTGAACATGTGCCTTTATATATTAACAGGATGTTCTTGCACCAACAAGACTGTCATTAGCTTGTGCTGCTTCAAAAGAAAGAGAGAAGGAAAACAAAATGGTGGTGCCAGATGAATCAACCATCTGGGATGAAGTTCTGGAAGAAGCCGATGAGCTAGCCTATGTGCACAAAGTTCCTCCTAGTATATCATTCCTATCTGCTGGAACAGGCAAAAGTACGTTGCCATAAATCCTATTTATCTACTGCATAGATATGTATATTCTTGTTTGCCTTACGGATAAAGGAGGAATTCGGTTTTAGGAGCTTTCGTACATAACAATTTCTGTTTTTTTACACTGTGAGTTGTTTATCGTTTCTTCATTGATACAGGGAGAAAAGGTGAACACAGGCTCAAATTCTCAATACGTGGATCCAGTTCTGTTTCACTGAATGTGAAGACTGAAAACCCATACATTGGGGAGCAAGAAGTTTCATCAGTAATGCCAACAAACAGAGCTCCTGAAACCATGATGGCTGAGCAGTTGGAAAATATCAAGGAGGAAACTGAAGATTTGCCCTCAGAGTTTGCTTGTTCAACCAAGAAAGCAAATGTTTCAATTTCTGAACTTCTTGACAGTTTACAGGATAGAAGTGCCTCCTCTGCTGGGACACCATTTTTGGTTAGTGTTTAGTTGCGCTATTTTGTTATTTGGAGTTCTTAGACAACGATTAGCTTGTCTCTAAATATTATCTCAACGCAGTTGCATCAACACACCAGACCTAAGGAAGAAAAGCCAAAGGTCCCTACTTCTGTGAAGAGAACACTTGCACTTCTAGGTCAGAGGAATCTTGAGACCGAGAATCCCTTGGAGCATGTAATTGGTGAAACATCTAGCGAGGAGGAAGTAGGTTGTTAACATAACCAATGATATAAATACTTACTCTATTATGATCTTCAAAATGATATGTTTATCCTGCAATAGGACGATGCTCAAAACAACCTGGCTTTGATCAACAAAGATGTCAAGGGGCAAACTATGGCTGACATATTTCAACAAGTATTTAATGCAACAAGCATGGACTGTTTTACACTGCCCGTGAGATCATATGGGTATAACCGTCCTGATAATTATCTTCCGAATGATCACTTAAATATCTCTGGTTGTTCACATTTATTTGTTTTATGTATCTCTGTGGCAGATCTGGTTATTATGGAAGGATGCAACAAATTCTGCAGATGGAGAAAGATAGGCATGCTGAGTTCCTAAGACAGTATAACAGAGAGCAAGATTATTTAGGTGCGCCTTAATCATCTGTAGCTCTGTACTACCACGTACATGTTCATAAATAAGCTTCACTAGTGCATATACACATTGCTGAAGTAGCTACTCGTTGTATTTCCAGGCGATCCAAAGGGGGTTACAGTTCAGATTTTGTCAAGGTCTCTGGAAGGAAAGCTAACAATCTGCCGCTGCTTGTTCATGGAGAAGAGCAATGTATGTGGTTCATCTCTCAAAAAGAACTGTTTGGTTTTTGTTCATTTTGACCAATTGTGAAGCACTCAAATCCTGCATTACCAGCATTTTGTGCTACTGATGTTTCCATGGTACTTGTGTTTCAGTTGGCCACAACAGGGGAAGTGTCAACAGATCTTGACATGGATAATAGCAGCGTGAAAAGGACCATCATCTTCAGTCCCAAGATATGTGACAACGTGGATCTTCTAGCAGGAAACATTATTCACATCTTCCCACCATGGTTTGCTTTTTATAATCTGTTTCTGCATTTATTTTTGCCGATTTCTGGTTGAGAAACTAACAACTGCGCTACCTCAACAGGAAAGAAGTTAAGGTGAAAGAAGAGACGGTGATTCTTTGCACCTACTTCTCGCATCGTGGAGTTTGATACTACTTGAGATGCTTCTTTTTTAGATGAATTTATCATGAGTAAGAGGAAGCAACGATTATGCATGACCGTGTCCTGTGTATGTTGGCGCTCCCGAGTCCCGAGTCACTGCACGACCTGCTGACCTGATAGTTTAGAAGTTAGAACCCTCCTGATGACCACATGATGTAGCCGAGTTTGTACACAGCGTACTTTGACACAACCAGTATATAATGCTAATACATCATTGCCTTTTTTATTCTGGAGGAGAATGTTTTTTTTTTAACACAACCAGCAGCATTGCCTTCTTTTTTTGGAGGGAGAATGATTTTCTTTTCTGAGGTATACTCTCTGTATTCAAATATATGACCGCTGTTGACTTTATTTGGTTAGATTTTTAATACTTTCAAATTCAATAGTACCTTTCAAGGTATTTAGTTTGGAAACGTGAAAATCATATGGGTGGATTTTTCTTTATAAGTACTTATACCATATAATAGAATAGATTAGATATTATTTTTACAATTGTTGTAAAAATTGCATGCCAAAAAATAACTAAATTCACCGGTGTCACGTATTTAAACACAATATATAATGATAGACATGACGCAAACCAGCACACATTCAACTGGAAGCTCTCAAAAACAACAGAAATGATAAGACTGCTAATCGATGTAAAATTTCTATAGCTCAGCAATATCAAAACAAATTAGTTCGATACAAACAATGCAACTACAAAGTCGTGAAGTCGAAGCCTTTGAGGCATTAACTTTGACAGCATGCCATAGAGACCATAATACTGCTATACAGCGATTAGAAGCTGCGATTAGAAGCTATGGATCACCTTTCTGCTGGTCCTATAGCATCTAGTCCATACGGAAATCCTACACCTCATCTTTTGGCCGTCAAACAAATGAGAAAATTTGAGCAACCAAAATTTTGCCTCTGACAAAGTGCCTTCTTGGAGTATCAGTATCATCCCAACAAATCCTACGGGGTGCCAAGGTTCACGCTAATAATCACAACTCATCATGAGCTTCAGGTTCTAAATCGTCAGTCTTTTGTGGTTCAGACTGACTCTCTTCAGGGGCAGCTGATTCCGACGATGTTTCCGTGGATTCAGCTTCTTTGGATTCAGATTCCGAAGAGTCAGTTTTCTCTTTGTTAGCAGACTCTTCTTCCTTGGGAGGTTTCTTTTCTATCTTGGGTTTTGGTTTAGGTATCCTATTGACACTAGAAACCTGCAGACAAAGATGAATCCCCAATGTTTTGAGAGCGGTGAAACATGTGCATATTATTCTAGAATCTTAATATGAACTTCCTAACCTTATCTTGTAGGTCCAGAACTTTTTCGTAGACTTCTTCAGATGTGAAAGCAGGTGGACTGTAGACAGGGGTGCTGCAATATGATAAATGGGAGTTAGACACATATACACATTTAAATGTAGAACTCGCGAAATTGTGTTGGCTCTAGACTCAGCATACCTTTTCTGTATGGCTTCCTTCTCCTCCAACCAAGTTTTTACTTTCTCTGCTTCACTTACAACCTAGACCCAGATAGCATCACAACCAATAAAATGAGAATCACATCATAACCAGAATGAATTTATCGAACTTCATTAAGCTCACTGGTTTACCTCATCTACCCTCTTTTTTGGAAGCCACGGTTTGTTCGAGTCCCAGTTCTTAACAATCTGCAAGACCAGAAAGTGTTACAGATGAGAATAGAGTAGCACAACAATCATGAAGTTGAGCAGCAACAAAAACATTGTTTGGTCTTCTGTATAGATACCTTTTGCAACTCAGCAAGATACAATCTAGCATTTTCACAAGCCGTTGGCCGGGCTTTTAGCTCACTCAATCTGGGCAATAAAGAAAAAAAAAATCAATGTCAGTCAATGACCTATATGAACCTAAGTGGATACAGAGCAAGTTACCTGAAAAGAATTGGGTCACCGATGGCCTTAAGTTGGTCAAGGCGTTCCTTGAATTCATTTGCTTGAGCATCTTCACCATCCATATACAACCAATCTTGTACCTGCACTTAAACAATCTCAGCATGAGGATTCAACAGACAAATGAAACCCACCAGAAGATTATTATTGAACAGACCTCATTAAGTTTCTCTGCAAAAGATTCCCTCTCCTGTTCAGTTGAGACGGTCAAAATTTCTGTGTTCTCTTCCAGCTGTGATGTGCCAAATAACAGAAAACAAGTAGTCAACAAACATAAGTATAGCACCTAGTAAATAATAACTGTGCTAAACGTTATGAAACTTTTCTGTGTTTTTCTAGATTTATGTAGACAATGGAGTTCCTATTATCAGTGCAAAGCTGAAGTTCTGAGGAATATAATACCCTCAAAGATTTCAGATATATCAAGAAACAAGAGGGGTCATGTGAATGGCAGTAACATGTTTTATGCTATTAACACTGAAGGTAGAAGAGAACAGAAGGTACCTTCTCCTTCATAGAGTATATGTAAGACTCCAGGTTATTTTTCAGTTCAGCAGTTCTCCTCCTTTCAGCATCCTTCTTATCAAGCGCCTCTAACCTAGTTTTTGCTTCAGAATACAACTCCTTCGAAAGAATTGATCCAGCACCAGCCATCTTTTCCACAACCTGCCATTGGACAACATATTTATTAAGTCATGTTCTGTCAATATTAACACCAGATTTATGACCTTCTATCTTTACCTTTAACGGGACCCTGAATGTTCTTTTCTTGAGCACCTTCTCTGTAACAATATCTTGTGCATTACTCTCATCTATTGGAGCACTGGACTTATTTGCATCCCCATCAGAACTCACATTCTCCTTACTGTCAGATGTGTCATTAGCTGCTCCTCCTTCCGAAGACAAAGTCTGACTGGTGGAATTACTCTCTAGAGTTAAATTCTTCTTTGGAACTTCAACCCATTCAGTTATCTCAATCACTGCTTCTGCCCTATCAAGAGAAATAATTCCGCTCCTACTCAAAGAAAAATGTAGATTTGCCTTGATGGGTGCAGATAAATTGCGGCTACTGTACCTGTTTGAAATAACCACATGGTTAAATTCATGCAGTGAAATTAAACACATACAAATTGCCAATGGCAATGGTGTTGAGATATTATTTAGAAATAGAATAAACATATGTACTGCAGCCTCGAAGATGGAATGTTCCGCCCCCAAAAAAATAGCAGTTGAAATAAAGGTACTCTATGTTCAGCTTGTTATAAGCAGTACCATGACACAAAAAAAGTACATAAGATGATATGCATTATGCATGCTTACTTTTCGCTTGCATCTGTCAGGCCTGATACAGAATACTCCACAAATTTGTGTGATGTAACACCTGGAGGCAGTTCAGAAGCTTTTTCATAGCTGATAGAAACATCGAAGTCTTTAGTATGTCTAATGGACCTGAACATCTGTAGACAACAAAACAATTGCAAGCTAGATTATTTTTTAAAAAAAACTTTTTTTTTTGCATATAATCAAAAGGAAACAAGAAAGGTGCATTATAACCTTAATTCCCAATTTTTTCATCCTTGGCACCAGTAATTGATCAGTGCTTTCATCTTTGACATAATCTGGGCCATTTATTTCAAACACAAAACCATAAGTAGAACCATCAATCATCCCTAACTTACGGTTCAACTTAATTCCATCACTTAAGTTAGCTGCATGCAGTGAGGCACCCAGAACAATTGCTTCATCTGCATCAAGATGCTTATCCAGGTCACTTCTTCCCAGGAATTCCTGCAGCTTAGCCTGTACCAGGAGAATGGAATTTTATTACAAAAATAACAAGGTGAATGATGGAAGCACAACTGTTTCAGAAGTACAGTTAAGTCATCTGCATAGTAGGTTACCGTGGTTAACAAATGCCTTTGAGATATGATAGCAAATTTTTAAGATGTTAACTAAAAGTAATGGATTGTATTAAACTTATGATGAGAATCAAGTGACAAGAGAGAAATAAAAACATGGCAGTCATGTGCCTGAATGCCATTAGAGCCCCACAATACAAGGTCAAACATAAAAACGAGTTCAGTTTAATCACCTGCAATTTTGGTACTCGAGTAGCTCCTCCTATTAATTCTACAGCATAGATATCATCAATCTTCATTCCAGAATGTGCAAGCACTTCTTTAACTGGAGTTAGAGCCTGCTCCCATAATTCTTCACAAAGTTCTTCAAATTTTTCACGTGTAATGGTACTCCTGTAACAAGAAGCGACCATTAATTCAACAAGTAGAACCTAGAAAATTGTCCTGACTCCTGATCATGATTTAAAACTAGAAAAAGTTTACTTTGTACAGAAAGAAATCAAGAAAAGATGAAAGGAAGGCAGAACATCAACCATTATAGAACAATACAGTAAGGAAGAAGGGTCGACTATGCTTGCAAAGTATTAATATTGGCAACTACTGTATAGATTAAGAAGCCAGTGTGTTTCACTATCTTCCAGGTTCCGATGTTCCGTGCAATCAATGGATATGCAAAGTATTAATATTGGTACCTACTGTATAGATTAAGAAGCCAGTGTGTTTCACTATCTTCCAGGTTCCGATGTTCTGTACAATCAATGGATATGCAAAGTATTAATATTGGCAACTACTGTATAGATTAAGAAGCCAGTGTGTTTCACTATCTTCCAGGTTCCGACGTTCCGTACAATCAATGGATATGCAACAAAGGCCAATGCAGAACATCAATGGAGTAGCTACACTTCAGGCCACAGTAAACAACCTTTGTAGCTCTTAACGAATTTGTTCTAATGGAATTGCATTCATGTAATTCAAAGATAACAAGGTGATTGATTTAATTGAAACACCGGTCAGGTCATTTTAGCAGATAAGAGACAAAGCACCAGCCACCTAGCATGCATGCTACTCCAGCATAGTAAGTTGCTATGCAAGAATTTGCCAGGCTGACAAGCATCTCTAATTTTCAACAAAGTTTCAATTGTTCATAACCAATTAAACTCGAGAGCGTTATCTTGAAGGCTTGAACAGAGAATCCAAAAATGTTAAGTAAATTTCCATTTATGAATTTATAAATATCGGTCCATATTACATGTGTGAAGATTATGCAAGTGGTGAGGACGCACCTGAAATCGAGATCATTATATAGTGATTCAACTGAAATTGGAGCAGCAGTATTTGCACTCAGAATTTCTTTGGTACGCTTAACTTGCTTCTTCAACTTAGCCATCGCCTTGGGAGACTGGCGGATATCAACTCCATTACCGAGTTGTTTATTAAATTGATCAGCAAAATAGTTTACCAGGCGCATTTCCATTTCAAGGCCTCCAAGTTTGGAGTCCCATCTAACATCCTTAACCTGTAGATAATTAGCTGAAGAAATTAGTAATAGATTCTGGCATTCTGTATCTCTGTAATGTAGGCATTTAGCAAGCTCAATTTTTCATATATTTGTCAGATCTTCCATCGCTTAGGCATGTGAAAGATGATGTAAAAAAAGGGGTTTTCAGTGGACTTTTGAGTAAGCATACGACGGACAAAATTGAACAACTAAAAGACCTTGGGCAAGATCGAATTGTACCTGGAACTGGTTCACCGATACCGTCTTCCCAAACTCCTTGGCCTTGTAAGCTGAGTAGTACACCAGCGCGGCGTAGGTACTACCTGCGCCCATGTCATAGAAGATAACATGCCTCGACTCGTTCGAGAAATCCTTGTCGATCCCGTACTGCAACGCTGCCCCGGCGTGCTCATTGATGAGCGCGAGGACGTTAACTCCGGCAAGCTGCGCCGCCTGCGTCAAGGCCCGGCGTTCGGCCTGCCCAAAGTAGGGCGGAACGGCGACGACGGCGTCACGCACAGGAGCGCCGACGTGCGCATCCGCGAGCCCAGCGGCGTAGTGGAGCACCATCGCGACGATCTCCTCGACGGTGTAGACCTGCCCGTCGTCCGCGCGGACCGCGGCGGCGCCGCGCGCGTCGGGGACGAGGTCGTAGGGGAGGAAGAGCGCCTCCGCGACGGACCGCACGTAGGGGAAGGGCTTCGCGAGGAGGTCCCGCGCGCGGGCGAACACCTTGGACGGGTGGCGCGCGGTGATGCCGGACGCCTCCTCGCCGGCGAGCCGGTTGCCGTCGGCGAGCGCGGCGAGCGCCGGGGACTTGCGCTTCGACATCTCGTTGATGGCCACCGCGATCGGGACGCGTCCGGGGGCGAGGTGCACGGCGGCCACCTTGAGCCACTCCGACCCCAGGTCGATGCTCGCCACCGCCGCCTCCGCCGGCGGGACGAGGACGACGGCGGCGGCCGCGACGACCGCGGCGAGGAGGAGGAGGAGACCCGATGTGCGGGGCGGCGCCATGACGAGCGGCGGCTAGTAGAATGGCATGCGGGGTGGGGGGGTTAGGGTTTGGAGATCTGGGACTAGTGTGGCGGATGCAGCACACACGGTGGAAGGGGAGAGGAGAGAGCAGCGAAGGAGGGGAGGGGGAGAACGATCTCGACGGGGAGGAGGAGGAGGAGAAGGGCGTGTGCTATATTTGCAATTTTTGTGATTGTTTTTCTTGCGTTCGGAGTTTTTTCGATTATGACCCTGAAAGGTTTTTTCTGATTTCGAGTTGTGCGTTGCTGCTGAAGGTGCTTTGGATTCTTGGTGAATATGTAGAAAAAATTGAGGGCTCATGTGAAAAAGGTGAGAAGAAGACCGTGGCAGGAACGTCACGAATTGAGTCACCAGTCCAATGAAAATACGACACGTGGAAAAAGATCCACATGGCACGCCTTGGCTAGCGTGGTGCGCTGGAAGAGCGAGAGGAGCGTGTGCTAGACCGCACGTGGAAGTCTCGTGCGGCGACTACCGAGTTTATCGAGCGTCACGTCACATCAAACATGCCAGTACCGTCATGGCGGGAAGCTTGTACAGTAAAAACGTAGGAGTAGTGCTAGTGTGTTTGTGCAGTTTAAACTGTGCCATGATAAATAAGGAAATCATTCAAATTGGCGAAAGCATTTTTGGGATGATAATGAAATTATGTTACTGATTTTTTTTTCATCTATCACTGGTCAGGTATTGCTAAAAAAAGTGTTTGATAAAATACTACTAGTAGTAACTTGCAATCTTGCCAGCATCTGAAAAAGGATTGTTCACCTGCACCGCACAAGCCAGAATGCAAAAGCTTTGCCCAATGAGCACTACAACGCTGTTCAGTGTCACACTCTCACTGCACTGTCTGCTCAGTAAAGATCACAGGTCAATCTCCAAGAATGCACAGCGGTTGTCTCATGCTGAGCTCAACTTTTAGTCCTGGAAATTGTGCAAGGTCGTTGCTTGTTCCCAAAACGTTCTGCCACAAAAAAGCTACTTTTAAAAACATGAACAAATAAGTTATATACTACAGTGATAGAAGAGTTGTCTGATCATTAATAGCAACACGAATTGGGGTTTAGCAAATGAACTTACAAGTGCAGCAAGATGAGCTTCTTGTAGAATACTGCCATCAATCTCCAGTCTAGCTATTGGAAACTCTGGAAGATGCCCTGACTGTTTCTTGCCGAGTAGATCACCAGGGCCACGCAGTAGCAGGTCGGCGTTAGCCAAGTAGAATCCATCGGATGACTTCTCAAGCACCTTCAACCTTGGCAGCGCGCTAGGAGTGGAGCATAGGAACACACATCTGGATTTCCTTTCGCCACGCCCTACCCGACCCCTTAACTGGTGCAGCTGAGACATTCCAAATCTCTCAGCATTCATGACAACCATCATGGAAGCATCAGGAACATCGACTCCAATCTCAATCACTTGTGTTGAGAGGAGAATACGTGTTTCCCCGGATCTAAAACTGCTGAGGGCTCCATCCTTCTCATCGCTCCTCATGCGACCGTGCAACAGCCCACAGGGATAACCTTCAAATTTTTGCTTTATGGAATCAAACTCGGCTTTTGCTGCATGAAGTTGTGGTAGCTGCTCTGATTCTTCTATGATAGGATATACGAGGTAGACCTTGCCTCCATCAACCAGTTCATCACTCATCATCTTCAAGCCATAAGTATTTAAAAATGATAAGCAAATTGATCCCAACCATATCCAAGTGCAGATTGGGACAGAAAAGGAAAACAACAAAGATCTGAAACAAAAAGAAAAAATATTGAATGAAGTCATGTCATCACCTGGAAGACAGATTCAAAACCAGCATCATTTCCTTCAAGAGCAAGAGTTTCTATAGGTTGTCTTCCTGGAGGCAAGTCCGTGATCTATAAGAAACGTGGATCACAATTGTAAAGATTTGAAATAGCTGTGAAAAATGAAAGACCCTACTAGTTGTTAAAGTAACAGGTCCTGGAACATGAAAAATGAAAAATGCAAGAACATTTTTGCACTATATCCTATCCAATATGTGAAGTCATAAAGTAGCGGATCCTGGAAAACAACAGGGTGGACTACTAGTTGTTAAAGATATAATTGTGCTAGCCTAGAATTAGTCCCTCGATGTATGTAGTTTTCACCCTGTGCCCCACATAGTACGCGATATGACATTTTACTTCCAATGAGTAAGTATTTGGAATACTCAATTTAGGCTATGTTCTTTTCTTCAACTCAAAACTTCAACTTCCTCGTTTTCTGTTAGCATGTTTTTTAAACTATTAAATGCTGTGTTTTTATAAAAGTTTTCTATATAGGAGTTGTTTAAAAAATCAAAGAAAACCATTTTTCAAGTTTATAATAGTTAAAACTTAATTAATCATGTACTAATGAGCTTTCTCGTTTGGCGTGTGCAGAAAATCAACTACCAAACAGAAGAAACGAACGAAGCCTTATATGCCATAAGCCTGTAAAATACCTGTGTAAGGGACATGTCCCCATACAGAGCAAGAGCCAACGTTCTTGGGATTGGAGTAGCGGACATAGCAAGAACATGGGGAGCCATAAATATTTCAGAAGCGGAATTCTCGTCTGAGATTGTATCATCATCACTCGATTTCGTGGAAGGGGTATATAGCTGTAATGAATGGCAGTAATTTGTATTAACAAACAAATGTTAACTATGTTAAATTTGAAACCAAAATAAGAAAGACATGAATTATGCAACGAGGTTTGGATATCAAATACTCAAGTGTAAGTACCAGATACATTATCTTTTGTTTTGGACAATTAGGCAGCCTTGAGAACTACAGCACACTCCTTGAAGGCTTTCACCATAGCATTTTATATAATCACTAGCATATTACCCATTGAATTGGGATTTTTATTAAATAAAATTATCATTAACCCGTTATTACCATCATTTTCTGCAATGATATGCTAGCTATTGTAATAACAGCAAGAATAGCAAATTGTAATGATGGGTCATTTTCTGCAGTGATATGCTAGTTTGTAAGAACAGAAAGAAGAAAAAAGTCAGTAGGAACGCTCTGGCCCATCTTACCACAAAATAAGATACACGAACATGGAAATCCAGAGGCATACTTCTTACTCCCTAAGCCCCAAAATATAAGCACTTCTAGAGTTTTTCATGGAGATTAAGGAGAGAGGTGAAATTAAATGAGAGATGGTTAGGATTGGTTTTGATGAGGAAGTAGGTGGGGAAATTAAATGAGAGATGGTTGTGATTGGTTCAGATGATGAAGTACATGGAGAAGTTGCTATGTTTTGGGACAAATTTTGAACGCTAAAAGCTGCTATGTTTTAGGATGGAAGGAGTAGTAATTAGCAATTTTCTTTCTAAGTTTGCCAACAAAGTTTACAGAATGGGTGACAATCCTGGAGCAAAGTAAGTAAACGAAGGATGTGTGTGATTTTATTCAACAACAAGGTTTACAGAATGAGTGACAATGCAGGAGCAAAGTAACAGTCAAAAAGTCCCCGCAAAAAAAGTAACAGTCAAAAAGGACGTGTATGGTTTTTATTCAATGTAAATAGCAAATGCTCAGCAAATTACCTTACTATTAAACCTTCCTCTTTGAACAACACCAAAGCGCTGCTGCTCATCTATAACAGAGATGCGCAAAGCTGAGAATTCGGTTTTATCACCAATTAAGCTGTGTGTTCCAATGACCATTGCTATTTCTCCTGTCTTGAGACCCTGCCATAGAATAACAATAACACATAAATATATGAATCTATGCGTATGGGAACTTGAGAGTCTAGAAAGAATGCTTGCATTTCGAATAATCCTTGATTCCCTCGTGGAAGTTGAACCAGTTAGTAAAGCAATGTTTGGTTTGCATTCATCTCCATCAAACTTCTCCAGCAATGAAGTTAGATGTTCATAATGCTGGAGGGCAAGAACCTCCGTTGGAACCATGAAAGCAGCCTAGAAATAATTTTACAAGGTATATGTTAGACTAACATCTCATTAATGAAGAACTGAAGAGTACAACTAGGAGGAAGATAATCATTTTTCGTGTATATCCTATTTGGATTAAGCATCTAGTTTGCTTCAGTAAGCTGTCCTTTTAGTTGATAAAATCCTTTTATATACAGTACATAAGGCAAGGATGTTGGTTTGTAGTATAGATACCTGAAATCCTGAGCTAATGACCTCCATGCATGCAAGGAAAGCAACTACGGTTTTACCACAACCAACATCACCCTGTCAAAGAAAGAAGGCTTTCAAGTCTTCAGCAAGATGCATATAAGCCCCAATAGTTGTTATTTGAAGAACACCAATTATATATAAAAAGGAAAACAGAATCATTAATTCACTATGTAATACCACAGCCAGAACCTGTAACTTGGTACTTAAGATTTTCTTCCCCCATATGAGGTATACCCCCATGTTCCATTTCCCCAAGAAAAATGGAATGCTACATCCAGTCAATTGCAAGTTTCTTGTCCACGAACTTGGTGCTTAAGAATGGTAGAAAATAGTTTGGTTCAAATATTTTTGCTTAAGATCGAAACATTTGAAATAAACTGGCCAAAATAAAACAACGCAATAGTAGACCAGTGATATTAGAGCCAAGATATACTAGAGTTGATTACAGAGGAGCATCAAGCAACTGACTGGTAAACAAGTCCAGACTCCAGAAACAAGAGCAAGAAAGTTAATGAACCAAGAAATGTGCAATTAATAGTTACTTGCAAGAGTCTGTTCATAGGAACTGGTCTTCTGAGATCCCATATAATCTCTTTAACAGCATTCAATTGACTAGGAGTAAGCAAATAAGGAAGAACTTTTAACAATTTCCTTGCAAGAGGAGACCACTCGTCAGCACCAACAGCATTTAGCTCATGATTTTTGCACTTCAATAACAATTCTTCCTTCTCAACCCGTGTACCAACAGCTTCAAGCATTTGAAACAGTCTTCCCAACTGAAAAACGATGATAAATGTTTCCATCATTGCATATGCTTAATTGCACACTTAAAAACAAGATGCGATAATATGAACTTGAAGGACATGACATTTGCGCAAATCGATATCCATGTTTAAGCAAAACAAAAATATTGCTTGCTGACAAGCATATAAATGATAACAAAAATAATACCCAGGAAATGCACTCCTGTATAGATGCCATCACCGTTGGAGTTGTACTTTGAAGATTGCTAAAAATGCTGAAACCCCCACCCCACTGCCACACATGCGAGTGCCCGCCCATCCATTCACCCCCCCCCCACACACCCACACACACCCACACACAACAAAATTAAATACACAGCACTGAAAAGGAAGACCATCTGAAGGGAGAGGGGTGGTGATATATACTGTTACTGACTCATATGACTGTGCTACTTCTACTGTTATGTCAAGAAAGAAATATATGGTAATACCTGAAGATAAAAGAAATCATCGAAAATAAGCCTTCTCCGAGCAAAATCGGCTTCATCTCGATTCTTAGGCTTGTGGATTCCCATGTAAGCCTAACAACCAAAACGAATATTGAGGACAGCATTTAGGAGGGCATACAGATCACATGATGATGACATCATATAACAGAAATTCAAACAGATAGAATGAAGCTATATCTTGTAATAGTCAACAAAGAGTACATGAACATGTTGGCACGTATATCCAGTGATTTTAATATATTAGCACACACGTGTGATTACCACACAGATATCCAATAGCAAGAAGAAAAAATCCGACAGTCCATCCATCTCTAGGTTCCACTTGTATGAGTAGCATTTAGTAAGGGAACTATAATTAGATGGTTTGCTCACATCAAAGAGATTGGGCAAGTTGAATTCAACAAGAACTTCATGAGGCATAGGGTCAATGTCTGGCGTCAGCATCTTCAAGGCCCTGTGCACAATTGTAAACTATTATTACTCCTACATATTCAGATGGAAAATAATAATATCGAACTACATGCATTTCATATTAAGTTAAGGTGATTTACTCTTTATCCTTTGGGCTTTGCAGTCATCCCTTAAGTATCATCATAATTTAAATTACTTAGGTACAATTTAGCTGAATCATATTTTAGGAATGGGGAATCGGCATCTTTCAACTATGATCACTTTAAAATAGCTGTGAACTTAGAGGAACATCACTTAGGGCCCACCGACTCAGCTTTCATTTAGAAACTAGAAAAGCACACAAGCTTTGCACTGACCTTGAGATGGAGAGGCTCAGCAAACTTGGTTTCAATCCTGCTTTTGATGGGTATATAGGATATGGTTTCCTGTCAAGCAGGGTGCATTGTTGTTCCTCTTCTTCAAGCATGTCAATAGTGTACTCTCTCAAATCATAATGGTCTTTAGTAAGCGCCTTCTTGATCTGTGCAAACAAAATCAGCTAAGCTTAATAATCACATATAGGCTGTGAGGCTACAAAGTGCAGTCCATTACATGCATAAGTGAAAACATCTGTATAGCAGAGCTACTTTTATGTCATTGTAAAGCAAATGTGCGGCTGCACCAACACAAATTTTAGGATTACAATTATTTTGTAGTGAAGCATCACCAACAAATAAAGACAAATTGAAAGGTCTGACAAGCAGCATGTAACAGGAAAAGGTATGTTAGTTCACCAACCTTACCGCTGACATAAGCAAGATCCCCCTCTTTGTACTTCGATGATATACACTTAAGAAAAGATGGAGAAGAGAAGCGTGTGCCGCTGAAAAATTTCTTGAGGTGCAAATGAATTGTCTTCTTTTGTTCTGCTTGAGAGTTACAACTCTTAACTGAAGAGCTTAACTCACTCTCGATTATTGAACAACTAACAACAACCTCAAGGTAACCTAAAGTGTGCTTAAGTCTGGCTCCCCTGAGAAAACAAACGATAATTATTGTTTAGAGTACAGGTTTTTGGCGTATGAAAATGACCTAGCCAAGTTTGTTATACGAAAATTTTTCATAATATACATTTATGTAACTACATTTGGGTTTATGCAAAAGAATTAAGTGGTCAAAGTTACATCTTACTGACTTTGAAAATTCCAATATGGCAATCTTTTGTGACTGGAGGGAGTACCATTTCAATTGGACTCATAGTGCTTAATTATGTTTTTCAGTAATCAGTCTTTCTTTGCAGGGAATAATCAGCCAATCTATGAATTGAATATTTTTAACTAATAATTTTGAACCTAACCATTTCGCTCACACACATGAACATAACTTTTCTATGTGTTCACAACATCCACAGTAAAACGTCCTTTTAATAGCATCGAAAATTGTACCACAATATACTGAATGCCACCACATGAGCAAGATCAAAGAAATGGGGGAAACTTTTACAAACATGCTATAACACAAGCACTGTCATATCACAGCAGTCAAGAGAGTGAAAAGACAATTCTATACCAACTCCAACAAATAGGATCAAGGCCAGCAGTTGGAGCAAGGGAACGTATCCCATGCACACAAGCTTACGGTGCACACTCCGTCACACCAACTAACAAATGTCACCAAATTTTCTAAAAAATATATATACATGTACCTCCAATAGTATTTCATATACCTGTAAAGTATAAAGTTCAAATTCATTATATTCTAGCCATAACGAAAAGAAAAGAAAAATCTGATAGTTTTAAGAGTATATATCTGTCAGAATTTTGTCTTTTATGTTACGGCTAAAATATATTGAATTTGAAGATGAGACTTTGCATATAGGTGTAATACTATTGGAAGTACGTGCACATTTTTTTCCAGAAGTTTTGGTGACATTTGTTAGTTGGTGTGCACGGCGCAGTATACATAGGATATGTTCCCTTGGACTGGAGCAAGACTAATTGAAATATTAACTTATACTCCCCAAATGATCCCAGCAGGGGCATCGGTCACATGAATATTTAGAAATAATAATAAGATCATCTTAAAAGATCCATGATTTTAACAGAATCTTCTTGTCCCCCAGCAGACTCAAATTTACTCTATAAACTCATTTCTGACTAATTCCCCTACAAACTCCAGAAATTGTAGTAATGGTAGGTCTTCATTTAAATTTTACAGGGTTAAGAGAATTGACTATATAAATACCCATTCCACTCCTCCAAACTATACTGCCCTTCTGTACAAATTTCATGGATTATTATGACCAAACGTTGAGTGTGGCCCTAGTGTCATTGTGATAGGATGGCACATCCCATATCAATTCTTCTTTATTATCGGATTAAGAATTTTACTCAACAAGAATGATCTGATATTAAATACCACTAACAATCCGAGGGCATCAATTCAAATAAGGAAATGATATCCTTCACATGCCAAAAGATTTTTATGGAAAGACTAAGCTCGGGAGATGCCACATAATTAACATATGGCAAGTTTAATGCCGAAGAAGAAGACAGTGGAAAACATCATATTTCTGATTATTCAATTACCTGGAAGATACAACGGTTCCAAACAGCATGATGTACTGCCCCTCTTCTATTGAACCTTGAGGATTTTGTAGATCTGCATAGGTCCGGGGAAAATGCTGCAACAATTTCCGTACCTGCAGAGAAGAAATATATTGCATGCTAAGAATTCTATCAAATCAAAAGAAAAAAAAAATACTGAAGCGTATCTGCTGCTAGTACCGTATGGAAACCACCATCCTCTAGCTGGCGATATTGCCTACTAGTTGTTCCGGGAAAACATCTTATACTTCTGTCCAAGATGCTAGAATCAGAAACTGTAGCATCTGCCACTGCCAATGACTCTGGACAAGCATCGGTATCAACTGCCGGTTCAAGAGAAACAAACTGTGCTGTGAGAGAACTCTCTTCACTGATTGATAGGTGATCGACGTTTGTAAGGGTTGGATCTAATGGATGGCATTTGTCAGAAAACTCATAAGCTGCCCCAAAATTTCCACCGGACTCTCGCATGAAATTCGTGAGGTTTTCAGAAAGCACAGTTTCTTTCTGACTCATGCTAGCAGCAGCAGCATATAGTTCAATAGGTGATGAATCACCAATTTTTATGCATGGAAACTTTGCACACATTTCTGGGAACTCAATTTCTTTGCATACACTGATCAATTCTGTAGCAGATCCTCTGCGGGCTCTTTCTTGCTCAATTAATTCTTGTGTATTACTATAACCCATCAAAACAGACACCTGCAATCATAAATAATCCAGACAATGTTCACTGTTCACAGCAAGTACAGATGAATAGTTGTGTGACATTATTAGTGAAGAGTGGCATCAAGCAGAGAGCCGTGCAAATCAAATCCAGACGTCATTAAGTAGAGCTATTGCATAGGCTTAAACTATAAAGGTCATAACATCAAGGAAGTTAATGTACAAGTATATGCGCATTGTATTTAAACAAGGTTACTATGCACTAGTTTGAACTCACAACAATAATTAGAGGACTTGGGAAATATAAATAGCTTTCACTTGGTAGAGCCCAAATGGTGGAACGATTGAACAGATGAAACATACAGAACTAAACTCATTACTGATGCCTGCAAAATCGAAGGCTAACACTAACAAGTGAACACAACCAGTTGCTGGCAGGGCACATACTTTGTTCAGGAGTTTTGATCTCTCTGACGTGCCATCCACCTCCAACAGCTTCCTGACGGACGTGTGATTCTCGCGCGAACACCACCGGAAGAGCTTAGAGCCAAGAGCATTGCTAGACCTGCAACCTGAACAGTTCAGTGCTAGTTGCTAACTCGCTATTCTAGCCACAAGCACAAATTGCCCACAAGGGGAGGGGAACCTAACAAAATCAATACCTCATTCTGGAAGGAATCCTTCTAGAGCGCCCTCTGCGAAAATCCAAAGAAAACACCCTCGCTAATTGATTGGTGTGACCCTGAAGAAGTGAAGCGACCTCATTTCAGATAAGGAAGGGGGATAGTATGTGAAGAGAAACGACATACGCCCATACCTTAATCCATGATTGCGCTGAGGAGGAGGCGATCATGGGTGCGGCCAGCGAGGAGAGAACCTTCCCGATTCGCCGCAGCGCTCAGTTCATCCACCGCGGAGACGAACACCATCAAACACCACCAGAGCACGAGCAGGTGCCCAACACTAATGGAGCGCTCCGGGTTACCAATGGAAGGCGGCGGCGAAGGGGCGGGAGTGGGAGGGAGGCGGGGTAGAGGCAAGGCAGCGGGAGAGAGAGAGAGAGAGAGACGAAGCGCGAGAACCTAACGTGGAGCGGGGACACGCGAGAGCCTCGCCGGACCGCGCGCGCCTTCCGGGGACGGCAGCGGCGGAGGTGAGGTCGTCTTTCCCCCCTCTCGTGGAGGCGAGTGGAGTGGAGGCCCTCACCGGCGGCGCGGGCGGTGCAGTGCCGTCGCCGTCGCCGGAAAAGGGGACGGAGGCCGTACGTGGTGGGGGTTTGGGTAGGGGACAAGAGGGGAGCGCAGAAGAGTCGGAGACGATGGAATGGAGTTTCCGCAAGTTGGGCTGGCTCCTGCTGGCCCAGGATAAGGTGGTCGAGTTCCGGTTAGGCCCATAGGAATCCAGGCCCATTCATAGATGGATTGGTTGCGACCCAAAGAGGCCCACAAAAATTTGTTGAGAAAATCCAAAAAAAATATCGGGCCTGTTCAGATTGTAGCCAAAATAAACATTACCTAATTTTGGTATAATTTTGGCATGATTTCTTATGTATTTAGCAAATTTGGCAACAAACTAAACATAGACATTTTTTTGGCAATTTTTTTAAAAAAATGATATGGTTAAAAATGGCAACAAAGTGAACAGGCCCATCATTGACAAACTTCTAATTGCAAGAAATATAATCGACATGTGCTAGTTCCATGAAATGTCATCGTACAAGTGACTTTATCTTAGAAATACCATTATCTGTATGGTTTCATTAGCAAACCTCCATTAAGTGCTATAGGATGAATTGTGCATTAAACGGGATGGAATTGATGGAACCCTAGCAAAGAAGGTATTTCTAAGAAATGTCACTTGCACGATGTTATTTTGTGAAATTCGCACTACTCGATGACATTTTTTAGATTTGGATATTTGCCAGTGGCATTATTTTTGTTTTTGTCATATTTGATTGGTTGCAGCCCTACATTCAAGTTGGGCATCCGATTTTGGATGCAATATATCGAATTTGGATTTTTCTGGCAACCTGGTTGCTGAATCATGACAGCCATTGTGTCTTCAGACTTTCAAACTCGATTCAAATAGATTGTTTCTTGTGGATTTCGAATAGACAGTATATTGGCTAAAGTTTACACTGACTTGTGGATTTCGAATAGACAGTATATTGGCTAAAGTTTACACTGAGTAAAACGGACTGATTTTTGTGCTGTTGATCGATTCTGATTCTGCAATGTGCCACAGAACAGAAGTTCTGACGATACTGTTATATAGATCCAAGTGACCGGGCTACAGGATAGACCATTTGACAAAAAAATAAATCCAATCACAAGTGCTACAGGGCGTAGGCAACAACACCGAACAACGCGACAAGCAGCAGCAACACGTAGAGGCGTGACACGGCCGGCGGGCCGCCGGCGTCGCTGAACCTCGCGTACTCGGCCGCGAGCGGCATGTCGTCGACGGGGAGCGAGCACGCCGCCGGCCCATCCGCCGCCGCCGCGACGCCCGCGGCGGACGCCTCGTCGGCGGCCATCAGCGCCTGGATCACGGCGGTGGCCGCCGCGCCGTACCGCGTGGCGTTCCGCTGCAGCAGCCACATGATCCCCATCAGCTGGCACTCTCGTTCGCCCGTCACGCCGGCGCCGCCCTGCTGCTGCTTCTTCTTCGCCGCCGCTGCCGCCGCCGCGGCGGCGCCGCCAGAGCCGGCCTTTATCTGCGGCATCACCAGGCTCGCGTCAGACAGAATGAACAGTAATGGCATTTACTAGTTCCGTGGTACTGTTAACCCACAATTAATGGACACCAACCGGACGAAGTAAAACAACAAAAAAAAATTACTACAGTAAAATTTACCTTACGCTACAGACATTCTTGAAGTCATGAACACAGAATTATGACAAGTGACAGCCCGAGCCTGAGCTCTCTGCTTTCTACTGTTGGCACACATGGCCTTCTACGTGCCATGCATGTTACGACGCATTAAGATCTTTGGAAGAACCTATCAGTACCAATCCATATAGAGCACTGCCCCAAACAAAAAAAAAAGACAAATTTTGTACGTACACTAGTAACACTACTATACCATTTTAGATGATATAGTATACGCTAGTAGAGTTCTAGTGGAGTATCACTACTATACTAAGGGGGTGTTTGGGAGAGAGGGGCTAAAGTTTAGCTTTAGCCCCTCTCTCCCAAACACCCCCTAACATTCTGCACGCTATCCGGTAACCAAGTTGGAGGCCAAATGGCTCGTTTGTTAACAAATTAAGCAAATGATTCGGTCTTTCTAATAGCGACGAGACTCCTTATGTGGGAAAGGACGATGATGCTGTAATTGTGCCCCCAAACGCTATGGCAATCAAAGGGGGTAGGGGAATGGAGGCATGTTCCGAACAAATCATTCTCCAGGGCCTACGCAACAGGCCCGGACTCCAGATCTCATCATTCCTGGTCACTCGCTTCAATAATGCTGGCAGGGCAGCAGCAGCTAGGGCACACACACGCCACACCAGGCAACAGAGACGGTACCCCTGGTTGTATGCTAGTGGCTCCCCTCCTGTCCATGGCTTTCATTAAACGCCATGTCTCCAAGAAGAGCATTGCTAAGAAGCAACGGCGCAATGCAGTCATGGCTCAAATGAGTATTATCACTCTCGTGAGTGACTAATATGATTTTTATAGTAATATATACGTGATGAGAACATCGGCGTTGCCTGTTCACTGTGCAGGACTGCATGAATTTGCAAGATCAGTGCAAGGAACCTTTTTAACTGACGATCGAGCAGCTGACAATCTGAACTTGAACTGTCGAACTGAACCGATCAGTTAATGAACATAGCTGACAGAACAGAAGCAAGCATTCAAGTAGATGCGTTAAATGTTTTAATTGTTTCTAGGACTATCATGTTCATGAGGTTTTAATGCAAAGTAGGAGTACGTGGTATAGTAGTACTAAGATGTGATCTAGTATGTGATCGATCTCACCGTGGTCAGGGCGCGGAGGCACTTGGAGCAGCCGGGGACGCCTGGCTCCGCGCAGTCCTTCTCCAGCCTCCTCGCCGCCGCGTCCGCCGGAGCCCATTGCCCGCCTTCCGCCGGCGGCGGGCCGCACGTCAGCCTCCTCAGCCTCACCCCGCAGTAGCAGAACGCCACGTCGCACGTCCCGTTGGCGCCCGGCGGGCGAGGCAGCGCCGCCCCCTCCGCCCGCAGCGCGCGGTCCGCGGCGCCCGCGCACGCCTCCGAGTCGTCGGGCGGCACGGGCATGTCCACGGCCGCGGCGGCCGCCGACTTGGCCGGCCTCTGCGCGAGCGCCGCGGGCGCGTAGGCCGCAAACAGCCACGCGGCCAGCGGCGGGCAGCAGCGCAGCCTCGTGGTCAGCGCGCCGCCGCCGTCGACGCAGGAGGACGTCACGGCCGGGAGGAGCGACGGGGACGGGGTCAGCGGGCACGTCGACGACGTCCCAGACGCGGCGTCCGACTGCTCCGGGAACGCCGGGATCGTGGCGCTCCCTGGCTGCGCCGGGGTCGCCGAGGGGAAGATCAGCGCCGGGTCGAGCGGCGCCGGGTCCGGCAATGCCGCCGCCGTGGAGCACGGCGCGAGGCGGGACGCCGCGGCCACGTAGAGGCAGAGGAGGAGGAGACGGCGGCGAAGCGGAGGCATCGTCTCTCTCTCGTCTCGCGTCTCGCGCGCGCGCGCGTGCGTGCGTGCGTCGTGCGCGGCGGGCGCACGCGCGTGGTGGTTTTTCTGGTTGGATGGATTGAGAGAGTGAGAGTGGGAGTGGGCGAGTGAAGTGAAAGCGTGGAGAGTGAATGAGTGATCGGCTATATGCCTATATGGACGAAATGATGAGAGAAAGCTTTGTGCTTTGCTGGTCTAGAGCCAAAGAACGCATGATTAGATTGGTTCTTGTATAATGTTCTTCCAGAGAGCAAAACCAGCCGCAGCCTTTTGCAAAGGGAGCTCCTTTCATCTGTGGATCATTTTTATCGTTTTACAGAGAGAGCTATCTTCTTTCTTTCTACCTTGTCAAACTTTGTGGGGCTGTGCATTTTCGAGTGTTGTTTCAGGGAAGCTGCGGAAGGCGGGTTAAAGTGACCTCGCTACTCAATTCAGCTTAAAACCAGCAGCTTTGTTGTAATCCTGTGTTTGCTTTCAGTTCATTTGCTATCCACTTCAATGTTCAAATTAACCGTCTGATCGAGTGCTACTCTAGCTAGTATGGCGTATAGCACATTGCCACTCGATGTTTGCTCATGCGTGAAGGCTGAAGGCATCACATACGCCCTCCTTGTGTCACGGTCATGGCTAGTGTTTTGTTTATGTGAGACAGAGCAGCATCTCGCAGCCTACGTATAGCCTTTGCAGCTGAGGTAATACTACTACTCGTATGCTGCCATGAATCATTCTGGAGAGAGCACAGAGTATCATGTGTTACTGCTGGCGTAATAGTTTACGACTCGTGGTAAGGTAGGTGGATATTCGTTTTGTTTTCAGTGCGTGTATTATACTACTCCATCCCGTTCTAAAATACTTTTCGTTCTAAAATATTTAACCACTTATCTTATTTAATTAAAAAATTATAAAATTATTATTTATTTTATTTATAACTTGCTTTATCGTCAAAAAGTATTTTAATTATAACTTATCTGTTTTTACATTTGCACTAGTTTTTTAAATAAGACCAGACCAAACGTTAGAATCAAAAAATCAAACAACATCTAATTTGGGAATTGGGACGGAGGTGGAGGTAGTACCAGTAGTAGTATACGAAGCTACAGTGCATGCACCAGGCTAGGATAGATGCTAGTATGCTACACATGCTGATAGGAGTGCCAAACTAAGGGCTTATTCGTTTCAAATGAATTGCAAAGAAATATTATAGGAATAGAAATGAGTTTTAAACTATCATTCATTTTATAGGAATGCACTATAGGAAAACTATAGGAAAGTTTTCTATTCCTCCATTTTTGAAGGAAAAGCATAGGAAAAAATAATCCACTTCAACCTAATATTTGCGTTTCTTGGGTTGGTTTGCTCAATAACATAGGAAAAATTTCTGAGTTTTTCAATCCATAGGTTTACACATATATTTCTATAGTATTCCTACGTTTTTCCTATTCATACGTTTTGAAAATCCTGTGAACCGAATGAGCTCTAAGCAAATACTCCCTCCGTCTCATTTTAAAGGCAGCCATTTTTTTCCACGTCCAACTTTGATCGTCCGTCTTGTTTAATTTTTTTTTAAAAAAATTAAAAACATAAGTCACGAGTAAAGTATTATTCATATTTTATCATCTCATAACAACAAATATACTAATTATAAAAAAATTTAAATAAGACGGGCAATCAAAGTTGGGTGCGGAAACTCATAATTGCACTTAAAATGGAACGGAGGGTGTAGGTTATTACAACGACATCACATCTCACTTGCTGATAATGGTACCAGTATTTAGTTACTACCTCCGTCCCAAAATAAGTGCAGCCGTGGATATCCGTGCCCAACATTTGACCGTCCGTCTTATTTGAAAATTTTGAAAATATTTAGTCACACATAAAGTACTATTTATGTTTTATCATCTAATAGCAATAAAAATACTAATCATAAAAAAATTTCAAATAAGACGAACGGTCAAACGTTGAACGTGAATAGTGCAAAACTGCATTTATTTTGGGACGGAGGGAGTAATAACTACGTCGTCTGTTCATCTGTTTTTAGCCAAACACACGTAGTATCCACCTAGTAAATGTTTACAGATTACAAAGTCACAGTATGACGGAATGTTTTGGAACAGGAGTCGCTGGCAGAGTGAACGAGAAATGCGAAACGGAGAGAACGTAATACTAGTAATTCAGACAACAGAACGCATCGTCCAAGGAGATAAAACGGATGGTGGCACACGCCGTCCGAGCGCACGGGATCGTCACTCACTGCACGCCTACAGCACACTTACGACGTACGGCTATTGCTGGCCTGCACGCCCTGCAGCCAGGAGCCATTAACAAAAGCGAAACACTGTCGCCTACCGCATTCCACCGCACGGCAGGGACCGCAACACAGCAGCGCCACGCGGCGGAAGCGACGACGACGACACGCCAAGAGCGCGACTGCGATTCTGCGAAAGCCGAGAGGCGCCTAGCCTTGTGAGGCGGCGACAGCCTCGCTTTCACCGTCTCACGCACCGGGCGGCGGACGACGGACGCGCGGTTGATTGCCTCTCATCCGCGGCGCGTGAGCGGCTGAGCGCGTGGAAGCGAGGCGCGCGCGACGTATTTCTTGCTCGCCTTGAAGGCGCCACGACCAGCGGCGTGTGGCGTCGCGCGTGCGCGGGTGGTTGTGGTTTCACTGGCTCGGTTTTAATCCCGTGCGTGGCGCCTGCGGCGGCTGTCGGTCACGGGCGCCACCAGCGTCCAGCGAGCGTGTCAAGCGAGACGTACTACTACTACTACTACTGAACCTGAACGGATGGAATGTTTTGTTGGCTCTCGATCGTCCTTGTTCTCTCGCTCGCTCCCGGAGATTCCTTCGAGTTTACACGCATGCTGATGCACGCGCTGGTTTTTTGGGCTGAGGCTGTTCGTTTCATAACACGCCTCCGAGCACGCGCACGCGCATGTTGGAATCATCACCGCGTACCATATAAAATCCTGGAGGGATCAGAGCTGGAGTTGCATGCTACTGGATGTACATTGATCTCACTGGCAATGGAGAGGTGTGATGCCTAGTAGAGTAGTAGGCCGGCCCACAAGAGCTGGGGTCATAAGCCCAGCTTGAGTTACGGACAAAAGTTCACTTTTACTCCCTTAAGTAGTGGCTGGATCCAATTCATACCCTTCAACCGCAAAATCGGGTATAATCACTTTGCCAAGCCCGACTATTTATAAACCATGAAAAATAAAACCCTTGGTTGTTTTGAGAGTGGTTTTCGCTAACATAGTTTCTACATGGCAGCCAACTCATAAAAAAGAATTTAAAAACTAAAGTGGGATCCACATGTAATCCCCTCTCTCTCCTTCCCTCTCTGCTCGTACCTCTCTCCCCATTGTCTTCTCAGCACAAACAGGGTGGCTGCTGGGTGGTAGCAGGCGATGGCAGCGAAGGAATTGGGGTGTGCACACGGCGGCGATGGCATCCCCTAAGCCTAATCCGTGCGACAATCGTCTTCATCCTTTAAAGCCAAGTGATCGTGGTAGCTCATCGACGACGTCTCCAACATCGCTATCCTTGCTAAGAAGAAGACCAAGTGGAAGCGGTATTGCTTCCACGAGCGGGAGAGGCCCTTTCCGTCCTCTTCGCCCTCTCCTAGTTGGCTCACCGCCCTACGGTGGTCGTCCCCAGCTATTCATGGTTGGATATGATCGCGCATGGTCCCACCAACGAACATGGTCAAGAAAGACAAAGGGGTGGTCGATCACAATGACGGCGGTGAGGCGGAGTCAGAGTCGGGCATAGTGGTGCCCCCGCACAAGTGCAGCAACTTCTCATTAGCTGTGATGTTGACGGCGCGGCAGGTGTGCCCGGTGGTGGAGGGCCACGATGCTGCTGGATCTGCCTCCCTCACCGAGCTCGGGCCTCCAGAGTTGGTGCGCAGAGGTGACGACGATGAACCTTCGAAATTCCCATGGAATCAATCCAGCAGCAAAGGGTGGGGGGGCAGCAAGGACAACGTCAATCTCCCTTCCTCCTTTCTCCTCCATCTCCTCGAGCCTTATAGAGCTCCCGCTTCGCCGTCGAGCTCCTCATCGCCTGTAGCGGCACCACTACAAAAAAATATATCCTGCATTCAACCCTCAGTGCGCCCCGAGTTGTTCGCCATTGCCGCGTTGTCACTAACCGGTCGCCACCGCCGTCGCCACCACCAACTTCCGACCGCAGTGCTGCACACCTGCCTCACCGTCGGCCTAACTCGTACCCGGCTCGCCACTCACGAGGAGAAAGAGGGCCGTGGTGGTGGTGGTGACCGGTGAGCGACAACGCAGCGATGGGCCATGTTTAGGGCCAGACCATAGCCTCTCTCGGCCCACTTCATTCTACTTGGGCCGAACTTCTCCCACGAGAAAGGCCATCGCCCATCGCTACTGAACTACGAGTACCATCGGATTCCGACTTTGCAGGCTACGACTTCGACGAACCATGTACCCAACATGCCACAAAACCACAATATCCAGGCGAGTTTTCTTCGCTTGGCCCTCCTGTCGAATCGAGCAGTCATACGTCGTGCCGTCGTATCGTCGACTCGTCGTCGTCCAACTCCAACCTTGCGCGGCAACCGGGTTTCCGGTTTCCTTCTCCTGCTTACAAATCGTCGGGCCCGGGCACCTCGTGACTACTCCCTCCGTTCCAATAAAAAAAAGACAAACACTGGTTTCGTGTCCAACGTTTGACCATCCGTTTTATTTGAAAAAATTATGAAAAAAATTAAAAAGATAAGTCACGCATAAAATATTAATCATGTTTTATCATCTAACAACAACGCAAGTACGAATTAAAAAAAATTTCATATAAGACGAACAGTCAAAGTTGGATACGAAAACCCATACGAAAACCCATAGCTTGTGGACGGAGAGAGTACGTGAGAACGGAGGGAAAAAAAAAAGAAACAGCCTGATATGCGGCCGTCAATCGCGGCGCACTCCATCGTATCTCATCATCTCCTCTCCCCCACCGCGCGCGCGCGCAGCCCGCGTGGTTAGATCCCGTTTCTACCAGCGCATATGATGTGCAAGGCACTCCAAGCCAGAAAAAAATATAAATCGCGTGGCTCGCGAGTACATGTATATACATATACTGCCGTAGTGCCATGGATGGGTGTACGGAAAATCACAATAATTTCTCTCTCTTCTTCTACCTTGTCATGGCCATCGCCGTCAGGCCGGACAATCAGGTAGAAACGCCAGCACGCACGCCGGCGATGAAAGCTCTTTTCTTTTTCTTTCGCCGGGCGCTTAAAACAAATCTCTTGTACATGGACAACGACTCAACATTTCATAAGTTTACCGCAGTCTCAACGATCGTACAATTCTAGAGCAAATGATGGCGCCGTTGATCACTCGGGTCGCTCTCACAATTAAACAGAAAAGTTGGCATCTTGTTCGGTTCGGGCAAGTGTGGACAGGCCGCTAGTT